GAAGTCGTGATCATCACACGTTGTTGTTCTCAGCCGGCCACGAGCAAGTGCAACTCTCGGAGACCTGTGGCAGCCGCCAGTTTGCCCATCCGACGCGTCTCTGCACTTGACCTTTCCCTCGCCTTTGGCCAGCTTGCCATGCTGCGATAAGCCCAGTTGTGCTAGCCGAATAGGCGCGACTCATGCCGGGTTGTATCAAACATGTTGTTTTCGTCAAGCCTGCTTTCTGCTTTCTCACTCCCAATAATTTGTGTTTCTTCGGAACTTTCACGCCCGCCCAGCAAACCCTGCAAGGTATTCTGCATTCGGCATTCCGATGTCTATGCGTGCATGAGTAGTGACTGCTTTCGATATCGTGCCGAGTCAAAGCAACATTCGAGCACCAGTGGCACGCACCAAAGGAGAATTTTCCCCACTCCGGGGGACGCCAATCTTTAACGGTGGCTTCTCCGAGAGCTTCCCCGGCCGAGTGCCCCTGGATCAAACGCACTTGGCGAGTTTTAGCCCTGGTTCTCTCTGTGAGCGGCACTGCATGTCCTCGCTTTAGCATGAAGCGAGAACGTCTTCATCTCGGTGCTTGAGACATCATGGTAATATGCATGACATGCTCTCCGGTCTATGCTCATCGCTCCATCCCATGACCTAGCATGACTGCTGTTACAAACACCCGTCCGTCTGAGTTTGGGTTATCTTATATGGCCAGACACCGTCGAGGCGCCCCCGTTTCCGTCGACGGCCAAACGGCATATTCGCACTCCGTAAGCCGCGTCCAATTCACGACAACGCGAACAATAAAGCGGCAATTTATGACAAGCAACCGGACTGTTTTGCATCGTCCAATTATGAGCATAGTGCCTCAGCCGTTGACCTAGAGGCCCGCCGGAGCAAGAGGGCACCTCCTCGAGGTCCACAGACGGATATCAATGTAGTAGGATCTGCAGAACGATCTTCATGATCCGCTTTAATTAGAGTGTCCGACCGAACGGAACCTCATATCTTAGCAAGTTGACGCAGGAATCCAAGGATCAGGACTGCCACCCAACTGCGGCCCCCCTGGATGGTACCGTTCTACAAAAGGAAAGAGGATGCTTACGAGTACAGATTGAGCTTTGCTGCTCCACACCTACCAACCCCTTGACACCGAGGTCAGAGAAATGGCTCTTCGTGCCTGGACACCAACACTGTGCTGTTAAGAGTAGACGTTTCCTAGAACGACATCTGTAGTGAAAGAGCCGTCGGCTGCTTTTCTTGCCTCGGGCGCAGCCACATCGATGAGGAAGAGGATTGGGTCCTCGCTCTTGCCGCAGCCAGCGCACGTCAGCCAACGCCAGGAAAATGCGCAAAGGGGCATCCATGTTTCGTTCAAGTGCGAGTGGCAGCGCATATAATTCAATGCCGCCAGCGAGCGCACGGTCAGTGGTAGACTGCCACTGACTCAGTCCTCGACGAATACCCACCGGGAGATCCATACTCAGCTGAGACCAAGCCGAAACACCCGAGATTTCATCGTGTGGGAATGCTCGCCTCGAGATGCTCTCAGGTATTAGGCTTCGCCTGACATCCTCGGAAACCCACGCCGACCGTGGGAGGTGACTACGAGGTACAAATGGCCACACAACGCTGGACCTCGTGGTAGGTTTGGACCACACAGGCTTGACCCTGTCGGCTGTGTTCCTGTGAGCTATTCCTCCATACCCTCTGCACTCGATTACTGGTCTACTCCCACGTTCCTGGATGACGAAGGGACTTCTCGGAAGCGCTTGGGGGCATCATGTGTTCGTCGCGCCTGGCCATCACGGAGGATTCGACGGATTTCAACGTTTCTTCCGCCCTCGGCGGGAGAAGTCCAACTCACTGATGGAGCATGAACACTCAATACCTAGGCTATACGCCAAAGCATAGCCGCTGTTAATGTACAGGTCCGCCTGATGATCCGCGCAAGGTCGGTACAAAAGTGACAGCAATCATCTTTCCAATACGGGCGGTTCCCCCGTCTACCTTGCATTCTTCTTATTCTCCTCCACTCGCATCTTATGCAACGTCTCTGCCCGCCTCCTTTCACCACCATAAATCTTTCGCCCTCTCGTATGTTCCCAGAGACCCTCGACGGCCCGTACTGTAGCACCACTCCCATTCGTTCCCGCCATAGGTTTCACCTGCTTGCCTTTGATGATGTAGCCATTCTTCAGCGCAAAGCCATGCGGCTTCTTCAAGTCTGCAGTCGTTTGCCCCGGCAATAGTTCGTAGGTACTGGAGCCATTCGGCACATTCACAATCAATTTCTGCATCCCAGGACTTCTTCCGATCGTGACTGTTCCGGCTACCGGTGCTCCCGTGGCGAGATCTTTCTTCAGACTGGGCACCTCGACGACCCTCAGTTCGGCCACGCCGTCCTTGACATGTTGGAAATCCCCTCCAACCCCAAACTCCCCTCTCCGGAACTTCTCTCTCCACCTCAGCAGATACCGCCTTGTCCGAGGCGGATCGATGCCCCGTGACTTCAGTTGGTTGGATGTCAGCGTGAACAATTCCTCCCACGATTCTATCTTGCTGGCGTGTTTGGAGAGTTCGCGACCGATCAATTTCAGGAATGTGGGGACATCAGGGACGAAGGGCGTAGGAGAAGGGATGTAGCCGTTCATAGGCAGTTCGCGATGAAGCAGTCGTTTCTGCTGGTGTCGGCATGGTAAGCAGAGGTAGTTGTCTGTGAGGAGGGATTTTGTTGCTCCTGTTGAAGATGGCCGGAGCAGGGAAGAGAGGAGGGAGAACGCAGCTCTGGGTTGGCGCGTGTTCATTTTGACGACCGAGGAATATGAAGAGCTATAGTCTGGTATCTCGTAGCATGGCACTGGGATTCGGAACAAGTACCGTGGCTGGCACAGGCGCGGCGTGTTCGTGTTGTTGATGGCACAAAATTTATCGGAGATATCGTTCCATGAAGCTGCAAGTTCAGGCTGTGAGGTACGGCGAAGTACAGCCGTGCTATTGGTATTATCGAAGAGCACTTTGTGCCAAGCCTTTCAGCCTCGTTGAGAAGCCCACTTCGAATGGGCGTCCTCTTGGAGTTTCGATCAACGCTCATCAACACAGTCCAAGTGTACGCATCACTAATCGCCCAAAAACTACAGCCACTCCGTGAGTTGGTCGAAGCTCCAGCTATAGTGATCGAAGATTCTTCACCGCTGGTTGCTTGAAAACGGGAACCAAGAAGCGCCCTTGCATGGCTGCTTCAATACTCGAGCTTGAATAGTCAAGGGGCCCGACTTTCACGGCGGGCATTCAGTATGGCTCCGTCATCAAATGCGGTGTCACCGCTGATGCCGCGATCCCCTTCAAATATAAATGCCAATTTGTCACCATCAAAAGCGAAGTCTCTGGCCATGAGAAAATCAATCCCCAAACCTCCCCCACCTGCAGCACCTTCGCCTTCGCACAGACAATCTGCTGACGTTGATATGGCGGAGAAAATGAACGAGGAGATCAGCAACAAGTACGTCAAAGGTCTGTCTAACCTACCGAGCCTCCGATAGAAAATGACTGATGTCATGTCTCAGGGAAAAAGTTGGGTGAAGGTACCTACGCCATTGTATACAAAGGCCACCTGAGATCAGATCCAACGAAACTTGTAGCTATCAAGAAGTTCAAGGTCGATCCTTCACAGCAGAGGGAGGGACTCAACGTCGACACGATCCGTGAAATCAAGTATCTGCAGGAGATCTCGCACCCGAGCATTGTCGCCCTGCTTGACGTGTTCTCCTCGAAAGACCAGAACATCAACATGGTCATCGAATACTTCCCAAACGGCAATCTCGAAGAGCTGATTCGAGACAAGTCCGTGAGTTACGGTGCCGCTGATGTGAAAGCGTGGATGGGGATGTTATGTCGAGCAATCTACTACTGCCACTCCAACTTCATCCTTCATCGAGATATCAAGCCAAACAACTTGCTCATTGCGGCCGACGGAGAAGTCAAACTGGCCGATTTCGGCCTCGCCCGTTCATTTGGAGACCCACGGTACCAGATGACGTCCGCAGTAATCACACTTTGGTATCGGCCTCCTGAGCTGTTGTTCGGTGCGAGGCAGTATAGCGGAGCAATCGACATCTGGAGTATCGGTATGGTCTTCGCAGAGCTGCTGATACGCCGTCCTTACGCAGCCGCCGATGTAGCCAATCAGGAAGTCCTAGCGACCGGAGGTGGAACAGTCGCTCAACTTGATAAAATCTGCGAGGCGGTAGGAACGCCCAACGAAGAGAACTGGCCTGGCGTCTCCAAGCTAAAGGACTACTTCGAATTGGACAAGAAAATACCCGTCCGAGACAAGACCTTCTACATGCAGATGTTCCCTACAGCAGGGTCTGTTGGTGTCGATCTACTCATGGCCATGTTGAAGCTTGACCCCCGGAAGAGAGTCACCGCCAGAGGAGCATTGGAACACGTCTGGTGGACGATTGACCCACGACCCACCAGCAAGGAGAATTTGCCCAAGCAAGGTGGCGGCGATTCGAAAATGGGTTCTTCCGAGGCGGCTGCTCCGGGATTTGTAGTCGATGAGAACAAATTCAAGGGCGTGGCGAAGAAACTCGATTTCGGTGCTGCACGATAACCCAGACTGAGGATGTCAAACGCCGTGCTCATTCAAGGACCTGGTAATGGTCATCTGCATGAAAGGCATCACGACAAGTCTTTAAGGGTCCTTTAAACAACAACCAGGAAGCTCGAATGTTACACCTCCAGGATTAGACGCTGATCGAGCTCTTAATTGGAGGCCAGAATATCACTTTACGAAGTGTCCTTGGACAAAGCTCGACCTTCTGCCAAGCATTTGAGAGCTCCCTTTGATGTGGCTCTATGGGTGGCCATCACTTCACCTTCTTCCTCGACTCTACTTCTAATGGATTTCACTTTTTCGTCACCTCACCACCTCACCACCTCACCACCTCACTACCTCACTACTACTAACCTAGTCAATCAGTCATTCCATGAGACACGATCCCGCGATGGACCCACCCCATCAATCTGATCGTGGAACGGAAGTCAAGAGCGACGACACCATGTCATTGCCAGATCCGCAAGCGAAAAAGACTCTTGCCGTCTTCTACAAACCGATCGTTGTCTCCGCTGACTTAACGACATGTAAAACTCTGGAAGATGTCGACAAAGCAGTTAGAAGCCAACCAGAGTTTGAGTCTTACGACGCTAATGTCTTCAAAGACATACACTGCACTCGCCTTGCGGACGGAACTCCGTTCACCTGCGAAGAGCTAGGACTCACCGACAGGGACTGTTCTAAAAGACATTTCCCGGCCCTCACCATCACACCACGCCCACCACCCGAAAGATATGACGTCCATATCTATCACATACACCACGGAGATCTCTCCGATAATTCCATTACCTGTACAGTCAACGTAGCGTGTGAGGACACAGTCGCTAGATTGCAGGAATTGGTAGAGGAACGCACTGGATTTGCAACTGACTCTCAAAAATTGTACTTCATGGGCGAGAAGCTGTTACCAGCCGACCATATCCTTGCGCACAAAATCATCGCGGGCTCGCGTGTTCTGCTCATGGTCGAAGTTGCGCTCTACCTCAAATACTACGAAATGTCGACTCGGATGGTCACCTTCTCACATACACCGCTCTACGGTATACTGTCGTCCTTTGCTAATGACAAGCGACTTGACCCGGCAACTTTACTCTTCCAGATTATCCAGGCTTCTGGAGATGCAAGTCAAGAATCTCAAGCGTGGCTGCCAGACAGGACTCGGCTCTTCGGCGTAGAGGAAGCTAAAGGCACGATATGGCAAAATGGCTTTCGGGATGGAGATGAGATCCGGGTGTTTGAGCTGAACAAGAGGCCCACCACCAAACGAGGTCTTGAAGGAAGCCAAGAGACGACCCAGTCTACTAGGAAGAAGAGGCGTGCTGCTGCATCGACGACAGGACTTTCCAAATGAACCGAACAGAGATGATTTGGAAGGCAGAATGGCACAACGCGACGATGCGACAATCTTTGTGATGAACAGTCAGGTGGTGGGAACCTGACCAGTACTGGACATGATGGGCGACATATTCGAGCTGAGCGATTTCAACGCGAATTGCGATCATGTTACACCTGCTTCGCCGAGGACCTGAATCGGGCGAATATTTCTGAGCAGGCTGGCAGAGCGAACCGAGGGACACCCGGACTACCGCATCTCCGGGTGGATGTTTTGCCCTTGCGGAGTCGGATACTGCAAGGAGACCACCCTGGAAGTACTGGACTGGACTGGGCTGACAAGAAGGATTCCATCAGCAAAATGGCAATGCCATGTCAAATAGTCCAAAGTAGCGCATCCTGCATCCGTGAGACAAAGTAGCGCATCCTGCATCCGTTCTCACCAGGTTCACGACAATCGCTTCATGCTTCATGCCTCATACTTGTTGGGCTCTTCCATTTATAGTCTCATGTCCTACAGGAGTCACTACCATTTGTGTTCCACCTCTCGACCACAGTGGCCCGGGTTCTCTCCATCCACGGGCCGCTTGGTTGACGCGCTCTTCCCGAGCGATAGCCCCGTCCATGGTGCCGACGAGGTCATTCCGTAGAGATTGTTTCCCTCAACAACCACTTATGACCAAAGTAGAAGGCCAAGTAGGTATCATACGGGAGCGGGAGAATCCTTCCGCTGTGGTTCGAGGTATTGCTTAACAAAGCTCGCCGCGGTCGTGTTGGTCCGGAATGGCCTTCTCTTTTGAAATCGCAGATCGGGAATCTCACCCACGTTTAATGTTTGATGTGGATGGCCTTGACCCTACTAGGGCCTCATCGCGGTCTCGCAAACGTCGCTCCGTCCGACACTACCGATAGACCGGCGACCATTGCAGCTAGATTGCTCGCGACACATACAGTTCCAACCAGCCTCGATCCATTCTGCCTCGGTTCCCACCCACGGCCATACTCAGCAGCAATCTTTCACTGTATGAGTACAGAGCACTTCCAAGGACCGACATGCCATCAGGAGACAATGGCGGAACTCAAGCGTGAATTTACGTGGGAGTGTTCAGCAGCCCAAATGTGGTCCATTCGTTTCCATCTATCACCATAAACATAGCACAAACTCTACCCTACCCTCCCCACCCCTATACACAGTGGCAACGTAGGCTTCCAGTCAAAAGCGATGTTCAACTACAACTTCAGGAGTCGCCCCCCATCTGTCCAAGGAACGTAAGGTGATCTGGCAAGATATCACTGACCGTGCGACATCTGCAGATCGATCATGCTGGTTAGCCACCGAGTCTCTTGCCACGCCCATCACAGGGTATCGTATCGGACACGTGTCTGTATCTGGTGTGTACGTGTACGTGTACGTAGTGTACACTCTGTACGAGGTATTGATCCATACATACCCTGCAAGTGCCATTGTGGTCCGGAATTCGTCCAGGAGCACCTTCAAGCCCAGCTCGACGCCCTGCTGTCCATTATACTGTGATGACACCGAGTGTTAGGCAATCCATTTCCCGCCGACAGCCGCCCGCCGCCCGCCGGACGGACCCATGCAATGCAATGCGGCCATGAGAAAGTAATCAACTCACACCGAGCCCCCCAGATGGCCACGCGGCCTATGAAACAGTGCTGTGCCCCGAGTGCGAGGGCTTTGAAGATGTCCGAACCACGCCGGATGCCTCCATCCACTGCGATCTGGATACGCTCTTCGCTACCATGGCACACTCTCTCAGGCAGTCAAGCGTGGCCGGCACGCCGTCCAGCTGACGGCCTCCGTGGTTGGATATAACGACGCCGTCGACACCGTGGTTGATGGCCAGCTGAACGTTGGCGGGATTGAGAACTGGTGTGAGGCAGGACAAGGACAAGATGTTAGCTTTGCAGGTGTTTCCACGACAAGCCGACCTTGCTGGTAGGTGGTTGGCAGGGAGCAGCCAGCAGGCTAGTAATTACTCACTGCCTTTCAACCAGCTTTGCATGTTCGTGTTTCTTCGCAGCCAGGGGATGATCTCGGCCCATTCCAAACTGGCGTCTGGACATCACGCGGACCCATCATCAGTCAAAAGTAGTGGCGCCATTTCGAATATTTCAACTTACCGTAGTCCTGCGAGCTCGCGCCGTCGGCAAACTCATCGTGCCCCGTCGAGAGGAGATTGGGAAAGCCAAGGTCCGGGGGCAGCGAGAACGCATTGCGGAACTCATTGAGCCGACGGCCCAGCACGGGCACATCGACTGAGGGGAACAGCGCCTTGTAGCCGGCGGCTAGTCGCGCATATCGTAAGCCAGAACGGTCCGCAGAGGCAACAAAAGGGGGAGAAACAACCTTCAGCCCGATCTAGGAGCTGCTGGGTCCTGCTCCGGTCCTTGACCACCTCTTCCAGCCACGTGGTCGCGTACGACGAGAGACAAATGCCCACGTTGATGCTTGCCGCTGCGAGGGACGTGGCCAGTTCACCGTCCGGATGGGCCAACTTGTGCATCGCCGCCGGACTGATGCCGAGCGGGAATGTAACCTACACAGCACGCGGACGTGTGAAGTGAGTGGAGGTTCAGTCTCGCGAGAACTGACCAACCAACTGACTGACTGCCGCCGGTCCCAACAAAGAGACCCCTGAGACACACATACCTTGCGGCCAAAGAACGTGGTAGAAGTATCAACGTGCTAGACGTTGCGTAATGCTCGAGGCAGGATTCGATTCCGGTCATACGTTGCGATGTTGTCGCGGAGCCTGCAGGGTTCATAACCCCCGTCAGAGAGCTCTGCTGACTTGCTATGATACTGTACACATTACACTAAGTGGCTGATTGTCGTCGTGCGTGCGTGTATGTATCAGGGGACGGAGAACCCACGTTATCATGTCCATGGCACCTCCGTTGTGACGCACTATGTTCCAGAGGAAGCAAGGGGGTATGTTGAGCGTAGCCTTGCGAGTGGAAATCGAGCAAGGTCGGAATGAATTGAGGGAAGCCTGATCGACCAAGCGTTGCATGCGACTGCTTCGTCCTTTCAAGCATGTCTAACAGTTATCTCGTGTCTAGTGCAAGACAGCGAGAAGGCGCAGCCAGTGTTCCCGATCATGCGTAGATAGGTCCCGCTGATCTGGACGATGTCGAATTGATGAGGCGTACAAAGGGACTTCTCACGGAGCCGTAATTTGGGGTACCAATGCGGTGATCAGATCAGGCAGAGCCCAGCATGTCTTGACTTGGAAGCCGTCAGGCTTGGGCCTGACGGAGTTGATACCAGCCACGGTAGCATCTGAGGCAAAGCGATCGTAAGCGGAACGGTAAAGGCGGAAGGCATGAGCACCTTAGCCGGCGATGCTGCATATATCTCATTCGCGCCGAGAGCCTCCGCTTCCGTGTCCGATCTGTGTCGTACACCATGCGCACGAATTCTTCCCAACCATCTGATGCTGTTCACCTCTTCAACGCCCTTTCCGGTCTCAGTCGAAGTCTGGACCAGAACTCCCTCCCGTCCAGCTTCCTGCCCAACAGCTCGGGCGGTCTCGGGAGACCTCGCACGCCTTTCTTGTCCATCAAGTCCATGACCCAGCCGCGATACTTCCCCTTCGTGTCTACCTCTGCCGCCTTTTCAGTATCATCCTCTGAGAAGACCGCTTCCTCAGACTCGCCATTGAAGTCCCACACGATCTGCCACCAGTCGTAACTGACGCAATCGGAAATAATCCACCTCCTCCCGAAGACCGGCGACGCATCCGGTTCTGACGCACTGCTACAACGTTGATCCTCCTTGACCACCGCGATGATCGCTCTACCAACATCGATGCCGTGGATCAAATGTAGAGCCCCCTTGTCGCCGAGCTGTTCTTGCGTCTTTGCCACTCGAGGGATCCAACTTCCCGGTTGTCGTTGCGCGCCATAGAGACCCGCAAGGTTCAGCACGCAGCCGTTCAAGGCGATGAGTTCGTCCTCCGCGATCCCTCGTTCGTTGGAACCATCAATTGGCGTGTCGCAATTGACCCAGTCGGCGGTAGTGTAGACGCCCGTGCTGCCTAATTGGATCCATTTCGTCTCGGTTGCTATCTCGACACCGTAGCCTGCCTCAGGGCTCAATGATCGCGCATGCGTGGCCTCGTACATGCCCACCACCTTCTTGCTCGGTCCTTTGCCTTTCAGCGGAAACGTAATCAGCACATACTCGGCCAACGGCAACCTCCGGAATGGCTCAAGGTCATCGGACTCTGGGTCGAATCTGAATTCAATGGTGTTGTCATGGCCGGTGGACGTGGTTGCCGCGTACGTTATGCATGATTCCCTCTCGAGAAGTGGATGGAGGAATTGATATGTCCATCCAGCGCCGAGGATGAGCAGCGTTACTGTTCCATGGCTGGGCGTGTGGATGGAGGCGGCACCTGGGGACAAGCTCATAATTAGTTGAAGCTGATCACGGCAGTGGCGGTCAGAAGGTGAAGGATAAGGGTATGATTGTCCCGTCGACTCTCAAAAGCGGAATGGAGGTTGTATAGAGTACTCCGTACTGCCTGTGTGGGTCTTAAAGTGGTGATCTCATCGTGAATCGCGTGGCTTTGGCGAGTGGTGCTACCGCTGGGTATGCCCATGCCCGTGGATGCCCTAGGTGCCGCTTTCGGAGGCTTGGGGGCTGCGGCTGGCGGTGGGGAAGCACCCAGGAAGGCTTAGTTAAGGTGCTCAGCTGAAGCACCAAGAGCAGCAGCAGCATAACCCCACGGGCCAATCCCTAGACACGGCCACGCGTTGGGCATTACCGAGCTTCTTGTATTGCGCGACTAGGCGATATCAGTGTTCATGTGCGATTATGGAGATACTCACGAAGACGGCTACTGTCATCTCCATGGCTTAGGAGCGATGGAACAGACGCATCACGGCGTTTGGCTGCTGCCGTAGGATACCCGCATCAGGGGACCTCAACACTGCCTAGGTACATTTTCTCGACGGACACCATGATATCTTCGGCTTGAAGTCATAACTCCCGCACACGGTACGCCGTGACTTATGGCAGATTACCACTGGCACGTCCCGGAGGATACTGCGCAGCAACAGATCCAGGCCGGTGGCCTCTATACTCTCCTCGGTCGGTTCGGCGGCACTGCAGCAAAGACCACCTCGCATCCGCAACCATTAGCCTCGAGAGCAGCCTGTCCCTCGTTTACGAAGGTTGAATTCCGCGAGTCCGTGACCAAGCTCCCAAGCTCCGAGAGGTCCGCGAGCACGGAAGACCTCTGATTCAAAGACAACCAGTAAGGTCAGCTTCAGGCCGGGCAACAATGTTGATACTTGAATGGGTAAGCGCCCGATAACTTCATCACCGACACAGTTGGACTTGGGCCTCCTATGTGGAAACAGCTTGGACTCATGCTTTATTCTGTATAATTTCCACCTTGAAGGATGTCATGCCTGACAGCGCTCCGGGAAGAGGCAACCGGTGGATCTCTACTGTGAGTGTCGAGTCACCCACGTTGTATGTTGCCCGATCATTGAAGCACTCTACGGCGTAACCTCTATCAGAGATGGATGCCTTGATACGTATCCAGATCGGCAGAGCGTAAAGGGGAAGATGTTGCGTCAAGTCTCCCATCATACCATGACTCCAACTCTGTGGCGCCAGTAGCCTAGGATCAAAGAAAACCACGAGTTGCGGTTGTTCTGGAGCATTACTAGACACCCCTGCCCGTTGGCCAAGTTGACACGCCAGAGGAACCCCTATTCTTGAGATTGGTCGCCGGACGAGATCGGATTTCCAAAATGGTCGCCTATGTGTACTATCCGGTAGCACCGCTTGCTCTCTGCTGCGCAATGGATTGAAATCCGTGTAACTTTCGGAGGCTTTTGCCGCATTGTGAAGTATTCGAACATGGATAGATATATTCTCTCTGGAGGGGGAATTGGCACCGTTGTCGCAACAGCAAACAATTTGTTCGGACACTGCCGCATGTAGTTCGTGTTGTCAGGGGCCATGCAAAGATGTATCCCTATTCTTCTACCCTCGCGACGGCAATTGAGGATGCCGATCATGGCGGCACCGTTGCGAGGCGCAGGCTTGCCTGTCGCTGTGATTAATGGCATTGAAATAGAGATACCCATGTTGTCTATCGATACGGCAGTTGCATCCTGTGCCATTCGTTCGATGGAGGTGGTTGAGAAGCTTGTTGGAGAGCTCGCGAAAGAGACGCGAAGGTCCTGTCCGACTCGAGCAGTAGACTCGGACGTCCATGCTAGGATGGACTGGTCGCCTGTTTTCGTCAGAATTTCCGATTGCAGTCTCTGAAACGCGCGCAGGCCTTCTCCGTATAATAGAGGCATGTTGATGTCGAAAATACCCATTAGGCAGTAAGCAATGTCTTCGGTTCTTGTGGTCTCTCTCCGTGATGCCCAGAGCATTATCTCAGCCGCGCATTCGTATTTCACAATTGCTGGATCTGACAAATGTCTGCGTGATATGCCCGTGATCACGACGATTTGGTCAAGCATACTCATCTTGGTCCCAATCTCGCGCCATAATCTGTCGTAAAACACCACATGAGTAGGCGCAAGGAGTTCTTGCAGCGTCCAGCTACGTGTCCACCAACGGCTATTCTCGAAAGACCTTGACAATGGATCGTTGTCGACATCGGAGAGATGCACATAGCAAACATGAGCTTCACTGTACCACCGGAACATAGAATTGATGGCTTCAGACAACTCAGAACTGCTCCGCTTGTCGATACAACATGTGTCCACCCAGGCGTACGCGAGGCCGTCTGCTTTGGCCTGAGCACAGCAGCCTTCAATCTTTGGGTAGCCCTCCTTCCTCTTGTAGTCTGCAGTCCCCAGATCTTGAAACAGTACCTCTTCTTTGCCCCATGTGCGCGAGAGAATGGCGTAAGGCGGAGGGTTGGAATGGAACTCGTGGAGCTTGAGTGTTGTGGTGTTGAGAAGCCACATGGCAACGGTTGCTCAATTGGACAATTCGCTAACGATGTTCATACACTCCATCTAGCTTGAGACAAAATACAGGCTGCAAAAAGGAAGATGTCTGATCAGAGAGGCATTGAAAGGGAAGGAAACTGTACGGGTTGAGGCCAGGGTCAATATATGAGAATCAGGCTGAGAAGCCAGCCTTGCAGTAGCTTTGTCATGGTGGCCAGACACTAGGCTGAGACCGTTGCACCTAGTGAAGAGAGACAAGCATGTGAGCTACGCTCTGGTATTGCGTGCGACGGCCTTGCTCGAAGCAAGGCGTCGAAGCAATGAGCATGGAGAGTGACAGTGAGAAAGCAGGACCGCGGCGCATTGTCTCATAGAAATCAACTGGACGAATACAGCGGATTTTAGGGCTTCAAGTGCAGTCCCTACGGCAGAGTGCAGTCGCGTCAACCACACCTTTCTCGGTATGAGAGCAGGCCTCGATCTCCCTGTTTGTTGAGGCATCAACCTGCTGTTGTTGCGGCGCTGGCACGACAAAAGTCGCAGACAAGACAGTGGGAGCATGAATGCAGGGTAAGGTGAAGTCAATTCGGTTTGCCCACATGCGGACATCGGTGGACGCCGAGAGTGAGTAAGATTCACCCATTTACGAACCTGGCAAACATCGAAAAGGAACTTCCAGACCCCTGCCGTCGTGTTAGGTCTACTTAATCATAGTCCGACTCAGTGCCGTGCAGAGGTAGTCTAGGTTCTGATGACCCGGTGTCATATTGAACAGGAGCACTCCTCTGCTCCGACCTCTTATAACAGGCTGTAGCAGCCCAGCCACCAAAGACGCCCTTTCGCTCTCCGCCCTCGGTCTGGATCATGGCCACGCGCACGACCTCATCCATAGCCATCATCGGGGCCTCAATCACCGGTTTGTCCCTAGCCCTGTCTCTCATCCAAGCCAATCTCGTCGACCCAACAGATATAACGGTCTACGATCTCCGCTCGCCCAGCGCGCCGGACGCAGCATACTCGTCGGGCGTGGTGCTGACACCCAACGGTCTCAATGTGCTCAGTGCGCTGGGTATCCTACCTAGGATCCACGACCAGTGTTGGCTCTCCGAGTATCGCACCTATAAAGACGAAGGGGACGTCACGACACGCAAGGTCCTGATCGCAAATGAGAGCCTCTACGGGTTTCGGAACCACCGAGTCTGGAGGCGCATTCTGGTGGAGGAATTGCTCGGGATGGTCCGGGAGAAGGGCGTGCAAGTGCAGTGGGGGAATCGGTTCGAGGGTGTGCTGTCAGAATGTGAAGCTGGAGTGGTGTTTAAAGTCGATGGACGGGAGGAGCGGGCTTCGATGCTGTTCGGCGCAGATGGCATCCATAGCTTGATCAGGAGGTATGTTACTCCCGGGGACAAAGGACCTGAGTACACTGGTGTTGTGGGCGTGCTGGGCCATATCCCTTGGGAGAGCGTGGCGTGGCCTTATCGGGACTATGAGCGCGCGTGTACGATTCAAGGGAAGCCCGGGGCCTTGGTCCTCATGCCGGAAGATCGTGAGGGAAGGGTCATCATGGTGGCCATGCAGACCAAGTTGGAGGACCGCAGTCGTGAGGATTGGGAGGCGCTGGGGCGGGATAAGGCTTTCTTGCGAGATTTCTTCGCCCAGAGTCGAGATCAGTGGACGAGTCAGACGGCCAAGGGCATCATTGACGCAGTCTGTGGGCATGAGGAGACGCTCTATATGTGGCCTTACATGAGAATGGGCGTGTTGGAGAGGTGGTTTTCGGACAAGACGGGCAGAGTGATCATCATTGGGGATGCTGCTCATGCGTTGCCCCCAAGCAGTGGACAGGGCGTCAACCAGGCATTGGAAGACATTCATGCCCTGACTAGGCTGCTTGTTCTGCTCAAGTCCAAGCCGCAGATACAGCTGAAGGATGCGCTTGGATTCTGGCAATCTCTTCGACAGAAACGGATCGATGCCGTGTTCGACTGGGCAATGAACCGGACTAATGTGCAACGGATGCCCTTGGCGGAAAGAGAGACACTGGTTCGTGAGGGAAAAGTGTTGGACGCCAAAAATGCCGAGAATTTCGATGACATGAGGTGGCTGTACCAGCCGCACACGGACAAGCTGATTGATGATTGGGATGAGATACACAATCGTTGATTTGGGAAATGCTAAGCAGGCAGGCATGGTCAGCAAGGGAATTCGACGCCATCGGACTCCCCCTGGTGAACGGCAGTCAGATCAAAATCCTCCACCACTTCCTCCAAACCCTGACTGCAATCAGGGTTCTGGCGCCAGCATATCAGCTTGCCCCTCGCTGTGCTTGCCCGACTGGGAATAATTTTGACGTGGCGGAAACGAGATACGGCTGGTAGGCTGGGAATGTGGGCCAAGTAACGCTCGTTCTTCTCCGCGGGAGGGTCAAAGGGACGCGGATCGAGGTCCAAGGCAAATTGGTCAAAGAACCCGTTCTCTTCTAGTATCATGACTCTCTCAGCGTTGTGTGCAATCACCACGCCATCCCAGATGCCTTCCCGATGCGGCGCTGCCAGCAGTATCGCGATGGCCTGCCTCCTCAGCCAGGGCACCCTGCATTTCAGCGCCACATATGACAGCAGCGGGATGGTACCGACGTCCAAGGTGAAGCTGAACCCCGTAAGTCGGACATCGTTGGTGAATGGACGGTTGTGGAATTCGCTAGCCCTACGGTAGACTGCAACTATTTCGGAGAGGATGAAAGTGAAGGCAGAGGTGAAGTCATCATAACATGCTTCTGAAGTGCTGAACATCGTTGCAACCTGAATCGATGCCATGGTGTGAAGGAGGCGAAGCAGCGGGATACCCAGGGAGTGGCGGCAACTGGTGACCCTCTGCAGGGTTGGGACGCTGGCCGTGAATGTCTGCAGCCAGGTCGACATCGCTTTCTGGAGAAGTTGATGCTGGGCGAAGATCTCTTCGGAGGGTTGTTGCTCGTTGGCCTCAAGGCGGCGGCATTGTTCAGTCAAGCTCAATATCAAATGCCTGAGCGAGTCGAATGCCCTTCTTGCTTCGAACATATCGACAAAGACATGAGGAAGATCCCATTCTGAGGAAAGTCTTTGCGAATGAGCCACGTCGCAGATGGCTTGAATAGATCCAGCATGCGCTGATTGAAGGCTCAGCCGCGTGAAAGCTTCGATCAGGTAGTCATCCACCGAATCATGCAGCCTCCGGGGGTAAAACACCCGTGGGTCGAAACCTCTCTTCAGTCGCTTCAGCAGATTCAAACCATGTCGTGTGTGGGTTACAGCTGTCGAGTAGTCGCCCCGCAGAAGTTCGAGCGAGACGTATAATATGCATGCAACCAGTGCGGTGCGTACTTCTTTCACATTCTCCTCCTCGAACTTGTTTTTGCGCAATTGTGAGATGCTTTTGTTGTACTGCTCCAAGGCAAATGCTTCATGTGGATCAAATTTGCCATTTTCTCTGTAGCACGAGAAGGAAGAGGGGACGGAACTCCCATACCGGTTGAGGTCTGCACTTCTGTGTGCCGAGCCAAGGGCGACAGCCGCATGCAGAATCGGGAGTTCGGAGGCACTGGCTTGAAGGACCAACTCGGTCCAAAAGTTGGACGGGAACACCCCTGGTATCTTCGCCACCGTCTTGTTGACAAAGTAGTCGAAACCGATCTGCTCGGCGGGTGTGATGTCCTTGAACGGCATCGGCGTGTGGTGTCTAGACAAGGCTGGCGCCGTAACGGGCACAGGTGGCGCGAGTTCCTTTGCTGGTCGAGTCGCAATGCCATTGTTACGGCCGTGCTCGCCTCCTAGTGTGCCTCCACCCCAGATGCCATAGCCGGCGCAGAAGAGTCTCGCCGACAGGCAGTTCGAGCATTCAGGCCACTCCTCTCCACACTTGAGATGCCTCCTCTTGCACGTTCGACACCCTGTCTTGGTTTTCGGGGCAAACTGACGCTTTCGCTTGCGAGCGGCGTTGGCCATGATTTGTCCATTCCAGCCGGCCACTCACATTCCTTTGAGATTGTGAATGCCGAGGACAGGACGCCGTAAATGAAGACTGACCATTGGCAGTTTGTGATCTCCAGATGCGCTCTCGGCTGGCCTTGAACGGTGTTTTGTACTTGGAGGTGGGTGGCTTAGTGGCCTGCCAGTCGGTGAATATCCGCTTCGTCCTCTACCCCCATTGGTTGCTCCGTATACCATGAGAGTCTATTGGTTCATCTGCTTTAACATGAGACTAGGCTCGCCTGCTTAACAAATAGCGTGTGTGCCAAGGCTAACTATAAAGCGCATAGTTAGGGGGACAAATCCACTGTACCCGCACGCAGCACCTCAACATCGACGTCGCGTCGCTGTCAGGGAGAGTCCTCAACAGGACGAACTCGGTCGGGTTACCGTGTGCTGGGAGTATGTTCAGTGCCGGACGAGATAATATAAGAAGCGTAGCAGACTGACAGAGGATGAAGAATAAGAAATTGCCACCTGGTGCTGAGTACCGATTGGAATCCTTCTCTGAACAAGCTGCAATCCTTTATCCGCTGCTCTTCATCGAGAGGGAGAATTCGCCACTTTGTGCTGAGCATAGATTGGAACCCGGCTTGAACAAGCTGCATTTCCTTCATTCGCTGTCCTTTGCTAGCCCCCGCAATGTGGCCTTTTAGTCCCAGCATTGACTTCGTGCCGGACAAGGACATCGCAGATCTGACGGGGAAAGTGATACTTGTGACAGGAGGGTTCGACGCCAACATGCTATAAGAATTCTGCCAAGCATAAGCTGACGCTTTTCAGAAACACTGGGATCGGGAAGGAGACGGTTTTACAGTTAGCGAAGCACAGACCAAGAAAGCTTTTCCTGGCGGCAAGGACCCAGTCGAAGGCCGAGGAGGCCATCGCCGACATCAGATCCGCCATCGCTCCGAAAACGGTCGATATCGAATACCTGCCGCTTGACCTGTCGTCGCTTGCTTCCGTCAAAGCGGCGGCCGAGCGAGTCAAGGAGCGCGATTCACGACTGGACCTCCTGATTCTCAATGCTGGCATCATGGCAGTGCCACCTGGCAAGACAAACGAGGACTTTGAGATTCAGCTCGGCACAAACCACGTCGGCCACGCTCTGTTGACCAAGTTGCTTTTGCCGACGTTGGAGAAGACAGCCGCTGAGCAGAACCCCGATGTGAGGATCGTGGTCGTCGCTTCCAACGGGTACACCTTCGCCCCAAACATCGACACCATTCTCTCGACGGAGAAACTATGTGAGACAGGTCCTTGGACGCGGTATGGTGCTTCCAAGGCCGCAAACATCCTTTTCGCCGCGGAATTAGCTCTAAGATATCCTTCGCTGACTTCGGTCTCACTGCATCCAGGTCTGTTCTCCTTCAACGGTTGGCGGATCTGCATTGTCTCTGACGATCTCCACAGGCACGATCCAAACAGATTTGTACTTACCCAACAAGCGGAACAGCTTCGTGCTCCGCTGTTTTCTTTCGATATTCGGACCATTGTTGTTTCAACCCCCACAGTTTGGTGCATTAACCCAGCTGTATCTCGCCAGCGGAGCCAAGAAGGACCAATTGAAGAACGGTGGATTCTATACCCCAGTCGGTGTTCTCGACAAGAACAACAAATGGGCGAACGAGAAAACAGGGGCTAAGGCGCTCTGGGAGTGGACCGAAGACCAGCTGAAGAGCAAAGGATACTAGTTCGTGCGCCTGGGGGAGGTTCGTTTCGATAACTTCCTGTGACAGCGTCGGGCGGCGCGTACGGCCCCCTTTGTTTCATAGATAGGGTAATAATAAACGCATGTGCTAAAGCATCGGTACCGTATCAAGGTACATAAGCGCAGAAAGGCTCTTGGGATGTCTGAGGATGTCCTGCCTGCTGACTGTAATCCGTCTAATCTGCGCGGACGCGACGCGCTACGCAGGCGCACAACGCGTCCGCTTCGGGCAGTTTTCCTCCACCGTAGACCATGCAGGAAACTTGATTGGCGGAAACACTCTACACTCGCTATTCAATGCGGCCGCTTAGTCCAACCTCTGCCACCGCTGTAGAATAAGGGAGGAGGACGAGAGGAGGACGATGGCCTCTGCCCAGAAGAAACAGCAGACACTCTCTGCCTTTTTCAGGAAACCCTCATCGACTCCTGCCCCCAAGCCTCAACTGCAGGCGTCTGAGGACAGCAGCGATGACGATCTGCCTGTGCCGCCAACGAAAAGACGACGCCTTGGCCCCGTTACCCAAGAAGCTGATGGTATCGGAGGTCAGGACATCTTGGAAGATGAAACCAGTCTGAGGACGTTACGGCCCGTCGTCGCTAACGGCCAAAACCTTGCCGCATCTACGATCGAGCCTGGGCCGTCACGGACCGCCAAATACCTCTACTCCTCTTCAACCCAGCAGCAGGAAAACCACGATTTCGACGACCGGGATGGCACTGAGAAGAGATGGAAGGATGAGTTGCACCGGAAATTTGTCAAGAAGCTGGGAAAGCCCGACAGCATTGCCGACATCAAACGGCGGAACCATGTGCTCGAAGACGAAGCCGTGGCTGACGAGAACGAAGATGGTGACGAAGAGGTCGCTGAAGACTCCCCGAGACCAACCGCTCGCTCAAAGAAAGGAGGAAGCAAATTGACACCCATGGAGAAACAAGTACTGGACATCAAGCGGACGCATATGGACACCCTGCTCGTCGTCGAAGTTGGTTACAAATTCAGATTCTTTGGAGAAGACGCAAGAATTGCTGCTAAAGAGCTCGGCATCGTCTGCATACCAGGCAAATACCGCTACGACGAACACCCGTCGGAGGCTCACATCGATCGGTTCGCTTCTGCAAGTATACCCGTCCACCGACTCCATGTCCATGTCAAGAGACTTGTCACTGCAGGTCACAAGGTTGGGGTCGTTAGACAACTGGAAACTGCAGCGTTGAAAGCGGCCGGAGATAACAGGAACGCGCCTTTTGTGAGGAAACTTACCAACTTGTACACCAAGGGAACCTATATCGACGATATCGAAGGCGTCGACGAAACCAGCCGAGGAAGTCCTGCACCTCAGTCGCCTTCGACTGGATTCCTGCTCTGCATGACAGAAACCAACGTCAAAGGTCAAGAGAATGATGAAAAAGTGCATGTTGGTTTTATCGCGGTTCAGCCGGCCACAGGCGATATCGTCTACGACGACTTTGAGGACGGCTTCATGCGGAGCGAGATCGAAACGAGACTTCTCCACATCGCTCCTTGCGAGTTTCTGATTGTTGGAGAACTTTCAAAGGCTACCGAGAAGCTTGTGCTTCATCTCTCGGGGAGTAAGACAAATGTGTTTGGTGACAAGATCCGAGTCGAGCGTGTGGCCAAGCAGAAAACCATGGCAGCTCAAGCCCATAGCCACATATCGACATTCTATGCCGAGAGACTCAAGGATCTCCCGGAGTCGGATGGAGACAAGGCCACGAAAATCTTTGATAAGATCATTGGGTTGCCGGAGCACATCTCCATTTGCCTGTCGTCCATGATCATTCACCTGTCCGAGTACGGACTTGAACACGTCTTTCAACTGACGAAATACTTCCAACCATTCTCTGCCAGATCTCATATGCTTCTCAATGGCAATACGCTCACAAGCCTTGAAATATACCTCAACCAAACAGATCATACTACGAAAGGAAGTCTCTATTGGATGCTCAACAGGACCCAGACGAAGTTTGGTGGTCGTTTGCTCCGCAAATGGGTTGGACGTCCACTCCTCGACGTGCAAGGCATTGAGACCCGACTGAACGCTATCGAAGAACTGCTTGACTCCGAGAAAGCCGTACAAACTGAGAAGATGCGACGAGTGTTGTCGAAAATCAGGACTGACCTGGAAAAAAGCCTGATTCGCATCTACTACGGCAAGTGCACACGGTCAGAATTACTCACCGTCTTACAATCATTGCAGATGCTGGCCACCGAGTTCGCCTACGCGACAGATGCGGCATCGACGGGGTTTGACTCAGAGCTCATCTCGTCCCCTTTGATCTCTCTGCCGACCATTCTGAAAGAGGTGGTAGGGTATCTAGACAGGATCAATCTTCAGGCGGCCAAGTCCAACGATAAATACTCCTTCTTTACGGACGCTTCGGAGACCGAGGCCATTTCTGAGCACAAGTTTGGTATCGCTAGTGTCGAACACGACTTGGAAGAATTCCGAAAGACCGCGGCCGAAAAGCTGGGCAAGACACGACCCGTGGATTATGCCACCGTTGCCCAGATCGAGTATTTGATTGAGGTCGAGAACAACTCGGCAACTATCAAGAAGGTCCCGGCATCGTGGATCAAGATTTCAGGCACAAAGAAGGTGTCCAGGTTCCACGCCCCAGAAGTCGTCAAGCTTTTGCGCGAGAGAGATCAACACAAGGAGTCACTCGCGGCCGCTTGTGACGAGGCATACAAGGATCTCCTCGCGGATATCAGCACCAAGTACCAGCTCTTTCGTGACACGATCCAGAACCTGGCGACCTTGGACTGCCTCCTCTCCCTTGCAAATGTAGCATCCCAACCGAACTATGTGCGTCCGAACTTTACACAAGACACCTGCATTGAACTCGAAGGCGCCCGCCATCCCATGGTAGAGCAGCTGCTCGTCGACAGCTATGTTCCCAACAACGTCTCCCTCTCGCAAGTCGACACACGCGCCCTCCTCGTCACGGGGCCCAACATGGGCGGCAAATCTTCCTACGTCCGCTCCGTTGCCTTGGTCGCCATCATGGCACAAATCGGCTGCTTCGTTCCAGCCACGTCTGCAAAACTGGGCATCCTCGACGCCGTCTTCACCAGGATGGGCGCCTTTGATAACATGATGTCCGGCGAATCGACCTTCATGGTCGAACTCAGCGAGACCAGCGACATGCTCAAGCTCGCCACGGAACGAAGCCTCGTGGTCCTCGACGAACTCGGCCGTGGAACAAGCACCCACGACGGTGTGGCCATCGCGGCCAGCGTCCTTGACTATCTGGTCCGCGACAAGAAATGTCTGACCCTCTTCATCACGCACTATCAGATGCTGGCGCGCATGGCCGACGGGTTTCCCACCGGGGAACTCAAAAACGTGCACATGCGCTTCACCGAGACGGACGATGAGAACGTGACCTTCCTTTACGAAGTGGGTGACGGGGTGGCGCACCGAAGCTATGGCCTCAACGTGGCGAGATTGGCGAATTTGGGGGACAGGGTGATCGGGGTGGCGAAGGGGAAGAGCGAAGAGCTTGAACAGGCCACGAAGCGGAGACAGCTCGGTGCGGTCGCACAGGCGTTGGTCAAAGGTGTTGGTGTCAAGAGTGGGCGAGACGTCGATGCAAAGGCTTTGGACACGATGGTCGAGGCGATCGAGATGCTTTGAACAGCGACATGGGTTGTGGGAAAGCCGTAAAACCCTGATCATGGCATCGCTGTACTTGATCCCGAGGAGAAACAGTCAATTCACTTCATGCCCGCATAAGTATTTTATCCGATGGTACTTTCATACGCCGTGCCATTCGACTGGGGTACTAAAGTACAATGGCAAGGCGCTCATAAATGCGTGTTCGTTCGTGGCCACTGGTTGAGAGAAGAGACATGGCCATTGCATGCTTGGGATTCACACACCGCCAACTCGCTGTTCGCACTAAGACACCTGGTCCTCAAACCTATATTCCATCGTAGTCGCCCTGCAGAATATTGTCACCCGCGTTGGGCAACCCAACAACGGCAATGCCCTGGGGGATCCGTGCGCCTCTTGCGTTAAAGCAAGCAAACACCGCCAACTTAGTCAGCTCGGGACAACTTTTGAAGATACCAGCCACAACCACGTCGTCTACGGCACTGACAAACGACAAGTCGATATCTTTGAGCGCAGGATATTGCTTGACTCCGTCGAAATACTCCAGGAGCGTGGTGTGGGAGATATGTCTGTCTGATTTCAGGTTGAGATGTTCCAGGCGGGCGCCAGAGTGGTTGAGAAGTGCTGGAAGGGCGAGACTGCCGAATCCAATTGAGTCCGCTTCGCTACCATCGGGCTTCATGCTGTCGATTTCTCTGTTCTCGCTTACATCAGCATATCTGAGTGGCGGGAACGGGGAGTCGTTGTCGAACAAGGAAGCGAAGGCATTGTCGTGGCAAAGACAGTTTCCTGTGATGCGTAGCTTGGATAGTTTAGAGCAGTATTGTTTGATCGCCTCCAGAACCGTGTCGTCGAGATCTTGGAAGTTTTCCAGACAAAGTGTCCGCAAGTTGGGACCCAAACTGGTGACCAGCTCGACTAGCGTCGACGACGAAGACTCTGGTGCGACAGCCAAGGTAAGGTGCTCAAGACTTTTTAGAGAGCAGAGAGAATTGATTGATGCTTCCGTCATGTGGGAACATGAGCGCAATTTGAGGCGCTTGAGATTGTGACACTGCTTTGCGAGCACTTCGACCGTTTCGTCCCTCATGGAATCATTAAGTTCGGACAATTTCAGGCTTTCCAGTTGAGGACCGAGCTTGTCGAACAGTTCAACCCATGCATTGTCGCTGACAAGATTGGTTGCACCAAGCTGGAGATGGCGGATTTTCTTGCACTTGTCAACCATATACAGAAGCGGTCCATCCTTCATCTGACCGGCGAAGCGCAAATTGACGATTTCGACATGAGGCATGGTACCGAAAATCCTCTGGAAATCCTCTGTTTCTAGCTTGCCACAGTCGTACACGATGATTCGATCAACATCTGGACGTAGAAAGAGATCCAGGACCCGAGGTGTTAGGACTCTCTGTTTGGACAAGATCTGGCTGAGGCGGTCGAGAATGTCTTGTGGCATGTCGCCAAACTCTTCGATGTCATTGACGACGTTGGCGACTTTCCGCACGCACATGTCGACCAGACTTTTACAACCAGACTTGACGTCGCCCATAAGTCTGTCGCTCTCAGTCTGTCGCTTGCGGGCTTTGGGGGCAGACACTCGTTTCTTTTTCGCCGCAGCCTCTCTCTTTTCGTCATCTTTGAGCTCCTTCGAACACTTGCCGCAGAGGAGACCGCCCCCGGGACCAGTCCTGCTGTATGGTGTGACCGTGAATCTCTTCTCACAAATCTCACAGTTATCGAGCTGGCCAGGAAGTGGTGCTGCTTTGGCCATCATATTTCGGGCGAGGGCATCGTCGTCCAGCTCGAGGTCAGAGCCTTCTTCTAGTTCTTGCACCGCTTTCCGACGCTTGAACTCCTTGCTCTGCTTGATCTTCAGCAGGGCCTTCTCCTCTTTTCTCTTGCGCTTCTTCTTTTCGACAGGGTCTTCACTATCGTCGTCGACCTCGTTCTCTTTCTCCGCCTCGGCATTCTCGGTTCCCTCTGTCCGGCGTCTTTCCGCGTCTGCCAGGCGCTGCTGGTAGTCTTGTTGAATCTGTTGCGCAGAGATATTGTGAGAGGCCAGAAAGTCGGTAAGGGCGGACTGTGGACCGCGAATGCGATTGCCGGCATTGCGCCTCGACCTGAGAAGAGAGTTAGTTGAGAATTCTCTGAATCGTGAGTATCCGCTTACATCCTGAGGCACTGGTGGCGAACGATGGACGGTTTTTGGGGGGTGAGCGAATCTGGATCTCAAGTTGCACAAAGAATGGAGGGTATCAGGTCATCAAAGAACAATTGGCCTCAAGTCATCGAAGAACTTTCAGTCTTGATAGGAAGTTGGCATTGAAACACCTCTTCACGCCTCGACAAAGAAGAGTGGCACTGATAGGGCGCTCCAGGGGGCAGTGAGGGGTTCAACCGCCCGGACACGCCAGAAAATCCTCAAAGAGCGTGCAGGTGCGCGTGCCCACGTGAGATAACGCGCTCTCATTGGTGCATTCCCCAGGCAGAAACGCGCTACTGCCCGATTGGTATTCAAGATCCAGGGTCTCGATTTCTACAATCGATAAATCAATCAAGCCTCACCCTCACCTTTAACTCGAGTTCACCTCACCACCGTCTTACTTTTGCGCTCGACAGACAAAATGGGGGCCACTCGGCGCTCTTCCAGGTCTGCGACTTCCTCTAAAGGTTCTTGCCATCCCCATTTTTCATGCTTGACATCTTGCTGACAATGCTAGCAGCCTCGAAAGTCGCCACTCGAATGTCATCCCCTGCAGAGAGCAAACCTCCAATCAAGAGACCCAACACCCGAACTCGAGGTCGTCCTGCTGCATCCAAAGTCCTGGAGATTCCTGATTCTGATGACGACGAGGAGGAGGTTTTCGAGTCTCGATCACTCTCGGAAGGTACCTTTCAAGGAGTGTTTATCCCTAAGAAGGGTATGACTTCCACGACCAGCCGAGGAATACAGTCCGAGTCTACTGCCCCTTCGTCAGTGGCCGACTCGATGGATTCTCTCTCTAGCTACGAGACCCCTGGCACAAGCACCGTCCCTACTCCAGACCCGACCGCCTCGAAAGCCAAGGTCAGTGCAACGGCCAGGGCCCTCCAGTTGCAGTCTTCCGAGTTTGCTCTAGGCGGACGAGGTCGGACTTCTCGAAAACGAAAGATCATGGATGACGAAGACTACGAAGACGCCGATGCAAAGATTGCTGCCAAATTGCAGGAAGAAGAATACAACGTAGTGGTTGACTCCGAGGATACGGATGAGCTGCCCCTGCCCAAGCGCCCCCGGACTACCCGACCTGCTCCTGCATATGTGGTCAGTGATGAAACTGTCGATACTGACGACGACGTGCCGCTTGCCAGCACCCGTCGGCCATACACCAGGCTTCCTATCCATTCGACCAATCCTGCTCCGCACGCTCCCCTTGCCGGTGTTTCACTCGAAGACTCGGAACTTTCATCCCTTGCTGACACTGAAATGCAAGACTTCATTGATTCCTCCATGTCAGATTTTTCAGCAGAAGTTAGTGACGATGCTGATGATGACGCTCTTTCTGCAGCGGCATCTGGATTTGCTGCGCGCACATCGGGATCTAAGCGTCGCCGCGGGCGCGGTGGCCGTTCTCTCCAATGGGACACCCTGACCGAGGAGGAGAGACGGGACTACTTTCACCCCCAGCGGCGACGCCAGATCAAGGAACGCAAGAAATTGGAGAAGGCTCACCCCGAGATCATGACCATGTGGACTGAGCTTGAAAAGGAACCTCGGATTATTCCTGTCCAAGCTCCTCAACCTTCTGGTATCAACCGCAAGCTCAAACCCTTCCAGCTCGAAGGTCTAGACTGGATGATGAAGCAAGAAAAGTCCAAGTGGGCAGGTGGCCTACTCGGTGATGAAATGGGTATGGGCAAGACCATCCAGGCGGTCAGCTTGATTATGTCCGATTATCCCGCCAAGGCTCCCAGTCTCGTTGTCGTCCCACCCGTTGCACTCATGCAATGGCAATCTGAGATGAATGAGTATACCGACGGAAAGCTGAAGGTCCTCATCTACCATATCTCCGCCAATCCCAAGTGCAAAACGATGAAGGTCAAGGACTTGAGGCAATACGATGTCATCATGGTCTCCTACTCCGGCCTGGAATCCATGTACCGCAAAGAAGAAAAAGGCTGGAATCGTGGGGGCGGGCTCGTCAAGGAGGACAGTGTGCTGCATTCCATCAAGTTTCACCGTTTGATCCTCGACGAGGCTCACAGCATCAAATCCCGCACTACAGGTGTTGCCAGAGCCTGCTTCGCCTTGAAGGCCAACTACAAGTGGTGCTTATCTGGCACGCCGGTCCAGAATCGCATTGGTGAGTTCTTCTCGCTTCTGCGGTTCCTGGAAATTAAACCATTTGCTTGCTATTTCTGCAAGGCGTGCAAATGTCACCAGCTCCACTGGTCCCAGGATGAATCCAAGCGATGCACTTCGTGCAAACACAGTGGCTTCAACCATGTCTCGGTTTTCAACCAGGAGATTCTCAATCCGATCACGCAAGCGGAGAACAAGCAGCTAAGAAAAGCCGGCCTGGACAAACTACGCCTCATCACTGATCGCATCATGCTTCGGCGCATGAAGAAGGATCACACGTCGTCTATGGAACTGCCACCCAAAGAGATTGTCATCCACAATGAATTCTTTGGGGAGATCGAACGCGACTTTTCTCAGAGCATTATGTCCAACTCGACCCGCAAATTTGACACTTACGTGTCCCAAGGTGTTATGCTCAACAACTACGCCAACATCTTTGGCCTGATCATGCAAATGAGACAGGTTGCCAACCATCCTGATCTTATCCTTCGCAAGAACGCCGAAGGTGGTCAAAACGTCCTGGTGTGCTGCATCTGCGACGAACCCGCCGAGGAAGCCATCCGCTCGCGCTGTCGCCACGAGTTCTGTCGGCAATGCGCCAAGTCCTACATCCAGTCCTTCGCTGGTAGTATCAACGGAGGTACTGAAGCCGACGCAGATTGTCCACGCTGCCACATCCCTCTCGTGATAGACTGGGACCAGCCCGAGATCGAGCAGGATGAAGACAACGTCAAGAAATCGTCCATCATCAACCGCATCAAGATGGAGGACTGGACTAGCTCTACCAAGATCGAGATGTTGGTTTATGACTTGTACAAGTTGCGCAGCAAGAAGCAGACCCATAAGAGTATTGTCTTCTCACAGTTCACCTCGATGTTGCAGCTTGTGCAGTGGCGGTTGCAGAAATCCGGTTTCTCGACTGTTTTGCTGGATGGAAGCATGACTCCGGCACAGAGGCAGAAGTCGATCGAACATTTCATGAACAATGTCGACGTTGAAGTGTTCCTTGTTTCGCTCAAGGCTGGTGGTGTTGCGTTGAACCTGACCGAGGCTAGCAGGGTGTTCATTATCGACCCGTAAGTTCTGCCGGCGGCCTCTTTTCCCCTCCCTTCGGCAAACCCCTGCTAACTTTGGATTCTTCACAGGTGGTGGAACCCAGCTGCTGAATGGCAATCCGCAGATCGATGCCACCGTATCGGACAACGTCGCCCCTGCAAGATCACCCGGCTTTGCATCGAAGACTCGGTCGAGTCGAGGATGGTCTTGCTTCAGGAGAAGAAGGCCAACATGATCAATGGCACAGTCAACAACGACCAGGTCGCTTTGGACAAGTTGACCCCCGAGGACATGCAGTTTTTGTTCCGTGGGACTTGAGTCACCATCGGAAGCATGTATCTGGGAGCTGGTGTATGCTTTGACATGACAGACGACAAAGTGATTGCTATGCTGTTGTGGCGAGTATGGGGTTTACAGCGGTGCATTGACCAGGCTAGTTTTCCAGCAGGCCATGAATGAGGACGATTGATTATGTCTGGCACGACGATCACTCTTATGAGGCATGTTTCTGTTCTGCGTGTGTATATTAGTGAGTCTGCAGACAGGGATGGACGATCAGCCCTACGTCTGTTTCTGCTGAGATATGGGAGCTGGTTTATGCCTCGTTCAAGCGGTGAAGGAGAATTGTGCCTGCACTGCAATGTCCCGTACAGAAAAGGTACCAACTACCCAGCAGCTGCCATTAGAAGTGTTCATTCCATGCTTTGCCTCGCGCACCAGGATGAGTGTCCAACCATTATCATGACGTGCAAGGCGCAAGGTCCGAGTTCGTGCACTCGGTGGCAGATGAAGCAATGGAAGACGGCTCGACTGGTCATGCCGTCGTCGCCTCACGCAAACGGATCTTATTCATTTCTCGCGAGTTGAGACCTTCACTGGTGCTGTGGGTGAGTCGTAGGCAAGAGGACACCGTCATTGTGGGATGCGTACGCTGTTATTACTCATGCGTCGGGACTCTGACGGCAACATCAGGACAGTGTAGACATTAAAGAAGGGAGGCTCGGTATTAAATCAAAGTGTGTAACAGTCGGTGTCCCTTGTGGGCGCGAACTGAATTGCCTCCTACAGTCCCGTCGTAATCAGCCCGGACCGCCTCACGTGTCATTCCTCTGCTGGAAGGCTTTTCTTTTCGTGGTTATAATGCCCGACTTGAGTATCTTCTCCACCGAATGGGAAGCGCTGCGGACGTCCCACATCGCCGCCCATGGCCGAGAACGGCCCATGCCACCCCGAACTCGTCCTTGCTCACAGGCTCACCGATAGAAATATGACAGACACAATCAACTTGTCGTTGTCCTCGCGTGTCCGGAGCGACCTTTGAGGCTACAGTATTGTCGACTTCTCGCCACCATGGGCTCCGACAAGTCGTACCTCATCGTCGGTGCCGGCGTCTTCGGCGTGTCGACTGCCTATCACCTGATCAAGAAATATCCCCAGGCCTCTGTGACGATCGTCGACCGAGACGCGTACGACGCCGACAGCCGAGTCGCTGCGTCATGGGACTGGAACAAGGTCGTGCGCGCCGACTACGACGACATCATCTACTGCCAACTGGGGCTCGAGGCGCAAGACGTCTTCGAGTCCGACCCGCTCTGGAAGCCGTACTTCCACAAGACGGGCATCTTCTGGATCTGTCGCAGCGACTACGCCCAGGAAGTCATCGACAACTACAGGAAGCTGGGGCGGAAAGCCGATCTCCAGGCGCTGCCCATTGAGGAAGCCCGGAAACTGTACGGCGGCCTGTTCGAGGACGCCGACTACACGGACGTCAAGGAGGTGCTGGTCAACAAGACCAGCGGCTGGGGGGCCGCCGGCGACTGCTTACGCGCCGTGACGAAGAAGTGCATCGAGTTGGGCGTCAAGTACGTGACCGCCGAGGTTACAAGCTTACTGTTGGACGGTGGTCGCGGTCGCGGTCGCTGCGTCGGGGTCAAGACCTCGACGGGACAGAGCCTGAGAGCTTCCCACGTCATCCTCAGCACCGGGGCATACACGCCGAAGTTGCTGGAGTTGAGCGCCAAGAGCACTGGGAAATCCGATCTTCGCGCCGAGGACAGGATCGTGGCCGGAGGCATCACCACGGGCATGACGAAGCTGGATGATGCAAGTTACGGCCGGTTCGCCGCCATGCCCGTCGGCGTCCAGGGATATACTCCTACGGCAGGTACGATTTGGCCTTCACTCTACTTCCTGAACCTGTCACCTACCGCGTCTGAGCGACATGTGGTACTTTGCGTGGTACTCTGCTGACAGCGTCTTCCTAACACGCGTAGGTCCCTTCATCGGCAGTCTCCCGCCCACCAAGGACAGAGAGCTCAAATGGTGGGGCCAGACGATCTTCAAGAACACCCACGAAGTCGTGCCCGGTCGGTTCATCTCCGCGCCACCCGCCCAGCCAGACTACGCGCAGTGGGACGTCTCGGGCCGGCTGAAGGAGGACATCAACCACGCGAACAACGTCTTCTACGGTAGAAAGGGCGCGACGTGGAAGATGGAAAAGCATCGCATCTGCTGGTAAGTGGGAGTGCCTGTCCCGTGCCTTTGTGTGGGTGTGGGTGTGGGTGTGCGCCGCGTATAAAGTCTGAACATATCCCTCTGGGTACCACCCATGACTAACATAACACCTGCGTCTTGCCAGGGACGCATTTACTTCGTCGGGCGACTTTATCATCTCCCCCCACGCCGCGGCCCAGGGCCTCTACGTGGCCGCGTGCGGGTCCTTCCACGGCTTCAAGTTCTTCCCCGTGCTGGGCAAGTACGTGGTCCAGATGCTCGAGGGCGAGCTGTCGCCCGAGCTGAGGGAGAAATGGGCCTGGGATCGCGAACGGCCGGATCCGGCCCTCTTTGCGGATTTCCCGAGATTCGAGATGAAGGACTTGATAGATGGCAAGGAGACGTCGCGAGGCAAGGGGCAGGGGCAGTTGAGGGCGAAGCTGTAATGATGCACGGGATGGCCCTTCGGGAAGAATCATTGCGCATTGCATTGCGTTGCATTGTTCTGCGTTAGGCATTTCTGTTGGGATTCTTGCGATGCGAGTGCTCCTGCTACTGCTACTTGTCCGGCGATATCTAAAGGAAAATGAATGTATGGGGGGTCCGGTCGAAGTGCATAACATATCTACCGGGTCAAGTTTCTAATGGCGAAGGTATAACCTGTGCGTCTCAGACTGTTCATTCTACGGTCTATCGTAAACAAGTCTGCGGAGAGACTTGGTCAGCCCTCGAGACGCCTATGTCCACTGGCGAGCAGTTGCACGTCGAGACTGCAGTGGTTGTGTCTTGTCTCTACAGCCTCTGGAAATACTTGGGAGTGTACAGGCATAGCTCCGTTCGTTTTCGTGACTCTGAGCGTCAGTTCCCGGTGGACGACAATGGTATTCGACATTCGTTCCTTCCAAGTGCCTGACGCCGCGATCTCAGGAGACCGACTTGCATCCTTCCATAACCCAGCAGGCTCACCGCTCACCCCTCAGGATGGCCCGGTCTCAGGTCAATGTCGGCCTGGTTGCAGTGGCAAGGTCGAATCCCGGGTCCCGAGTGCATGCCATGTCCCTCCTTCCCTCCTTCCTTCCTTTCTTCGGTCCATACGACCCAAATGAACATGCGGCCCGCTCGCTGATGAGACTCGTCCGTGTCCGTCCCGGTGCATCGACGTTCCCACGAGACCGAACCGCGAACTCTGGCGCCAGGAGAGGTAGTGTGGGATGCAAGTCGCGCCACAAGATAAGTACCGGCGCTAATCAATGGATCTCGTTACCCCTTGCGGCCTAGACCATGCATGCCAGAAGCGATGCTCCACCTGCGCTGATCAGCCAGACCAGATCAGACTGGGGTTGCACACCACCCACACCGTACCGACCTACCGACCTACCGACCTACTGTGAATATGACGGTGAGCATGGAGAGAGCACATGCTGCTGACGCATGACCGGTGCTTTCTTTCCATAGGTGGCTCCATGGAAGTTTCCTAAGTTAGACCAGAACGTTAAATCGAGTAAGACACACACGCACACGCACGCCCTAACGAGGTGCGATAAAGCTGTTTCGATTTCACCACTTCCACAGTTGGATGTCGGCCCGCCTGTCCATCGATTTTGCCACGCATGCCATGTATGCATCGTCAAGACGAGGATCTGTTTGCCTGCTCTGGTTGTGTGATGCCGCCGCATTCCTTGAGAGATGATGCATCCGGGAATGGTAGAGTGAGTGAGGAAGTGAGTAATTCGCTCCAGTGCGACGTGCCTGCCTGCCTGCCAGCCTGCCTGCCACGTACTGCGAAATGAAGTCAAGTCTTACCTTGAGGTAACTGATACCGGTAACTCCTTGGGCCCAGATCGCAAAACCGCTCGGATGGTGCAGACCCACCTCATACCTGCCACGTCAACCTTCTTCGTGATGAAGACAGCAGTGATCCATTCCTGCTTCGGATCCCGTGTCCGTCGCAACGGGATTCTTGACTGTCGTCACCTGGCACTTCCATTCGCATTGGCATTCCCATTGCTACTCTCCTCGCTGGCAAACACACCGAGAAGATGCAGCAGTGCGATTGCTCATTTCCATGCCTAGAAGCATTGCGTCCGTCGGCAGTGGTGCCCTTTGATCTCAAACCAGGCGAAGCGCGATATTCGGCGGGTATGGCCTCGTATGGCAGTGTATGATATCTTTGGCGGCGGTACCGTTTTTCGTCTGCTCTCTGCTAGTTGTTCGCCGAATTGCTCCTTCTTACCTTCTCTTTGTTACTTTCCCTTGCTTTGTCCTCCCAATGGATATCTCATTCGTGACTGTCGTGACACGGATTCCAACCCGTAGAAGTATCGTCTCTCTGACTTCGCATTCAGTCTCAGTCTCGAGCTCTGCGTCTCCGACCCTGACGCTCGTTTATATCGAGCTGCATGAATCCCTAAAATGTCCTGCTTGCGCGCGGTGCGGTGTGAATACGAATGGCAATAGTATTGGCCTTGATAACGCGTATGGGTTCGTCCAGCGTGTACTTCAGTCGGATATCCTGTTGTTGCTCTGGGGAAGGACAACATTGTCCATATCGATAGTCCTTCCGGTCGCGTCTGACCTGGCTTGCTCTGCCGTGGCCCCTCCAACATCTTCGAGTTTATGAGTATTTCCTCATTAACGTGGTGGGATTTTCGATTTTGTGCATCTCGAATCTCGCCGTGTCGCATCTCTTAAAGTTACATTCAAGATAACCCTCGTAGGCTTGCAGAGTTTGTACGTATTTTTCGAGTCATGAACGCGACAGCGTGTGTCAAGACTGCCGTGTCGGGAAATGGAATGATTTGTCGATTCCGTGGTGCTGGGGTGTCGCTATGGATGGACGCACAGATAGGATGAAACAACACGTCGCCTTGAGTGATTTGGCTACAGTTCTTCGTGTATTGTATGCTTCGCGGGATGGCGTTGATTTCGAAAGTGTACCGGACGTGCTGCACTGGTAGATGTACTAACACGTTGCATGGATCAATGTCGAGCTGAACATGTCGCAAGTACATATATCGGATCTATCGACTTGGATATGTCATGTCGTATCGAGGTAATGATGCTTAGGGATTGGCGGAGGTGGAGGTGCTGCCCTCTTGGACGAACTCAATAGCCCTGGTATGTCGAGCTGAAAATGTCGCATAAGGTATATCGCGTTTATGATATTGCATTGGAAAATGATGCTTAGATGGAGAGGCGAGATAGAAGTAGGTGCTGCTTGTGGCCATCGACCGTGAGCTGATTCGCTTAGGTTTCTTTGAGCTGAACAGTCGCATTGGCTTCGTTGGTTGAATATGTCGCACTGGAAATTTTACTTCGGAGGCGATGTCGCTTTCGGCTGCGAGCTGACTGCCACGGAAAAAAGGATGTCTTCGAGTTCTTGAAGGTCCATGTGTGTGTGTGTAAATCCCTAGAGGCGGTCAAGGTTGCAATCTTGCAAACTATGGAAAAAATCAGCGAAGCTAGGAGCCAGTCTTCGAGCACGTCAACTCTTTCGTAATCAAGAAACCCACAAGCCTGTCAACGCCAAATCTCTTGCACTTTCTTCCAACGCAGTAATCAATGTCGTTCCCGAAACCGCTATCATCCGCGCAACCGGCTCATATCTGGATCGAACAACGGCTCGGGTGTAACGGTGGCAGGAATTCTCTTCCCAAAATACTCAATCTCGACGGACTCACCCTCACCTACCGTGCTGGGCAGCCAAGCGTAGGCGATTGGTTTGCGAATCGTGTAGCCGAATGCAGCACTGGTAACGTACCCAGTCGGCTTACCATCGAAGAAAACAGGCTCCTTGCCCAAAACCATGGACTTGCCGTCGTTGACGGTGAGACAGCGGAGACGTTTTGCAACGGTTTCCACGGAGCGTCCTTTGAGTGCAACACTGCCGACATAGCCTTCTTTCCCGGGCTTGACTGCGAATCCGAGTCCACTCTCGTACGGGTCATGTTCAGTCGTCATATCAGTACCCCAGGATCGATAGCCTTTCTCTAACCGCAGCGCGTTGAAAGCGCTGCGGCCTGCAGCAATGACTCCGTGAGGCTGGCCAGCCTTCCACAGGGCATCCCACAGCGCCTGACCTCTGTCTGCGCTGGTATAGATCTCCCAACCAAGTTCACCGACATAGGACAGCCGCATAATCCTTACTGGTATGCCGGCGATGTTTGCTTTCTTGCATCGGAAGTATCGCAGTCCCTTGTTCGACCAGTCGTCACTACTGACACCGCTGATCACGTCGCGCGCAAGAGGTCCCCAGAGGCCAATGCAGCAGGTGCCACCAGTGATGTCGCTGACATGCACCCATTTCTCGGGTGTTTCTCGACTTTGCAGGCGCGCCGCTCGGGTGACATAAGCGGTGTCGACAGGTCCGTTGACGCCGACTTGGAACAGCTCTTCCTCAATTCTCGCAACCGTGAGATCACTCCGGACCCCACCGAACTCGTTGAGGAACAGCGTGTAGGTAACAGCACCGGGCTTCAGGGTAACGTTACCCGTGCACAGTTTTTGCAGCAACTCGGCGGCTCCAGGGCCCGATACCTCCAGCCGACGGAGAGGCGTCATGTCGTACATTGCCACAGCGGTGCGCGTCTTCCAGGCTTCTGCGGCTGCAATGGGTGAGTAGTACCTGGCAGACCAGGCATCACGTTCGACGGGCTTCCACTCCTCTGGCAGATCCTTGATCAGCTTCTCGTTTGCTTCGAACCAGTAGGGGCGCTCCCAAGCTCCGCCTTCGAGGAAGTAAGCGCCCAGCTCACGCTGCCGTGCGTGGAACGGACTGACGCGTAGGTTGCGAGGCGACTCCTTCGGCTGGAGTGGGTGTAGAATATCATAGACCTCGACAAAGTTCTGTTGTGATGTCTCGTCGATGTATTGCGGTGTAAGTTGTACCTCCTCGAAGCGCGTAAGCTCACAGTCCGCAAGATCGATTCGGGACCGTCCTTCCGTCAGTACTTCTGCCACAGCACGAGCCACACCCGCGGAATGTGTCACCCAGACTGCCTCTGCCACATAGAATCCGTCCAAGTGGGGAGCTTGTCCGACCAATGGTCCGCCATCGGGGGTAAAGGAGAAGATGCCATTGAAGCCGTCAGCGACTTGGGCATCCTTCAGCGTGGGAAGCAAGTTCTGGGTCTCCTTCCACGCCGGCTCAAAGTCCTCTGGCGTAAAGTCGAGGCGCGACGGCATGTTCTTTTCATCGACGTGCTCAGGGGTTAAGCCCAGAGAGGCGGCCACGACGGGCATTGGCTTGTGGCCGTAGTAGCCAATACCGTATCGGTCGCCGTGTTCGCGGTAGTAGAGGTCTTGGTCTTGGTGGCGCAGAATGGGCAGGCTGGCACCGTTTGGTTGTGGGTTCTTGCCAGCCAGGGCAGGCACGGGAGTGGTCTTGGCATATTGGTGAGCGAGTGGCAGTAAAGGGATGGGTAACCCAATCATGGCTCCGACTTCAACGCCCCAGAAGCCTGCACAAGAGACGACGATATCGGCAGGAACTGATCCATTTGGGGTCGTCACGCCCGTGACTTGGTTTTTCGATCGCTCAATGCCAGTGACAGGAGTTGAGCCGAGATAGCGAACTCCGGCCTCCCGTGTCCGGGAGATGAGCAGCTGTACGGCGCGTGCTGCCAAAGCCAGACCATCGCTAGGGATGTGCAGACCCCCAAGAACCATGTCCTTGTTCAGATGGGGATAGAGTTCGAGGCATTCGTCGGCGGTGATCAAACGCGCTTCGACACCCCATGACGAGGCGTAGCCATGCTTCCGCTTCAGCTCTTCCAGGCGGGCAGGGGTAGTTGCGACCTCGAGGCCGCCTACCTGGTTGAAGCAGTTTTGACCTTCAGACTCCAGTGACAATAGCTTCTCGACGGTATATTTTGCAAAGAGGGTCATGGTTTTTGACGGATTAGTTTGAAAGACCAGGCCAGGAGCATGTGACGTTGATCCTCCTGGCAGGTCCAGAGGCCCTTGGTCGATGACCGTGATGTCGCTCCATCCTCGCGACACCAGCTCGTCGGCGAGGTTCGTACCGACAATGCCTGCTCCAATAATCACAACACGGGGTTGAGTTGCTGGCGCGATTGAACCCATTGTGAACAGAGGTCTCCAGACTCGGGCAGATTAGTGAAGTGAGCAATACTGACACGCCGGAATCTGGGGGATCACAGCATGAGCGACAATATCAAGGCTCCAAGTGACGCCGGTGCCAAAATAGACAATGAAATAAAAATACAACCGTAACAACGCCAGGTGATTATACCGGTAGCTGCTCATGGAATCGATGCCCTGGAACTGGAAGGGTCTCCTACCCGCCTGGATGGAAGTCCTAACGGAAAAAGGGTTAGGTGGGCATGGGGCATGTCGGCTTCCGAGAAGCGGACTGACGATACGAGGTCTGGATCATGCATGACTGTATACACAATCCTTGACAGCGCTGGTGGATGGGTGTGAGGTGAGCGGTTCGGTGGACGGTCGATTGTGTGCGCAGCTGACATGCAGTCTTGGCACTGGCCTGTGCCAGCCAATCATGTGTGACGGCGATCTGCCCCTCTTCCCCTCTTTTCCACCTGCGTTTCTTCTCATTAATTGATTATTTCGAAGACTCTCACCACGACGTCGCAGTCACCGCTTCCACATCGCACGGCATCTTGTGCACATTCTTCATGACCGCATCATGGCCGATTGCGTGCACGATGCTCCTTCTCCTGTGTTCTATCACCCCATGGGTGAAGGCGATCCTGCCTGCACGGGAGATCCAGGGTAGCTGGACCCGAGAGCTTATTGCCGCGAGTCCGTGAATTTTTTCTATTCATGGTTAAGGGCAAAGTTGACCATTCCCAACTCCGCCGGTTCGCAGATCTTACTAAAGCTTCAATTGCCACTTCCGCGATCCGCTCCACTAAGCGAAGAGGCCGTGAGATAAGGGTTTCATGGCTCAACCCCCTCTGATTGTCTCGGGTCAATCCGAGACGAGGTTGGACGTTGGATGGCCTGTCAGTCGAAGACAGGCTAGTCTATGGTTTGAGATACCGAATTTGGACAGCGGACCGCTCATGTGCTATCAATGCTTTCCTTGATCCTTTGGAATGTGACAGGATACGGCCACTCAGCATCCTCGCGTTTCCGCTTGGTTATCGCAGCGACGGTGCGCCACACGGGCTTCCTGTTGACCTCACACCATGAAATCAGCAGGCCATCGCAGCACTCAATGACTCGCCGAGACGGAGCGGGACTTAGTCAGAGGAATGTCCGCAGCGTCGACATACTCGGCCCAAAGCACCCATCGCTTGTCCATGACGAGGTCTAGACTAGGCGACACTGCCGGGTTGAGAGGCCCCTTTTTGCCTAAGCCGTCCATGTTGGTCGAAGGACAGGCCTCCCCCATGGAGCAGTACGAGCCGTGATCAATGTGCGAGGTACCCAATGCACCAAGGGACCGCCTTCCCACGTGCGATGTCACCGACCACGATAAGGTGGGAAAGATAAAGGGGCAGGCTACCAAAGACCTGGTTCTTACCCAGTGCTTCACCCTCACGGTCATATTGCTCTTGAAGACTGTGTGTGATATACCGTACACAACATCCCAGAAATCTTTGTTTCTTTACGACGATGTTACCATTCTTAGGATACCTTGGCCTCGGCGGCTCGTCCACAAGCAACAAGAATGAGTTGGCTTCGTCCGTCAGGGCGCTACCGGCCTCATGGTATACCTCGGACGAGATGTATGAGCTCGAAAGACGAGCAATATTCTCCCGGAAATGGATGATGGTCACACACCAGCTCAGACTCAAGCAGCCCGGCGACTACCTACGGTACGACGTAGCAGGCTTCCAGTTTGTGCTGTGCAAAGATCGCGAAGGTAAAATCAACGGATTCCACAACGTCTGCCGACACCGCGCTTTCCCCGTGGTGACGCAGAATTCCGGACAGGCCAAGATCTTCTCCTGCCTCTACCACGGCTGGTCGTATGGGCTCAACGGCAAGCTCGCGAAAGCACCAGGCTACCAGGACCTCCCTGATTTCGACAAGACCAAGAACAGTCTCTTCCCCATACACGTCCATATCGACGGCAACGGCTTCATCTGGGTGAACCTCGATGCCAAATCGGAGCCCGAAATCCCCTGGTCCGACGAATTCCAAGGCATTGAAGACCTGCCCCGCTACGACGGTGTCAACTGGGACGACTTCGAGTACGACCACACCTGGGAAATGGAAGGAGCCTACAACTGGAAGATCGCAGCCGACAACTACAACGAATGCTACCACTGCAAGACAGTCCATCCAGACATCCCCGCCATCGCCGACCTGACCTCCTACTCTGTTGACACCGAAGCCGGCACCATCTTACACAACCCAGCGACAAAGCCGGAACAAGCGGCCGCCGGCCTGACTGTAGCACCAACATATTTCTTCCCCAACAACTCCATGACCATCACGTAAGTATCCCAAATCTCCTCTTTCTGATCTACACAAAAGCATCAACTAACATGAGCTCCGCAGACCACACTTTTTCTACACTCAGCGCTTTGTGCCCATCTCCCCCAGTAAAACTTTGATGCAGTACGAAGTGTACCGCAACACCAAGTCGGCCATCGAAGACTTCAAGAACATCGACGCCATCTACAAGCGTGTCATGAAAGAGGACAAGTACCTCTGCGACCTGACCCAACGGAACCTACGCGCCGGCGTGTTCGTGAACGGCGAGATGCACCCCAAGATGGAGAAAGGCCCGTTATATTTCCAACAGCGGTGTCGCGAGATCGTGCAGGAGCATTGGAAGAAGGAGACCGCGGAGAAGAGGGAGATCTGGCCCGCGAGGCAGCGCCTCCCAGGTGATGGCAGTGCCATGGTCACGGGGAAGGACCTGGACTTTTGTTCCGGCCTGGCGTGTGACTCGGGCAATAAGGCGCAATTGGCTTGGTGAGATGGGTTTACGCGCTGTTTGGCAGATGAATGCCCGTGCCGTGTTCTTAGACTGTCTTTCACCACGAGGCATTGCATGCGGGGGAGTTTCTTGTTGTGCATCAGGAGCTTTGCAATCTGATGATCTGCTTTGGTCACATTCTTTGGATGACTTGGGACATGACAAGATAGGATAGGATAGGATAGGAACAGTACGATAGGTGTATCGCGGAGACGAATTGAGTTTCAGAGACGAATGAATACTCAGTGTTGTCCAGGTTCTTCAATCGGTTTCTTCTAATTGACTCTTCGCGTTCTCTTTCCCCACTTTGCTTTACTTTACTTTACTTTCCTCGACTCTATATATTCCACCCTCATTATCTCTGACTTGATCCCCCACCGTGGCAAACCCGACCACATGATCAAAGAAGAAAAAATCAGAGACATAACATACAGACAGAAGTGACGTGTATGCGATGAAATCCCAGACCAACGCCCAGAAGCGACACCACCACGACGGACGCATAAGGCTGCGCGAGGCTGAATCTCACAGGGGAAGGAAGGCAGAAGCGCAGCGGTGTCGACACGCTGAACTCAGTGGATCGACAGTCCACAAACCCTTACCCCGTGAAAGAGCATGAAACCTGAGTGTGATGCACCATGTTCATTTTCAAGATGACTCAACCGTACTGACGTGCTTTGATGGGCCCTCCATCGTCGTCGTCGGCGTTGCCCATCACATCATTTCGGCGGCTCGTCTCATCTCGTCGAGCCATATCGAGACGCGGCCGTATCCACAAATACTCCGTACATATGCATTAATACCGCGCCAACGCGGCGAATGCGAGCCGAGCACTCGGGCGTAGCGTGGCATCAACGTAAGTACTACAGTAGGCGAGTGGAGTCAGTCAGTGGACCCCGAGATGAAAAGAAGCGGTCGCCTGGACCGACCACTGTTACATGTAATCCGTTCAGACGGAGTACACATACTATGGTGTACCCATAAAGTCGTACAATGAAACACTACCCGGATCTAATGCAAGTTGCAAGCGGCGGCACTGCCTTTCGCACACCACATGGAACTTACTAACCCGTTTATAATGCATCCACATGTGAACAAAAGCATGACTATAGTGGCCGAGTGCAGCGGCGACGGACCGCATCGCATGTTTCAATAGACGATTCCAAGGATAGACCGTAGTACATACGGAGTACACGTATACATACCTATATACTGCATGAAGTCGTGCGAGTATACATCCACCGCGCCCCCCCTTTCACATCTCGCGGTTCTGGTCTCTGCGTCAGTGCTATTGAATGCGTTGTCTGCGTTAAATGTACATATACACATTCATAAGACCTAGAGAAGCAGGATGAGGCTAAAGCCATGTACGAGCTCGCCGAGTAGAGAACGGGGGTTCCAGGCCTTCGATGATCCCACCTGGCCCCCAGGAGTCAGTCAGGAGCTAGGCCCCAACACTTTATCCTGAGAAATCTAATACATACGGCGTTGACGGATTTGCTGCTAGGTGCTTCACATTGTTCGCCGACATTGAAAGGAACAAGGCAACAGAGGACGGATGGGACGTTCAGTGCCACAGCTAGGATGGAACCCGTCGAGCGTGATACGACGCAACTGCACGTTTCTTCTCAGAAACCGGGGACATTCAACATCCACTCACAATCACAGTCACTGGAAATCAACACGTTCTCGTCATCGCTTTCATGGCATTACCCTGTCTGAACTAGGGCGCAGATGGCCTCTTCATATATCAGCTGAGGTAGGAAACGAATGCAAAGCTCTCATGCACACCCTGGAAGCTCGTCTTCGTGGGTCATCTAGCTCATTGCACGTCGAAAGTACCATGCACAAGCACCTCCAAGTACTCGCCAACGTGACCCGGACGCAAAAATGAGCAATTGTCACAAAAATTTGGTCTAATAGGTATTGTGTTCTGGTCATGACCCGCAAGTTCGCCACATAACACAACAGAAGCGGCTGGTCTCGGAATCCTCCTCGTCTTCACCAATCCGACCATGAAGACAGTAGCTCTGCTCGGATGCTAATGGCTTCAAGAAGTAGGTGTGGCAGATGATGCGACACCCTGCGAGGACGATCCGCCACGAATGTACATGCCCTCTCCAGCACCGGCAGAAGGAGGTGATGAAACAGCGGGGCCACCTTGTTGCTGTTGTTCGATAATTTGTTGTTGTGCAAGTAGCTCTCGGGCATAGAACTCGACAAGCATGGTACCGTAAGCCTCGAGTTCCTCTACCGGCACGGAAAGCCTGAAGTCATTCAGCAGGAGGAATTGGAGCTCGAGGTTATTGAGCTCGGCTAGTGGCAGACCTCCAACCTGCAAGTCATGTGCGTCAGCATTGAAAGGCAGAAAGGTAAGATCTTGTCTAAGATTTATTCTGATGGGACGTACCTTGGCATACCTCGAATTGGTGTAAAAGACATCCGAGAAGAACTTGCTGGCGCACGTAACCCCGGCAATTACAAGGCGGTGTATGTTGTAGCTGTCAACGACGAAAAACTGAGACAAGTCTTGTGCGCTGCCTGGCTGAGGAGAAGTGGGGTTTTGTTGCGACTGAGGCCGTGACTCTGCTGGAGAGGCCGGGCTGGTAATGTCATGATGCTCCTGGGGACTGTCCACATGCATCGGTACGGGAGACCGGGGAGTGGGCGTAGACGACTCCGGGGCGGTGGCAGGTGAGTCAGTGGATCGCCTCTGCCCATCCCCTAGCAGGCCCCGGTTGACCATCTCCGTCATGCGGTCGAAGTAGACCAGCAAGCTCAGGAAAACTTCATACGTGGTGGGACAGTACTTATGAATTCTACTCAGATAGCTCAGGATCGTTATTCCCGGAACGTTCTTGCCGTGGAAAGCCAGCACACAAGACGCGTGCGGATTGAGGTGGCTCTGTTCCTCTGTGAGCGGAATGGGGCGGTGATGCTCGTGTTGTCGGTCGTTAGTGGTGGTTATCTTTGTGAGAAGGCCTGCCACCATCTCGATGATGTCGGTAACTGGCATGGCACTGATTTCATATTGTCTTCCCGCATCGGAGAAGGCGCTAGCTGATCTCCCACCCAGTCGAGGCCGGGTCAGGTATTCCTCACTGGCGAGGCTTCGGATGTGTGACAAGTCTCTTAACTTGATGCGGCTCGGAGAGCTCGCTTCTGACGCGCCCAGTGATCTGGTGGAACGATATGTAGGTTGAAGGCGCGGCGATGGCGGTGAATCTGCAACAACAGCTCGAGAATCGGCAGTCAAGGGAAAGCCTGACTGATCAAATCCACGGGAGTGTTGGTTTGTATTTTGAGGGTAGTATCGCTGGGAGGAGGGACGAGCACTACCGGCTTCATCGTGGTGGGGGTTCGACGTGGAAGTCGCCCGGTCTTCGGACGGCTCCTGGGCTTGAGGGATATGTGAAGACGACGTGGTATATCCTCTGGAGGGGTCGTCCCGATGAGGATTGCTGTCGACCATCATGCGGTGATAGGGATGCTGACCGAGTCCCGGCGCCACTTGGCTGATCACCAACGAGCCCATCTCAACCTTTTGCGTAGAATGTCTGTGCACGGGACTGTTAGCCTCTGTCTAGGTAGAGTTCTCAAAGATAATAGGTCATTGGATGCATGGATGCGGCAGCCTCAGCCTGGCGCGACAAAGTGTACAGCCTGATCTTCAACAGCCCCTCTGAGAGCTGAAGTCGCGCAACGAACAGGAACAGGCGGGGTTTGCAGGCGTCAACGGCAGGCTAGGACGGGCAAAAGCGTGTCAAATTCGCCCTTGCAGACGACTACCTGTTACTTGAGGGCCGATGTGGTACCGCTGCAGCCGATGAGTGGGCTTTAAGGGAAGTTGTGCATTGTGCAGTTGGTGGAGAGCAAGCATGTGCTGCGCAGGTGCAAGCCGGTAACGAAGCGGTGGGCGATGGAAACATGCGATTACTTACCAAAGACATGCCGCAGGTCGTTTGTGAAGGAAGAGATGATAGCTGCTGTCGAGCGTGTGTATTGTCCCGTCTCCAACGGCAGACCCGATCAATGCGAGTGGCGGGAGATAATGGAAGGGTGGACAGATTGTAACAAGAAAGCATGGGAAGACGGGCATTATTTCGGGATGAATTGGGTTGGGCTTTGAAGACGTGAGGCGCAGTTGCCAAACACTCCCCGAGATGCTGCCCTGCTTGCAAGACGTCATTTTGCATGACAGGCCACTGTTCGGTGGCTGTTAGGCGACTCTCTGGCGGCCGACAGCAGGTCACCCAATAATGCTCTACGCCAAACCACATCTCGCTGTTGACATGCTGATGTCTAACGTGATTAACCGTGTGCGCCGATGCATCCCTGACGCCCGCCCACTGCCACTCGCCCTCAGTCTCTTCCAGGTCCCTTGTAGCCTTGGTCTGGGAGGTACAGATGTCGCTGCGCACCTTTCGCGGTTAACACAACCATCCGAATCACGCCTCCTGAACTGCCGTCCCACTTGATCGCCTCTCTCAGTGCCTCCTTGACAAAACTGATGCCTTCTTCTTCCGTCATTTCCTCTTTCCAATGTGCGTCGCAGAAACCGTAGATGTATGTTGAACCTGAGCCTCCGATTGCGTATGGTCCCTTGTGCAGTGAGCCACCCAGAGGTATCGAGTAGACTTGTCCGCCATTCCGCTTGTCCCATCCAGCAATGATCATGCCAGCACTATTAGGAGTAAGCACAAATCCCAGACTACCGGCAACAAGGATTGGCTCACCTTAGCTGGTCTTTGTTGTCATAGCACAACTCCTGAAATAGGGCAGCAGCAGTCTGAGTGGTCGGAGCCTCGTTGTTCATGATGCCGTACATCCCCAGGTGATACTGCACAATATCGGCTACAGCTTGAGTGTCGGCTGCTGATCCCGACCTACAGCACCAGATCGTATCGTGTACTTGGGTGAGCTTGTCCGTCACTCGATTGGCGATGTAGGCCCCTGTAGTTGTCCGACTATCGGCACCCAGAATAACTCCGTCTTTGAAGTTGATTGCCATGATTGATGTTCCCAGGTTGACTTCACCAGACTTCAAATGGTTCATGTCGATGTGGATGCCATCCTCTCCAAGCATGCCCCTTCCCGGGCCGATCATTTTGGCAGCGGACCGTGTGGTCAGTGATATCGAACGGTCTGCAGTCAATAGAAGCCGGTGATGAAGCTTGCGAGTCAGGTCAGGTCGGGTCGGAGTTTGAAGCAGTCGATGAGATGGCAGCGAAGGGAAAGTGAGAGTATGCTGAATTGTGCAGCGCAGTAAGGCACACCAGTAAACGCGTCCCCAATTTGGGTCGCAGGCGAGTGGAAGCTGCGCGGCAAGAAATCTCTCGTACCGCTTAGCTAACTTAATCCGCCTGCATTGGCACCTCCGGCGGCTCGGGCGCTTAAGTGCTCGCCTAAGCTGCCTTATTCTCAATTTCCCCACGTCATGGACCCCTAGCTCTCCTCGCACCTACCTCGTAACAAAACACGGTGGACTTCCTCGTTGTGATACGAATACATCGCTATTTGATCGTACTGTGCATTCTTAAGACAATACATCCTGTCACTTTGTGTAATGCATGCGCGCCCCTAGAACTGCTCCTGTTGTACTCTAACCGTGCAATCTGCGCCTCCAGTCGCCATCCATCATGTCATCCTATCTAACGTGGCTGCGGATTCCCGTCTTTGCTACCTCCGGGCTCGCAGCCCTAGGCAGCAGTCTACTCTATTTCAAGCAGAACGACATCATCTATCCCGCCAGTCTACCTGCGGGCTCTAGGACGAACGTTCCCATACCCGAACAGTTTCACCTCAAGAATGCAGAGTCTATAAAATTTCCCACCCCCGACGGCGAAACACTTCACGCCTACCTGCTGCGACCTCCCACCCCCTCTCTCAGAAAGAACATCACACTGTTGATGTTCCATGGCAACGCTGGAAACGTTGGCCACAGACTCCCTATCGGCAAGGTTTTGTCCGAGAGCCTAGGCTGCCATGTCTTCATGGTCGAGTATCGAGGGTACGGCTCGTCGACTGGTTCACCCAGTGAAGATGGATTGTCGATCGATGGACAAACGGCGCTGGACTATGTGCGAAACCATGAGGAGCTGAGGAAGACCCACATCGTGCTGTACGGTCAGAGTTTGGGTGGTGCCCTCGCCGTTAAACTCTTGCAGACGAACTACCAGGTTGGCGATATCGCAGCGGTCATCCTGGAAAACACCTTCTTATCGATCCGCAAGCTGATCCCCTCGGTTATGCCCCCAGCCAAGTATCTCGCATATCTTTGTCACCAGCGGTGGGATTCGGAGCAGAGCATCTCTAAAGTCGGAGACAAAGACATCCCGGTCCTCTTCCTCTCGGGCCTCCGCGACGAGATTGTGCCGCCATCGATGATGAAGGACCTATTCAATCAATGTCCTACCCGCAAAGTGTGGAAGGACTTCCCGAATGGTGACCACAACTCCACCGTGGCTGAACCGGGGTATTTTGAAGCAATATGGGAATTCCTTGTTCATGAAGTGCTCGGAGCCCGACAAGAGAAGCAAGATCTCGAGAAGACGGATGTTGACGTCGAGCGAAACGACTTACGAAGTGAGCCGGTTGGCCAACTCAACGAAATCATTCACGAGACTCTTTCAGCTTCATCGACCAGTTCTTCCAGGTCGAAGCCCTGATCCCCCTTGCTGAATTTCTCCAAAAGTCCCTGCCGCTTTTCGCGCCCGATACCTCCACCATGACCTTCATAGTCATAGAACTTTTGCAGGCACATCAGCAGCCACCGGCCTTCTTCAACGCTTACACCGCGCCCTTTGACGACCGACCCGTTCAGCAGGACTAGGCCGTGCGAGTCGGCAAGGTCAAGATGGTGGGTAATGGTCGTATGTGGCTGTGCGTATGTCCCATGCAGCTTGAACGCCGCCAGATGCGTGAATAGCACAGTGCTCGTGTGTGTATTGGCAGTCTTCGCGTCTGGGTTCGACCGTTGGCCCGCTGGGGGATGGAAGCCCCATTGCAAGAAATGGATGTCCGACGCAGATCTTACCGCGCCGCTTTCAAAACCTTGGTCTGATTGTTTCACATCGCCGCTCCCATCCTCAGCCACAGGTCTCGGTAAGGGTAGAACGAACTGCGGGTGACGCCGTGCAGTGCGGTGAATACGGTTATATGTCTCGAGAGGAATGACAGCACAAAGAGACAAGGGGTCACTGGCGTGGCGAAGCCGCCAAATGTATTCTACCTCTTTGTTTGGTAGAGAGGAGACCTTTTCGAGGTCAAGGTACGAGGAAAGAGGTCTTATGCCTGGCGCGCCGGACGACTGCGTCGTGGGAGCATTTCCAGCTTGTGATGAAGATGTAGACTGCGGTGTAGGCGGCGGCGGTGGAGGCTGCTGGAAGGGCGAGTGGTTCGTCGCCGAGGTTTGACTTGCTGGGGTCGGTAAAGGTACAGGATTCGCCGCGCGCTTGTAACTCTCGACCTTGTCCTTGTACGCTTCCTTTAGAGATGAGATTGAATCGTGTCCCTCCAATTTCGCCTTTTGTTCCAACTTCTCCCTATACCTGTCAAGTATCTGCTCTTTTTTGTTCTGAGTCGCAACGAAGCGGACGTCATGCACGCGGGCAAATCGTCTCTGCGTGCGGAGAACCGAGTTGTGGTGTGAGAAGAGACCGATCGAACGGCGGAGAGCGCAGGATGGGCCTGAGGACATTGTGAAAGTTGCCCAAGGCAGGCTGAATACAGAGAAGCTCTAGCGACGCGAAAGAGGGGGGACAAGCCGGGCAAAAAAGAGGAATCGTGATGGAGAGGCAATTGTTCGACTCTCAAAGCTCTTTTCGACCCCGAGTGAAAGATGAATGAATGAATGAATGCATGGATTTGACGGCGGAGCAGCTGGACGACTCCGATTGGGTAGCAGTTAAAGCATTATTACTCCTAGTACTCCGTACTCTGTACTTGTGAACATCCACGCAATGCGCGTTAACTACCGTGTGAGGCTCTTCCGGCCATCTCCGGCTTTCTACGAAGTGCTGTGTAGTTAAGAAGCAATCAAGGACATTCAAGAGCACTACTGTGTATACGTAAAGGCCAGACACGGGTTTTCACCCTCTTCTCAGCTATTGTCGCGCGGGCTAGCTTCTCTCGTCGATGCCCATATAGCAGAGCTCTGACGGGGAAGACTCTCGGGGACCACATGCGGGTAATACAACGTACCCTCACTACGAGTACTGTATGTACAAAGACCGGCGATCGCGGATGGACATTGGATACAGGTTCTGCTCCGAAGACATTTGACCGGAGGTTTTGTACCCTGTCCGTAAAGTCATTGTTACACAACGCTGTGCATAGGCAGGGTTGGCCGGATCGTCTAAATATGCTGTCGATGCGAGCTTTAATACCTAGTTCAAGGAGGTCCCGCGTTGCGATGTCACCTTCTCGGCATCTCATGCCGTCATGTCCTTTGATCGACTATGTCTTGTTCGGCCCTGGAGTGCTTGAGCCTCGCGCATTCGAGAAATAGAGCTGCCTGCCATTGAAGACTCGAGGGTCATGAGTAAGAAACGTCCTCTAGTACGATCAGAGTCTTGAGTTAGCAAGGCTCGCCTGGCACGGTAAATGACTGATATTGTCGAGTTTGGGTCGAGTATTGAGGTAAGAGTAAAGGTGGTTGGGATTGCTGTTCTAAGTACCTATCTTGATCACGCTTGGGCGACGCTGAGTGACCTCGACACACATGTATGGAGTGTTGAGCCACGACTAGGAACAGAAACCACGGATACAATGCAGATGAGATGAAGGAGTATGCAAGAAGCCTGAACAGCACGCAGGCGGCTCGGAAATTCGCGTTAACCTGAAAGAAACCTAATCTATTAACTCTGGTGAGTGCAGTTCATCCCATTGATCTATACCAACCCATCCCAACCTAAGCCACCCATGCAGATGCTTCGCTAGACGCAGAATCTCCCAATCGAATCCAATCCAGTAACTTGGAACAGCAGCACCGATGCCTGTGCCGAGGTACAATAGAGAGCAAGGAGACAAGCAGACGTCAATTACAGGTCCCTCCGAGCGAGGTATTCGCTTTGAGAGCTGCTGGGTATCACCAGGCTCGAGTTCCGATTTGGCTGTGAGTTTCGCGCTTTTCGGTATCTCCCAAACGTAGTGTTGTGGTTTGGGATGAGAGTAGCTGACATTCGCAACTGCTTCAACGCCAGACGGTCCAGCCATAGTCTGTGATATCCTTCGACAATCATCTAGGCGGCCGGAACTTGTTATAACATTATATTTCCATTTTGGACTCATCTTCTGTAAGTATCGGATGCGTCGCGGTAATGTCCCGCCGGTAGGTGTGTGTGCTGACTGCTCGGTGGCCGTTGACTCTGCTTCGCAACCTCGGCCGTAGGTGAGAAAAACAGTGACGGGACGCTCGAAAACGATCTTGGTAGTTTACTCAAATCTGTCATGTCGTGCGATGATTGTATTGCAGGGTTCTTCTTCATGTCGGCAAGCGGCGTGTATGCGACTCCGATGGACGCGCTATTGTTGGCATCGCGGCGGAAAGATCGATTTATGGACCAAGACAGGAGAATCCTCCATGCGATGATGAGGACGAGAAAGAACCCAAGGGCGGCACCGACGACTATAAAAACGAAGTTTTCTGGTAGTTTGGAGGTGGCCAGGTAAGGTGCGCCGGCTTTGGGAGGAACAGTCGGAGGGGGATAATTGTAGCCGCCAGGGAGGGTAGGAAGCGCGCTGTTGGTGGGCATGTTGTGTGTTGTATGTTCGGTGGGTGGATGTATCTATGCTGTTAAACGATTGTATAAGTGACCAAATGTGATGATATGATGGTGAGCCAGGGATGAAAGGAGACAAGGTGAAGAGGTGTCGAGTGGCAGAATGATGAGCAGCCTTCAGAGGTTGCTTTCCAAGGGTCAGTCGCGGCCCATGTCCGTGGTCCCTGCCTGCGTTATTTTGGGGCTCTGGCATGCGCCTAAGCACCCAGGGCTAGGCGAAAATGTGGCTGGATTGTGGCTGAGATTCTCTGCGGGGTCATTGGGGTCCAAGGGCAACTGGCCTGTCCTTCCGGAAGATCTCAGGCACTCTCGCTTAGCCCCGGCCTTAATTTTTAGGGCTTGACGTTATGCCCATGGAATCAACCAATTTTCTCCTAAGTGTCGATTTGAGCAACAACAAACCAACTCCTCTCTGTGAAAAGTGTCTGCCTGCCGCAACCCGTCAGGATGGGTACCCATAAGAAGACGCGCAAATTTCAGGTCAAGAAAATCATCGGCCAGCGAGACGCTCGGCTCAAGAAAAATCAAGAGACTGGGAAGACTACCGACTCAAAGCAGAGAAAGGATGACGATGTAATACGGGAAGCGTGGGTGATGGTCATGAGCGCTCGCATGCGGGCATCCGCTGACGAGATAGCAGGCCTCAGGTGTCGTCCGCATTATTCTTCCAGTACAACACCGCGCTGGTGCCTCCGTACAACGTCCTGGTCGACACCAATTTCATCTCCCACACTGTGCAGAAAAAACTCGAGCTATTATCAACCATGATGGATTGCCTCTACGCGAAATGCATCCCGATAATTACAGACTGTGTTATGGCCGAACTTGAGAAACTGGGACAGAAATACAGGATAGCTTTGCGAATCGCAAGAGATGAACGATGGGAACGACTCAAGTGTGGCCACAAGGGAACATACGCCGACGACTGCATCGTCGATAGAGTCATGAGACATAAGATCTACATCGTGGCTACGAACGATAGAGATCTGAAAAGACGGATCCGCAAAGTACCCGGTGTGCCCATCATGAGCGTGGCTCGTGGTAAATATGTCATTGAAAGACTTCCAGGTATGTGCAGTACATGTCACAAGATTGATTTCCTTCCTGTCGAGGGGTCATATGCAGCGACATTGCTTGATTTCCAGAGCCGTGGCTGACCATTTTGCGCTCAGATGCACCTGAGAAGTGAAAGCGTCGACCATTGCAATATTCGACAAACACCTGAAGAGGGGCTTTCAACGGGTCTGGACAAACTCAGACCACTGCCGTCACTGTGAGAGCGACGTGCCTCCTCTCCAAATCTTCCAAATCGACTCTACCGTCCAAGCAAACAGAGCCAGAGCCACCGCAAACACCAAAACCATCACAGCAACGACCTTGCTTCTCAGCTGGAAAGCATCGTCCATTTCCCTTTTGGCCAGCTTCTTCTGGTGAGAGTGATAGTAGCCATCTTTGCTGCCGGACTTGCCGAAGACCGTCCCGTAGGTTTGGCGGTCGATGAGAACCAGCGATATCAAAAATGATACGAACAGAACTGGGGCCACGATGAGCCGGCTAAGAAGAGGCTCGGGTATGGGAGCTCCATCAGCGAAAGCCGAAGGACCCTTCTTGGTCGACATGCTGATAGCAGAGCACAAAGGTTCTCTGGTTCGAGAGCTTGTGATGTTCCAACGACGAAAAGTGCCTTGTGCCTGAGCTAGCGATCTGCCCAGGTCTTTCTTGACGAAATGGCGGCTTTAAAAGATCTCAAATGAGACGGAGCAATGTCGTGCAGTGGGCGACGATAGACAGCATCGAGGAGGGAAGCGGAGTCGTTGGCTTAGTCAACTAGATGCGTGATATGTGATGTCAGAGGGATCTTGTGCGATCCGCTCGTTCTTCAGCGAAGTACACAATCGAGCGTGCTCTTGCCGCCGACTCAATGAAATGGATGAGGGGGTTATATACCATGATAGCCTATCCGCGCAGATATGAGGGTTCTCAAGCCGCTCAGGCATCCAAGTTGCAGAATGTCCTTTGTCTTGGAGCGGATGTGGGCGGAGTAGGCTCTGGACTTCGTTCTACCAGTTGGTTTGCGTAGATCCTGGATCCAAGCCTCCTTCCAAGAACCTCAAATCAGAAGAGCCTATGTGATACGCGTATTCTAAGCTGTTTCCAGTCAGCTCTCCCCCCAAATCTATGCATCAGCACTGTAGTTTGAGACGACGCAGCCCGACGTATCTCCCAAGATGTATGCCTGATTAGGCAGACAGCTTTGCCGCTACAGCCTTCTCCGCTCCGCGCTCATATCTGGCGCTCTGACCTTCCATCAAAGCGACAACCTCGTGCTCATACTCATACTCACCCCGTCCTCGAATTCGCAATATCCAGTACCAAGATATCCGTCGCCCCCACTCCCGTCAACTCATCCATAACTGTCGCGATCTTACTCTTCTCCACCATCGAACTGACTGCCACCCAGTCTGGCTCCTCCAGCGCCGTTACCGTGGGCGCCCTCTTGCCAGGAGTAATCTTCGATGCGTCCCCTAGTTTCGCTCTCGGCACGTTATATTGGCACAGGATGTACTTCTGCGCGGTGATTACGCCACGTATCCGGGCGGCGATCTTGTTGACGAGCTGTTCGTTGCTGACTGACTTGGATTTTATGAGCACGGCGGTGGAAGCGACGACCGTATCGATGGCTTGAAGGCCCGCGGCGCGCATTGTCTCGCCGGACTCGACGAGGTCAACGATCCCGTCGGCCACACCCAATGCACATGCAGCTTCAACGCTGCCCCCCACGAATTTGATCTTCGTTTTTAACTTGGGGATCGGCGAGGCTGTGCCGTTGACGCTCTCCTTCCGCGATCCCCTGCCTTCTAGTCGCGCGAAGTAATCTTCTGCGAGACCTGTGAAGCTGGTGACGATGTTCTTACCAACTAGATCCTTGACATCTTGAATCGGCCCCTTCTCCGGGACCTGCACCTGTAGCTTGCATGCGCCGAAGCCTAGATCCATAATCTCCTCGACGCCAGATTCTTCGCCGAGCACTAGATGCGCGTCGTGCTCAGCGACTTGGTCGCGGCCTGTGATCCCCAGGTCGACGCGGCCTTCGCCTACGAAGGTTGGGATGTCTGCCGCCGGAAGGAAGATGAGTGCCAGGGGAAGATTTTTCACCAGTGCTATGTCGAGGCGGTTTTCGCGCCGGAATTGTATATCGGAGCCCGCGAGGAGGTCGAGCGTCGCAGATTGGAGGCGTCCCTTTTTGGGAACCGCAAAGAGCAGTCGGTCGGAGAGATGGTTGACCAAGTCCATCTTGAGAGTTCAATACTTTGTACAAGCTGAATTCGACAGCTATGCTCGCCTCCTGCGTAGATATCTCCGGACTGATTTCTTTCGAATGATTCTGCGTCCCCAATGGTAGCACGTTTTGGCGCGGGACACAGCCAACACTGAAATGAAAGGTGATGGACGCGGCAGGTCCGAGAACTTGACTCCGAGAAATTGAGAATCAAAGCGAATGCAATTCTAGTCCTGAAAAGTTCTGTGCACGTGTGGCCGGATCTCTATTCGAGAGGTACAGGAACCTGTCCACCTACCTATAGCATCTCAGATCAATCTCGAGCGCCCACTTCGATTGAGTCAGTGGTTGTCGGAAAAATTTCCTCCGGAGTTTATCCGATTGAAAATCTTGGCAAGTTTGTGCCCACAACCGCAATTGCGACCCTGTGCTCGACTACATCTCCGCAACATCCAGCACGACAATCGATCAAGCCAGCGCGCATCTACCAGTCCATTGTTCTCGCCTTCTTCCCGAAACACCCTTTCCAACCAGCCAAGATGGATGCGGCAGGCAAAGTACCCGTTAAGCTCGTCAAAGTCACCAGAGTGCTCGGCCGAACAGGTATGGAAAATGCGCCTTCAAACCTACAAAATTAGGAGAGCACTGGACTTCTTGGGCAACGCGCTGACCACATGCGATATTTGTAGGTTCACGAGGTGGTGTGACGCAAGTCCGAGTCGAATTCATGGACGACACGAGCCGAAGCATTATCCGGAACGTCAAGGGACCAGGTATGAACGAGCAGAAACATAAGCACCGGGAGTTCGCAGGGAGATTACTGACAGGTTGTGCTCTGACACAGTGAAAGTCGATGATATCCTATGCTTGCTCGAGTCCGAGAGAGAAGCAAGAAGACTGAGATAATCGTTTGGCCTGATGGCATGTTGGAGATGCAGATTTTTGAGGCGGACATGATGGTCAAGACTTGTACAATGATCCCAAGGGAAATGCTGCACAGTTTTGCCAGAGTGGAACTTGCAGAGGAATGAGCCACCTACGAGACGACCTGCCATGGCCACCGGCTCAGCTGAGGAAGTCGTGGGCCAGTGAGTATTTTCACGTGGGAGGAATGCCCACCGACAAGGCGTAAGAAGATCAACGCGTTTATCAACAAGAATTCTGCGAAGATCGCTCGATCGTTTGCCCCCTCTCCTCGAAAGAACTTGACCGACGTATGCAGGGACGCTGTGGTTTGGAGGCTGGTATTGATTCCAATTGCGTGAGACTGGCCTGGGAACAGTGTGTGACACGCCCAATACCACTTGCATAACTGCACGGCTCCTCTTCGCGTGCAGACCTGGGCCAACACCTTGTGCCGTAGTGGGAAAATCGGACATGTCGAGGACATCGGCCAGCCCCCTCTCCAACGCAGCTTTCTGTGTGTCGTTTCTCCCCCGGCCATTGCCCACCTTTCCGCAATATTAGATTGCCTAGTTGAAGACAAGCTGAAGGTGCTATGCCATATCACGCAGAACCATTGGTAGCCCCAGCCTTGCATATGCCTCGCAAAAGCTCCAAGCCAATCAGACTCGGTCTTGGCACTGTTGCCGCTCTGAATCAGCCTTGCCAGGTTCCCGAAGGCTTCACTCGAAGACGTGGCAAAGGTGATCGACGTTCTTAGAATCATAGAACAGTTCGGTCTCAGACTCGCTGACGACGAATTTGTCGCCTTATTTTCGAAATAGATGTTTCTTTAAATTCTGCTGCGGCGTTTGCTTTCAGGTGGCTGCTCAATCACTTTCTGCTACGCTCATTTGTTGGCTTTCTCACACAATTCCCAGTACACTGGAAGTCCGGGACCGCCGTGTTTACGAGAGACCTCTTTATCCAGAGCTGCTCCTACGAAACTGGCGGCAATGGAATAAGGAGATCGATACATTGGAACCGACCATGGCAACCCAACAACCCCCTCCCGACTCCGAGCGGGAATACGGTCTCATCTCCAAACTCGAATTACGCATTGCCTCCGCCTCGACAGACGAGAAACTGGAGGAGATCCTACACAGATTCTTACCGGCGCTCCTTCTCAAGCTTGCCTCTCCGACAGAGAGGAACCGCAACCTCACAATCAAGGTCTGCCAGTATATCAGCCAACGCCTCAAGATCAACACGAGTATTAAACTACCCGTGGCTGCACTCGTCAAAACATTCCGCGAGAATGAGAATGCTTTTGTTCGACGATTCTGCCTCATCTTCATTGAGCAAGGTTTTCCAAGATTGGAGACAGGCCAAGCCATCGAGACACTACCCGGCGTTTTGCAATTCGCAATCCCAAAGGTCGCAAGCTACGACGCTACCGATCGGAAGATGTGGGCCATTGCATTCGACTTCCTCCTCGAAGTGCTCCGAAAATGGAAAATTCCTCAGCGAGGGAGCAAGGAAGATCTGGCCCTGACGGAGTCCTTTTGTCTTTCAACTACGCAGACAGATCTTCTCGTTTCTCGGTTATGCGATTTCCTACTCTATGATCACAAAGACACAACAACAACGCAAGCCCTCGACGGCGATTTCCAACCCATCATGGAAAAGAACCCTAAACGCCGGTCAGAAATCATCCTTCCCATTGCCACCTTCCTATTCACAGCTCTCTTCAGCGACGCTCAACGCCTCGTTCCTGCCGTGATAATGTCTGTCGACGCCAACGCCTCGGCTTCAAATACATCGGACGTGATGTTCAAACAATGCACTTTTGATCTCGAATCAGAGGACACAGTCGATGCGCTCTTTGCACTGTATCAAAGTGCGAAGCCAAAACTCCGAACGAAAATTCTGGCACTGTTGTCCAAAAGTCAAGCCTCAACCAGTCGGACGGACCAAATCATGAAGATGGTGCAAGCGCAGCTTATGAACGTGGGTAATGGGGGCCTTGAGGCCTCGAAGTTGCGAGCTGCATTGTTCTCGTATCTTGCATGGACGGTGAGAGTTGGTGGGCATCATCTTGCCGGTGACATCAACATCCGCATCCAAGACTTGCTGAAAGAATACATTGAGATGCAGGGCTGGCCGATCATGAGTAGCGAGCAGTCCTCACCCGCAGAGATCGAATTGCGATCAAAGGCATATGAGAGTGTCGGATCATTGGCCGCGTTGAAGACCGAACCAACTAGTGACGCCCGGACGCTGGACTTGATTACATGGCTGTTCACGAGTCTTCGTTGCGACACGACACGCGATATCAGATCGAGTATCGAAGAATCAATCGGTCGGATTACGAATGCCCTCCCAGTATCATTCCGCGAGGACCCGTCTTTAACCACCCGTCTGAGGGACCTTCTCTTGTGGAATGTCCTCGCCAGACCCGGTCAAGAGGACCCCATATACTTCCATCCAACTGTCAACAGCACGACCTACCCAGCTGTGCGATTCGTCAATAGATGCTTCCCGTTTCATGACGTGGGTGCGCGTTTTATCGATGTACTAGCTCTTGCTTCGGCGGATGGCAGGAGGGAGATAGCCGAAGAAGCAGCACGAGGCCTGGATCCGTACTGGCATGCCTCTAACGTGCGACTCTCCTCGTCTCCAGACGGGAGAAAATTGGAACTCCCCGAGCTCGATGCTTTGGCGAAAAGATTCTTCGGCGGGAAAGGGAACGAGACGGACCACTACAATGACCCCGTCGTGTTAGCTACTGCGGTAGCATTCTGTCGGAATATCCTTGTCTGTGAAGCTTTACGTGAAACAAAACTGGCACCTGAAGACTCCGCGGATTGGAAACAAAGCATCGACGCAATGGTGAACAACGACAAAGATGCTCGACACCGGATCCGAGCCTATCTCCAAAGCCTGAACGCTCACGACGTGCTATTGCCGTTGATTCATGCAGCAATGCATGGTGTTTCGAAATTATCAGCGGACTGTTTGGACTTGTCTTTGGAGATACTTTCAATCGCCCCGAACGATCTCCTGGCTGGAGTCGATGTGGTCGGGCTAGATGCCGTTCAGCGCGTCTCAGCAAATGCGGGCTTGCAACTCCGTGCCGCTCGCATTTTTGGAATCCTTGCCTCGTTGAAAAACGATGCGGAAGCCCTTGCGAAAGCCGAGTTTGATCAGGTCGGGCGCTGGAAGACAGCTGTGGGCGAGGAGGCGGTCAATATCCAAGGCCATCTGCTGCGGGTTTGCTTTTGCTTCACCAGAAAAGCACTCAGAGTTCCTGAACAGACCTCAAAAGACCTAGGCTCCGACTTCCTCCGAACGGTCCTCGATATAATCAAGATGTCCTCTGATCGAGCGCTCAAAGATACCGCCTATAGGTGTCTCCGTCAACTGGCGCTGTGCACGTCCAGTGTCTTCGCATCAGAAGATGAAGGATTGGCAGACCAGCTCATCTCCGACGGAAAGAAAGACAGCGAAACCGCCATCTCGGCTGCCGGACCGGTGCTTGGGATATTGCATGCGAAGAACTCCGACAGTGCGCTCTATAAATCATTCTTGGATCGACTGTTAGGCCTTTACGAGGTTAAGCGAGCAGAGTTCCACTTTGCATTGGGCGAGACCCTCGCGGTGGCATGCGCCGGATTCAGATCCTCGTCCACCGTTACGGAACTTGATGTTGACGTGGATGGCTCCAGATTCAAGGTGAATGATGCCCTCTTGGCAAGCATCCTAGACAGGGTCATCGAGGACTGTAAAACCACAAAACCGTCACTGAAGAAGGCCGCCGCCATCTGGCTTTTGTGTTTGATCCAATACTGCGGCGAATTGCCGGTAGTCCGAGCAAGGCTACGTGACTGCCAGGCCGCATTTGCCAGGCTCCTCAACGATCGTGATGAAATCGTTCAAGAGACGGGCTCGCGGGGTCTGAGCCTTGTATATGAGCAAGGTGACAAGCAGCTTCGGGACGACTTGGTTCGGGACCTGGTGCAGAGCTTCACCGGCAGCAAAGCCAAAATGTCCGGGACGGTGAGCGAGGATACCCAGCTCTTCGAGGCCGGTGCTCTGCCCACGGAGAACGGCCAGTCCGTCACGACTTACAAGGACATCGTCAGCCTAGCCACGGAGATGGGAGATCCCAGCCTCGTTTATCGCTTCATGAATCTGGCTTCCAACAACGCCATCTGGAACAGCCGCGCCGCGTTTGGAAGGTTCGGACTTGGGAGCGTGCTGGCTGATTCCACATACCTGACCGAGAACAAAAAGTTCTACCCTAAGCTGTACCGATACAGGTTTGACCCCAACCCTAACGTCCAGCGATCCATGAACGAAATCTGGCGGGCATTGGTCAAAGACCCAACCACGGTGATCAATGAAAACTTTGATCTCATCATGGACGATCTGCTGCAGAGCGTCGTCTCTGGCAAAGACTGGCGAGCCCGCGAAGCCAGCTGCGCCGCGATTTCCGATCTGGTACAAGGGCGAGAAGTGGAAAAGTTCGAGAAGTACCTCGACGACGTCTGGAAAGTGGCCTTCAAAGTCATGGATGATGTCAAGGAAACCGTCCGAACAGCGGCCATGAAGCTGTGCAGGACTCTCACGAGCATGCTGATACGCAACTTGGAGGTCGGCGAGGGGAACACGAAACGTTCGGCGACGATGCTGAATCACGCCATGCCGTTTCTGCTGCAACAAATGGACAGTGGTGGAGCCAAGGAAGTGCAACAGTATGCCATTGTCACGTTGCTGGAGGTGATCAAGAAGGCACCTCCCAAATCGCTTGGGCCTTATGCACCGACAATCCTGGAGACGCTCGTTTTGTCGCTGAGCTCTCTCGAGCATGAAGGCATCAACTACCTGCACCTGAACGCAGACAAATATGGCCTGACAGCTGAGAAGCTGGACAAGATGAGAGTCTCGAGTATCAATGCATCTCCAGTCACGGAAGCGATCGAGGACTGTTTGGAGAGTATTACTATGAAGGTCGAATCCGACGAAGACCCCGACGCTATGCAAGGGGTTGAGCCGACCTCCGGATCGAAAGGGAGCGGAACACCCATGGAAGACGCAATGCAACGACTCGCAGGCGCCTACCGTGCCGCAATCGGGCTACCGTCCAAGGTCGGTCTGAGCAGGGTAATGACAACACTGGTTGTCCGTCACCCAACAGCCTTCAGGCCGTACGCAGACAAGTTCGCTCAACTGACCAGAAAGCACCTACTCGATCGCAATGCCACCATCAGCGTTGCATTTAGTACCTCTTTGGGATACCTGATGCGCCTGACTTCGGAGAAGGAAATTCAAGCGACCAGCAAATATGCACAGAAATTGTACTTCGATTCACAAGAGTTGAGCCATCGTGCGGTCGCAGGCGAGATCATCCAGGCGATCTCCAAGGCTGCCAACGATGTCTTCATGAACTCAGCCTCAGTGTTTCTTCCTTTCGCTTTCATCGGGCGGCGCGACACGGACGAAGAAGTGCGAGATCGGTTCGACGTCCCATGGAAGGAGAACATTGGAGGCTCTCGGTCCATCAACCTCTACCTGACGGAGATTGTGGGCTTGATCTCGACGCACATAGGATCTCCTCTTTGGCCAGTCAGACATGCATGTTGTTTCGCAGTCGCCGAGCTTATCTCCTCCATGGAGGTACAGGAAAAGTATTCTGACACAGAAGCCGCCCTCATCTGGCCCCTAATTCAATCGGCATTGGATGGAAAGACGTGGGATGGCAAAGAAGAAATCATCAAGGTGTATCCGAAGTTTGTACAGCAAGCTCACTCGCTCTGGGCCGACAGCAAAACGAGCCAGCAAATGCGGAAGATCGCAATTCGTGAAGCGAAGCGTACTAATGTCATGTACCGACCCGACGCCATTGGAGCACTTGGCGATTTCGCCGTTGCGCGAAAGGATCTAGACCTGACAACGGAAATGATGCCCCATCTTGATGAGCTGATGGTCGAGCTGATGGACCAGGATGCGATGGAAGTTGACGAAGCTAGTAGTGGATCACGAAAGAACCGGTAAGACAGCTCCACTCTGCGTATACCTTACCCCTGACAGAATGGATATAGTGAGCAGCCCGTTGTCGACGCCACGGTCAGCGCGATTGTTTCGTGCATGTTCAAAATCTTGTCAACCCATCCCACTGCATCCGCGGAGGTTCTGGACCTGTCCACTCGAATCGTCAAACACGCACAGGGTGCGCGATCAAATGCGGTCGATGTCGCCCTCTACGAGAGCGCAAAATTTTTCGTTGCGAACGGGCCAACGACGAAAGGAGTTGACGTCGGAGCTGATCGTTCGAGGGACCAAAACACCGCAGGAGCCTCAGATGGTGTGGATGGTGCACTAGCCACAGCACCACCTTTTCGCACAGGTGAAACTTCGGAGGTGGGCGGCCGGCGGGAATTTGAGCCATTTCAGCCACTGGTCATGGCGGTGTTCGCCTGGCCGAAGGAGCCTTGGCGACAGCCGGAACGGACTCGCAAATCACGTGTGGATCTTGCCCTGGCCCTTGTTCAGCGAGGCATGCAAGAACCAGCAACCCTAGCGGCGATCCTCGACCCCTGGCTCGTGGAAGAGCGGTCGAGACCTTTACGTGAAGACATCCAGCGAGCTTGTCAGGCTTGTAAGCGGGATCTGTAACTGAGACCGCCGCGCTTCAAGGGACGCCCAATTGGGCACCCAGTGCTGGGGACGCGGGTCTCAAATCCGGACCGTGGTGCATGGCAATATTCCTCGGCCCCATGAGCAGCCTGTTAGAATGTGTAGATCGCCATTCACCCGGTGTGGAGGGTAATAGGGCTGCGGACCAGGGTTGCACGGGCCATTGCTTCTGCGACGGCTGTCCACTCCTGCCTGGAGAAGCGGCCACGGATGAACGAAACCGTTGGGAGCGCCTTTGCTTTCCCGGTTTCAGCTGCCGACAGATACGAGGATATGATAGCGTGAGACGATTGTACGTATCGAAAAAGTTGGGGACAACCATAATGCCGGAATCTGTGTTTAGACTTTGCTGTGATCACAAGTCCACCACCCCGGGCAAGAATCCCTGTGCCATGTGGCAATGGGGCCATACGGCTGTTTTGATGTCCACCTCGGCATCTGCACGCCTGCGGGCCAGGAGCCCACTGCCCTTAGTTCTTGGGATGTGCGGGCTCCTGCTTGTGTCTTAGCGGGCTTCTCCACAGCCCAAATCTCGAACTCGAAAGGCCGGGGTGTTCAGCTGGGCTGTCGTTAGGGCCGCGCTACTTGGCTGGGTGCTTGGTACCTCGTATCGTGTAGTGAGATGGCGCCAGACTGAACGATAGACGAGGTGGTGGAGAGAGGCAGGAGAGTGATTACCAGAGCAGGCAATTCTGCCGCTGAGGTACCCGTATGACTGAGGTATGAGTGTGGTAGGAGGGTCACTATCGTCGTGTTCGAGTCGAGTCGAGCAGACCGAGAAGTGCGTGAATTGAATTGTCGAGGCTTTCCTCGTGGACCCCGGCAGGACCAGCTCCACCGGTCGCAGCCGAAAGAGGGGCATGTTCCGGAAAAACAGAAGATCCGGAGCTGGCCATCGACTGTCATGGTGGGCCAGGCAGCGCACCGCCCGAGAAAGTCAAAGCGGTCAACGACCTAATCCGACGCTTGACGAGTCTAACGCAGCATGTTGGTCATGAAAAGATAGAGGAGGCATGCAGGACCGCAGAAGCCTCAGGACAAAGGGAGCTGGGCAACTGCTTGTTCTCCGGTCGGCCATTGAACGGGCCAATCGCTGCATCTCTCGGCGTTACTGATTTTCCGTTCCGGGGGTGCGCACCCTCTTTCGCCTGCCTCCCCTGCTTTCGAGAGGAGCCTCTGCCCTTCGTCCCCCATGTCGCCGCGCATACCCTTTCCTCTGTCGGTCAACCCGTGTTTTACTTCCCATGGTCCCCTCCCCTAGCGGTAGCCGCAAACACAAGATTGCATGGCTCCCTGGCTTGCATGCGTGCTGCAAAGTCCAAGATTTCTTCCACCCCCCCTAGCCGCGGATGGATCTTCCCCTTGATGCCGGAAGCTCCCCTTTGCGTGGCTGCGGCACTCCAATCACTCGGGCCCGGCGTGGTCTTGCTTCGCGCACGATGACATCGGGCTTGCCTCCAGCTCGTTAATCCGGCCATGGCTTATCCTGATTGAGTTTCTGGAAGACCATGATTGTCGGTTAGTTCTTCATTCTCCCAACGTCCTCCACTTCTCTGAATCACTTGAAATTTCTCTCCTCCTCCTCCAGCAGCGTCGAGACCGGCCTGGTTGGAAGCCTGAATTTCCTGCGTCGAAGATCCGTGCGGTTGTTGAGTCCCAATCGCGTGGCAGTGGATTGAGCCCCGGCATATCTATGACCTTCCCATCGATCCTCCAATCTCTGTCCATCCTTTGTTCGTACCCGGTTGCCACATGGGACCTTGACGCTGCGGCTGTGGCCACTAATGCATGCGCTCTGACATGCGCCTTTGAGCTCGTCGGGCTGCTGGTCCCTTGAACTGTGTGCGCGACGCATCTTCTCTCATGAGCACCACGACCACCTTGGTAATGCAAGACGACAAGAGAGGGGAAGCACCGAGGAGACCGCCGCTGCGCTTGCCCGTGATTGCGCCCAAAGACGACCATTCTTCCTCGGCGAGTTCCAGCCGCAGTGGCCCGTCCGTTCCTCTGCGCTCCCGTTTACCTCCACGATCAAGAACCGGATGCTGGACCTGTCGGTGAGTTGCCCACGCCCTCGTCTCACGGGACATTCTGTTGACCGGAGGCAGCACGCGCAAGGTGAAATGCGACGAAGGGCGACCCGTTTGTGGTCAGTGTTCACGGCTGGGTCACAACTGCGACTACGTCCCGCGCCACGCCTTCCGAGATGATACACCACGGGTCGTGGAGCGCATGCAAGATGTCACGAACGTCGCGAGTTCAATATGGGATCGTGAGTTGGCGCGCCTGCTAAGCTAATTCGAAGCAAATATTGACCTTTCGTTGCAGCAAACTCACCCGCAATGACCGAGAACAGCGCTGGGTCTGCGCCGCTGGACGACCTTCCGCCTTTTGCTAGCTTGACGACAGACGAAGAACGGGAAAAGAAAGCAGAAAAGTCCAGCCCTGGAACTTACCATGTCGTGGTTAATCAGAACAGCTTCCAGCATTTACCTGAATATAACGATGATCCCGAGATCAAACGAGAGATGTTGTCACCCATCCGGCGCGGCTCCCTCGCCACATCGCAGGGAAGCAGTTTGAGTCGGGAAGCCGGCGTCGAAGCCATTCCAGTCTCGGGTGACCCCAACATCGTCGTGTTACCCAGATTTGAAGATGTTACACGGCGCGGAACCTTCAGCTCCAATCGGGCTCGATCGCCGATATCTCCCCTAATAAAGCACGAAAACATCAAAACCGAGGACCTGGAGGAAGCCGTCATCACCGAGGTGCCCGAAGCGATGGCTGAATCCAGTCGAGTGAGCCACGAAGCCAGATATCTTCGACAATTTCGTCAGGTCGTCTGGAGGCAGCTTGTTCCTGCCGAGCTGGACCAACGCGATGGCATGGTGCGGTCAAGCGCCAATATTCTAGAAGCTGCGGCTGCAGTCTTCCCACCAGTACGTGCTTCTTGTTTCTATGGGGGAATGCTGACCCTTTTCCACACAGTTACACCATGCTATCATGGCGGTCGCTGCCTTGAGTCTAGCTGTACAGGAGGGAAAAGAGAGGCTCGATGCTCTACAACATTATCAGCAAGTTTTACCTGCGCTACAGTCGAGTTTGAGAAGTTCCGATGACCTATCATCGGATGGAGCTTTCCTAACACATTTCCTTCTGCTTGTTTACGAGGTCAGTCTGGACTGCGAGCCCGTCCGTGGCGTCTAATCTAACTAGCTAGCAGATCGCGGCCGCCGAGCCTGAACACACCAATCTATGGTCGCAACATCTGTCCACGCTGCTGCGCATTTCCCTCCTCCGACGCGAAGTCTTTGGCGGCGAACCCTTTCCATATGTTGTCTGGTGGATTTGCAACATCGATCTGGACGCACTTTTCAGTGGAGCCGGAAGTGGCGAATACGTCGGCTCCATGCTGAACAACGATCTGATACCGCCTCCTAGCTTCCATTTATACCCCCTCGGCCTGGATGGGTCGAGCGTTGTGTACGCTGACGAAGTGGACGTGTTACCGACCATCTTGCAGCTTGATTTTGAGGTTACCATTCTTGCGATGCGGCTCGCTCTCCTCGCCCATGAATTTCGACATGATAGCGCTTTTAGCGGTGCGGACGCCAGCCGGAAAGAGCAAGCGATCAGGATCCGGCAAAGTCGAATTTTCGAGTTGCAGGAATCATTGCGTCAATTATGGATCACGCAGGCGGTGGTGATGATCAACCAGAAGGTTGACGAACTCCGACCGCGGCCGAGACAGGTGTACGAACACGCCGCCACGCTCTACCGAGCCTGCATCATCTACTCCCACGCCTCGATGTGGCCGGGCCAGCGCCTGGAAACGTCACCGGACTACGACACCGAAATTGCCGTGGCGTCGAATCAAATCCTGCAGATGACGAGGAAGGCGCTTGCCGAGGATCGATCGGACTGTCGGTATTTGGTCTTTCCACTTTTCATGGCGGGCTTTGTCGCGACGGATGGGGCTCAACGGATGAGCGCCCTGGATTTGCTCCGCGCCATGGAAAAGGACAGCATCGGGCGAAACACGACGGCCACGCGAAAGGCTCTAGCGGCGGTCTATGAGAAACAGAACGAGCGGTTCATGAACACGGGCCAGAGTTTGGATGTCGACTGGATGGAAGTCATGGCCGAGCGAAACCTAATGGTTGTGAATTTCGGGCTCTGATCGGCTTGGCGGGCCAAGGTGCGTGTGCGTGTGGACGCGCCGATGTGTGTGACACACGGTGGGAATGTGCTCGCTCGGCTTTGATGGAGCAATTTTGGCTTTGATCCTGTATGTACGACGATACGTTTTGATGAGATATGCCGTCCAGGAATGGAATGAGAAATGTCGGCAACTGACTGCATCCTCGTGGAATTTGGAAGGCATACCATGGACGAATGTCTGATCTGCGATCCGATCATCAGGGTGCTGTAGGCCCCGAGACTTGCGTACACGAGCTACGAGCTGACAGTACAGTCTGGGTGGTCCCATCCTTCTCTTGCTTTCATCCGCCCGCCTGCTGGCTTCATCACGCAGTGGCCACCCAATACGCCACCGCACATCTCACACACACATACTCCGTACATACACAAACTCTGAGTTTCCGTACCACAGGGGTTGAAATCGACGGTCCTAACTTAGGCTAGCTCAAGTAGCTCAAGTAGCTACAGTAGCCACGGTACTTAGCTAGCCACTGTAGCTACTGTAGCTAATTTAGCAGGCCCCCAACCCAAAAGTCTTTCGAACAAGTAGGACTAATAGCCTAGCCTGTGAGACGACGGTGCAGGCATAAGTACTCACCTCGTCAGAACCTAGCGACGCGCAACCAAGGCGTACCGGCGCACACCAAAAGATAAGCTTTGAATTCATTCACTCGCTCAAACCAAAAACAAAACAGAACAAAACAAAACAGCATGGAAACTTCGGATAACTTCGGACCTTGATCCACGGCGGATGTTTGATCTGTCAGTGTCGTACGTACCTAGTACTGTGCCATTGTAGTACTGTGTGCCGTCTTGTGTGCCGTGTTATATACCGTATCATATACCGTATTATGTATCTTGTACGGAGTTAGGTATTGAGTGCGGCGTTCTACTGGGCGTGATTCAGTATGCGACATGCGATGAGTGACATGCAATACAATATGCGGTACGGAGTACTCTGTGTGTGCATGGTAAGTGGTATACACATGCGATACAGTACAAGTACTTACTGTATGCCTGGTATGTATGGATGTATGTATATACCTGTGTACCAGGTATGTATGTGCCAACAATCCTCATCCTACTCCTGCCGCCTAATGCTCATGTAATACTACGTACATCCCTGGTTTAAAAGGGGGCTACAGTACTCCGAAGATGGGCTGGATTGGTGGACAAGGTTCGTCGAAATTCCATCCACCTATCCGTCCAATTCATTCATTCTCCTCGGAAGTGGATGTATAAGAAGTGGAAGTGCAAGTCCAGCTACTGTACTGTGTTACTATGTACGTCGAAGAGTTTTGTACGCTACGTGGCTACCTAGGTACCTACTGTACATGCCTAGCGGGTTCAGAGTTCACCGTTCTCGCCTCCGCCCGGCCCCCGCCGGACGGCCAAGCACTCATCTCACTCACTCACTTGAACAGTACGAGGTAACTCGTCCGGTGGGTGGCCACATGAATGGTACGAGTTACGAGTACAGTAGCCCCCGACGGTACCTACAAGTCGCTATCTAAGTAGTCCTGGTATAGGATCCAGGATCCTTGAACCTGCGTGCCTGGGCTTCGGGTTTGGGGCCCATAGATAATTTGAAAGCGCGTCTGCCTGAGATAGACCTCAGTGCTCGCTCGGCTATTCGATCGGCTATTATGTATTAGGGATCTGAACTCGGCACTCCATGTCTTTGTCGGTATATGTACCTGTATTTGCATCTATCAAAGTCTCTGTCAGGATCTATTCTATATATCTTGACAACCGTCACTTTCGAGTAGGGAGCAGGTTCATTCGGCTTGAGTCTTGACTTGCACAATACTTTTATTCGCGAGAGAGCCGTCGCTTGGGTCCCCCCAGCTTCTCGATTTCGCTTCCTCGCTCGAAAATCCCGTTAGCTTGGAAGCAGAAGTTGCTCTGAGATTCCTCTGGATCGTGCGCTGTATGATACCGTACACTGGCTGTCAGTCTCCTCCGCGTAATATACACTACCTGTGTGTGCGATTTTGCCAATGCTCCCTCCGGGATTCCACCTGGCCAAGTATACATCCCCTTTTCCCCCTCAAGTTGCCGTCAGCTGGTCTCTCTGAACCATTGAAACTCCATGTTAGTCTTCGTGCTTGCTACCTGCTCGATAATCTGCTGCAGTCTTCTCATGTTCAAAGTCCCCTTGGGTCTAGATCCGGGGTTTCAGCTATTTGCCACGGGATCGATATCCTGTTTGGCTAGTCTGACTCACGATCGGGATTCTCCAACGGCGTATCTTGCGTGTGCGAGCTGCATGGCGAGCTCCGTGACGGGGAAATGGAAGGGACAAAGCAACTGTGCCATTCTGTTTAGTGGACTGTCCAGTTGCCAATATCTGACGATAATGCCCTGGTCATGGATCTGCTGATTGACATGAGCTTGCGGGACGGCGATCTGTCTCGTGTATTTTCACCCTTGAATCGAGATCGCATCGCAGAGGTCCTTCATAGTGTCAACCGACTTTGGTCAAATCGCAAAGCCTGGTTTCTAGTCGTTCAAGGAGTTGATGAAGCATCCGGTCGACTTCCCTGGTTTCATACCATGACCAGAGTCAGGACGAACTGCAAATTCCACGCATCCGGTGTTCGGCCTCGACAAAGTGGTCGAGCATGAAGCCCAGAATCTCTTCCGCGTCAAGTACGGTATCGTACAAAAGTTCGCCACCATTGAGAAGGCCTTCGTGGTACTTAGTCATTGCAAGATCGAGCGCGTCTTTCTCTGGGAATTTCGCAATATTCAAGCTGGTGGCCTTTTTGCCGATGACCAAAATTCTAGATTTGCATCCTTGAGATAGTCCGAATGTGGTCGAAGGAGACTGGACGAGTTGGCCCACTGGCCTACCCCCATTGCAGTCATATTGAGCCTGTCAAGGATGTGCTCTCCTGCAACTGTTGGATTGCATGAGCGCAATCTACATGGCGATGTGGGATGCCTTTTGCGGTCAACATTGCATCAAGGCGCACGCCGAGCGAGTTTTTGTCTCTGCGTAGCCATCTCTGGCACCTCGATTGATGACAAGAACAAATGTTAGTACGACGAGGCAGATCAATAGCACAACAATACTCGCAACGACGAAGCTGAGGAATGAGCTTGTCGCAAGATTGTTGGCCTTCTCGATACTGATCATCGTGGACTTGGCTGAGGCTCCTAAGCATGTTTTGGGGAGGGGCGAGGAGTGCTTTGTAAAGGAGGCCACCACGGGAGAATGCATTGGAGCAGAAGGTCAATAGAGACTTGTCGGAATCGCCAGAACCTCGGTTGACAGTAGGCATGACCTTTACGGAGGAATCGAGCTTAGGGAGAAGATAGTGCTGGTATGCGGATGAAGATGCGACTGAGTATGTTCTTCTGTCTTTTGGAGAGGAAAGAGCGTTGCACGGCTCGGCGACGGAGCGCTTGCGAGGCCTTCGGTTGCTTGTAGATTCGGAAAATTCTACATGATCCTGTGTCAGAACCCTCGAATGAGAGGTGGCAGAGCACGAAGGAAGAAAGTCTGCCTGAGGTGCAGGGCCGTGGACAGGAGCTTCGAACACAGAATCTGGATCACACCGCGTTTCGAGGAGCTCGATCTGTGATGGTCGTTTCCCAGACTGCAGCCCCGTCTTTGCATGGTTGTTAGCAACTAGGCAGGCTTTCCTGCGAACCAGAAACCCTCCACTGCCGACTCTGGGGGACCAATAGTTTTCAGCGATGAAGCTACCATTGAAGGCGAGGCACTGAAATATGAGAATATGTGGAGATGGACAGGAGCGTGAGTGCAGCGGCAGAAGGGCTGGAATGTTCAAATAGCAAACCCCTGGCCAGACAGCCTACTGGGAGGATTCCAGCCAATTTTAGGCTGAAAGAGTCAATACGCCCCATCTCAGAAGGATGTGGGATGTGGACGGGTTGACAGAAACCGATTACAGGATGAGCATTCGGCGCAATGAAACGAAGAAATGGGAAAGGGACGAGGAGGACATGCTCGCCGTGTTCAGTAGTTGCTACGGCTCGTGCTGTAATGCTCCCACCGATAAAAATGGAGGCTTGTTCGGTGGAGCACTGACCGCGAAGCGCTACGCACGGATACCGCCCCTCGACCGCCTTTTCTGTCTGGATCCCATCGTGTGAGGGGAGCTTGACTCAGACTTCTGCAGTCGATGAAATCCCTCAGCTGATACACCTGGAGGATAGGATGTCATTCAATTATTCTACTGGTACATATCCAGAGAAGTAGCCGTCATGACCCAGGATCAGAACCGTCGCGAGGCGTCTTCGGACACGCCCAGGCCCGATGGTCGAATGAACAGATCCCCCGCGTGCGTGTGGCGCTGTCACTGGGCAACGGTGAAGAATGCGCTAGGAGGAATAGATATCCGACTCGCACAAACTCGGTCGAACCTCACAGTATGCTTTCTGTGTAGGGAATCGGTGCTGCCTGCAGGGTTTCTGGTAGATATAAGGATACCCGCAAACGTGTCGAGGCTAGCTACCTCAGAGTGATTGCTGTTTTCAAGCCTGCAAATGTAACATGCCGCTTCTTGGCTTTCTGAATCCCTTGGACAACGTCCACAAGTTTGACCCGGACAAGGACGTCCCGGACCTTGCGGGAAAAGTCATTATCGTGACGGGCGGGAATTCTGGTTGCGGGAAAGAGACGGTCCTGCAACTGGCGAAGCATAATCCAGGATGTATCTACCTCGCCGCACGGAGTCAAGCAAAGTATGACGACGCAATGAAGGACATTTCCGCCGCAGCACCGAATGCCAATGTGCGGTTTCTGGAAATGGACCTGTCCTCGCTAGCGTCGGTCAAACAGGCTGCGGACCAGGTCATGGCGGATAGTGAAAGGGTCGATATATTGGTGAATAACGCTGGCATCATGGCGCATCCGCACGGCCTGTCCAAGGACGGATACGAGATTCAGTTCGCGACAAACCACATGGGACCCGCGCTGTTCACCCGTCTTTTGCTTCCGCTGATGCAACGTACCGCATCGCAACCTGCCGCTGACGTGCGCATTGTGAACGTGTCGTCGGCCGCGCACATGATGACCACCGGCCCGGGTATACATTTCGAGAAGCTCAAGACACCGATGGAATCGACCAATCCCGGGATGATCTACGGACAATCGAAGCTGGCCAATGTGCTGCACGCTAGAGAACTTGCCAAGCGCTATCCTGAAATCCTGTCAACGTCCATCCACCCAGGCCGTGTTGAGACGAACTTGACAAACGTCATGTTCGACGTGAATGGCATTAACGGCCGGTTCCAGAAGATTTTCGACTCCCTCGCCGGTCCGTTGACCGTTCAACAGGGTGCATTGACTCAAATTTGGGCAGCGACATGGAATCGGACCGAGGTCAAGAATGGAGCCTACTATGTACCGGTTGGCAAGGAGCATTCGGGGTCCAAAAGGAGTCGGGACGTAGAGCTGGCGAAGAAGTTATGGCAGTGGACTGAGACCGAGTTGGCGGCCAAAGGGTATTGATGAGTTTTGCTGCGAAGATTCTGTGTGTTCAACATGTACTTCAGTGTCCCGTCTGCTGTATCAGGTAGTGTAAGGCGCGCGGAGCGCAGCGACGAGAGAAACAAGGAACTGGTCTCAACTCTTAGTTAATTAGCCACTCCAGTACCATCGGTTTCCGTGTAGGTTATGTAGACATGTGCGGGGGCCGGTAGAGACAATGACCGTGCCTCAATTGCAGTTGAGAGACCCTTTCGACCTTAGCTAGTACATGCCTTTGGTTTAATGCGAAAAGGAAAGTGGGAAAATGGAAGACTGCGAGGATAGCTAAAAGGGCGCGCCGCTGAATGCCGAGGCTCAGGTCACGTGAAAGATTAAATTAGTGGGTATATTCTGCAAACACCAAAATTGAGGTGCCTTCGGGCATTTGGTCAATTTGAAACGATACAGAGAAGATTAGCATGGCCCCTGCACTAAGGATGACACGCTTCTCAAAGAGTGCTAAAAGTTTTTTTGGACTTTTCTTGCTCGGTTCCTTGTCTCTTAGAAGCTAATCGCAACGATCAAATCACTACCACCTTTTTTGTGTTCTCGAGTTCGAGATCTGTACTCCGGAGGGAGTACAAAGGAGTTGTGTGCACCAGACATCAAGCTTCAGCTGGGTCACAGTCCTGCCAAGACGACCGCACCCCGTGCAGTTACTGTGTATATCTGTTCATGGTATGCCTTCACATTGGCGTGCCACAACATCGGTCGATTTGTCATTTTCAAGAGGCGCGTAACTATCTGATCGAGGACAATGAGTGACAGCGGAAGGACGATGTTCCATCTCCAGCTTGGCACTCTTCTTCGCGAACCCGACACTCTGTGCGACATACTCGTACCTTCAACGATTTACAAACATCAGATCTGTATGAGAACAACAGTACGATGCGAGCAATGCCTCTGCCAGTGGTCACTGCCACATTGACGGGGATTCTCAGTATATCTCACCGCCAGATTGATGGTACCCCTCAGGTTGCGCAAGCACAACGCGTGCCAGAATACTGCATTGACAGCGCTCAAGCCCGTAGGTTCACCAACTGACACAGAACCTGATCTGCGGGGCCTGGAACGCTTCTCTACCAGTATGGGACTGTAGGAGTATGATGGACAAGCCATGATACGTGGTATTTTGACTGCCGTGCAATGCGAGCGAATGAGGCTCCTCCACGAGACTTCGTTCTGGGATATGAGTGGCCAGAACGAGCAGGCCCCTTAGGTTGAGTATCAGAATCCCGTGCACTCCCTCCAGCAATGAGGGCCACTGGCGAATACCGCCTACGTGATTTGCGCTGACCTTCTTTCATATTTCTGTCTGTCTACCGCCAATATGTCTCTTGCAAGTTTTCTACAACGCAACCCGCAGTACCCTGGAACACGGCCTCTCCAGCTTCAAAGATGGCTCAGCTCACGCATTCCCTGGTAGCGATACGCAGACCGACAGGCCTCAAGAGACACAGATGGATGGCAGGCGTGGGCTGTACGAGCGGCATCCGACACCATTGTAGCTGTGGCAAATCTCACTCGCCAGCCCGACATTTTGATCTGTGTCTGTTATTCCCACGGCACAGGTTCGGATCCAGCCGCTTCAATACCGTCTTTCTGCTGCTGTTCCGGTTGTTCTACCACGCATCATCGTTCGAGGTCGCGAGTATCGGGCATGCGTCAAAACTGTACCTCCCGGCGCCGGTGCCGCTGTTACAGGAGTCCATCATAAAGGCGGGTGCATCCGAAGGGGTGAGCAGTGAAGGCGTCATGGTTGGTTCTGCCAACAGAGGTCTCCCCGGCATTTTCAAGAACTTCAAACGCTTCTCGACGCGGGAATGGCTGGCAACAATGCTGGAGAATCCCGACCAGTTCAAGAACCTCAAAGTCAACTCGATCACATGGATCAAAGCCCTGGCATCGCCGTTCTCTCACGAGTTCACTCAGTTCATCGTCGAGGATTCTGTAAGTGGCCAGAAGACAAGGATCGCCGCTGGACGAGAAGAAAACGGCGACTGGGTCCTGGTGGGTTGGGACTGGGCATCTGGCGACACGCCATCCGACCACTACAACCTGCCACTGCCACTTCTATCGGTAACATTCGACGATCCGAGCACAAAGCCAGACCTAGGCACGTTAGCTCATGTGCTCGCATCCACGACAGAGAAGCACCCGGCATACAAGTTCAGGAGGGAGATGTGCTGGTGGTACGCGGAAACCGTGTTGGAGGTCATGCACGAGCAGTTTGGCGGCAAGGTCAAGGAGTGGGAGTGGTCCAGATATCGGTACTCGTTTATCGTCAAGACGAGTTTTATCCGGAGAAAGGTGCTCACGAAGCATGCCGAGCTGTTTAGGAGACAGCTGGCGGAAGAGATGAGCTATTAGATTGATTGCATGAGTGTGTGTGCTTTGGGGGGCAAGGTCATGGTGGCGAGTTGGCGTAGCACGCACGATTGCATTCAGGTGTCCACGGAGGGAAGTCAGCATATACAATTTTCCAAATTCGATAGATCACTGAGTCTGATGCATCGGCCTCCTGCGTCTCGTAGGGGCCCTGTGAATAATGCTCTACTCACTAGGCGACGAGGCTGTGCTTGTGCTGTACATCCGAGATTCGGCCGCCCAGCTCGTCGTCATCCCACCTTTGACTTTCATCCCCTCCGCAACATCACCGCAATCCTCCCTCTTTCCTCACACACACACAGAGGACGATAGTAGAGAGCTAAACTCCTATCGCACCCCCTCGCCAGCATGTCCGGCCCCGAAGTCCACCACCTCTTCCACCACCCTATCGCCGACCACTCCTTCTCCGCCGACCGCCAGACCCTCGCCGTTGCACGGGAGAACAACGTCGAGCTGTACCACCGCTCGGGCAACAAGTTCAACCTCCAAGATGAGCTGAAGGGCCATGACAAGACCGTGACGGGCGTGGATATCGCACCGGGGAGTGGCATGATCGTCACATGTTCGCAGGGTAAGCAATCCAAGCGAAATCCACAAGCAGAAACATTGCACGCCCTACCTTTTCCCCAACCTCCCTCCCTCAGAAGTGTCTGCGTCTTATCTTTCTAAATGAAAGCCTGGTATGGTTGCACGAGACTGACCTTTTGTGTGCTCTCTATTCTACGGGCTACAGACCGCAACGCCTACGTCTGGCACCCGACCCCGCAGGGCTGGACGCCCACGCTCGTGCTCCTGCGCATCAACCGCGCCGCGACCTTTGTGCGGTGGTCGCCGTCGGAGAAGAAATTCGCCGTGGGCTCGGGCGCCCGCGTCATCGCCGTGTGCTACTTCGAGGAGGAGAACGACTGGTGGGTGTCCAAGCACCTGAAGAAACCCATCCGCTCGACCATCACCACCCTGGCGTGGCACCCCAACAGCGTGCTCCTGGCCGCGGGGAGCACGGACTCGCACGCCCGCGTCTTCAGCGGCTTCATCAAGGGCGTGGACGAACGGCCCGAGGCCAGCGTCTGGGGCGAGCGCCTGCCCTTCAACACCGTCTGCGGCGAATACCTCAACGACTCGGCCGGCTGGATCCACGCCGTGAGTTTCTCGCCCAGCGGCGACGCGCTCGCTTTTGCCGGCCACGACAGCTCCATCACGGTCGTCTACCCGACCGGGCCGGAGCAGGCGCCGCGCGCCATGCTCAACATCTCGACCCAGATCCTCCCGTTCACGAGCCTCATCTGGAACGGCGAGGCCGAGATCATTGCCGCCGGGTACGATTGCGAGGCGTTCCGGTTCCGCGGCTCAGAACAGGGCTGGGAAATGGTCGGTAGCGTCGAGGCAAAAGCGCGGCCCGGAATGGGCGCCATGAGGGAGGAGAGCGCGCTGAATATGTTCCGGCAGATGGATCTGAAGGGCAAGGTCAAGGACGACACGCAGTTGAGCACCACCCATCAGAATACCATCAACACCATCCGCGTGTATGAAGGCGGTGCGGCCGGAGTGAGGAAATTCAGCACCAGTGGTGTTGATGGTCGGGTTGTGATCTGGACCGTCTGAGGTGGTCCCCCTTGATATCCACGCCGAACCACCCCGGGGGCATGAATCAACCGATCGAGTCGGATGAGATGAGATGAGACGAGGCACGTCGCGATAGACAAGAAAACACATGCAGTATCTTGTATCTACACGTTGGCTGCTTCCGTGGACCGTTCGTTCCCCATTTTCTATCACAATAATTGCTCAAGGACTCGACGAGCTTGGAGCTCGCAGCCCCGGGCTCTAACTGCAATTCGCACAGCATAGCAAATAGATTTAGTATGTCGCATGAGCGAACTCACTGCTGCGGCCTGTGCCTCATGTCTATGTTGTTGTTCTGCCAGACGAGAGAGGTACACATCGACCGGGCGTCACCTATTTTTTCCCTCCCTCAACCTCGTCAACCTCAAAGCAATGCCTTGCCGTCAGACTCCCTCCACCATCCTCTTCCTCAGGTGAATCGCTCATCTTTTCGCCAGTTTCCTAGTCCTCCGCCGCCTCCGTCGCCGCCGCCACCGCTTCAGCATCCGCCTCAATTGCCCTCAACCGGACCAAGAATTCAACCTGCAAATTCTTCAACCAGTCTCTTAAGGCCTCCGCGCTGACCTCTTCTTCACTACGGCTCCCTTGCATTCCATCATCTCTACCCCCACCGAGTGATAAACTCTCTCTGGCCTGGACCAATTGCTCTCTGAGGTTCAAGATCAATTTGGTCCGCCTCGCCGCCGCGGTAGCCCTAGAGTTCCGTTTTTTCGCTTCATTCCTCTCATGCAATACCTTGCTCACGTGTGTCGCCGTGTCCAGGACATCGGGTGGAAGACCGATCACGCGAGCCAGAGCCAAACCATAGAATTTCTCCTCCTCATAACCCTCCAAGATCTTATACCGCATCGTCATCTTCGTGAAGTCCTCCGAGATGTCCACACTGAGGTGTAAATTCGAGACGCCCGCGCGATCGGCCAGAATCCGTGGCAAATCGCGGAAATGCGTGACAAACCAGACGTAGGCATTGCTGTTGATGAGCGTTTCGGCGATGGCGATGGCGATGGCAAGTCCGTCCGTCGTGCTTGTCCCTCTGCCTAACTCGTCGATGATGACCAGGCTTCTGTGGCTGATGTTGCGGATGATAAAGGCGATGTCGCGCATTTCGCTTGCAAACGTCGAGACGTTGGCTTCAATGTTGTCGTCTGTGCTGACCCTTGCGAATAACTCGTGGGACAGCGGGAAAGCGGCGTACTCGGCAGGGACGAAGCAGCCTACCTGCGCCATGATGCTCATCAGAGCAATGGAGCGGATATACGTCGATTTGCCACTCATATTCGCACCGGTGATGATGTGGAACCGGTTTTGAGGCGTAGCGTAGACGTCATTGGGGACGAATTTCTCGCGTGTCGTGGACATTAGTTTGGCGCGGATGGGGTGGCGGCCGCTCTTGATCATGAGGGAGTGGGTGCTGAGCTCCGGCCGTGTATATTCGCCGCTTATGCATGTTGTGGTCAAGTGAGCGAAAGCCGCCATCATGTCCAGCGTGGCGATGGATTCGCTGATCTTGAAGAGCTGGTGGATTTGACTCCGGACTTGCTGAATCAGTTCTTGAATTGTGCTGTCGGCGAGGGTGATGACTTCGCCGTGCGTGTCTTTGAGCTTTTGGTTCATTTTGACGAGGTCGAGGGTCTGGCATTCCATGTATTTGTTCTTATTGTAGGCGTTGATGAAGGTGGCAGGAAGCGTTGCAGGGGAGTCCAGATCAGCCGTCGGGAAGCGGAGGTAATAGTGGCGTGCGTGTTCGAATTTGAGGTCCAGGTTCATGTCATATTGCTCTGGTATCCATTAGAGAAGGAACGGTGCGGCATGGCCGGGTTTCCAAACTCTTGAGCTCATCGAAGTATGTGTTCACGTCGTCATGGAGCTCTTTGTAGGCTTGACGGGCCACGTCGAGGAAGCAGTTACAACCCACCTAGTGCATGTTAGTAGACATACGAGTCAAACACGACCGCCACAAGCAATACCTTGATAGCGAAGACTCTCTGGCTCCGCAACTCAATTGGTTTTGCGGAGTATGATACATCCTCGTTGATGCTGCATCTGATTAGATTTTCGATGTTGGAATAGTTCGCCGGCTCACAAAGCTGGGAGCAAAGTCAGCGAGGAATTCGTCCAAGCCAGAACTTGCCTAACCTGGCGTATCATCTGCAGCTCTTCGCTACCGGCACCAGCGAGAGCTTGCCAAACCGGCTTGATGGAGTCGACCAGTTTTTTCAGCAGCAGCACATGATTCACGGATTGCTCCATGAAGTGGAAGTCTTGTCTTGCAGAAATGACCACGAGCTAAAAGGATTCAGTATTGGACGCGGGATGCTAGCTCGCTGAGACAAACCGCCGCAAGTACACGATCAGCATCGACAAATGACTTGAGAGCTGTGATTTGTTAGCAAGTTCTTCTCGAGGAAAAGCTTCAGTACCAGATCGAATGGCAAATAACATGTCTCCTTTCGTGGTGAGCTCGGTGACGGCCTCTTGCCGCTTCTTGATCTTTTCAGCATCGGTTGATGGTTGCAAGACATTGCTGCGGAGGAAACGAGCGCCCATTGGCGTCATGGTTTCGTTCAGCAGTCCAAACAGGCATTCGCGAGACTTTGCATTCTGCAGGTTCTGAATCAACTCGAGCGACGCCATTGTTGAGAGATCGATCAACATTGACCCCTCCGAGGACTCGAATTTGATCCTCAGCGTTTGCGGAGCAAAGGCCAATCCCCTCGATTTGTCGATATGCTTCAGAACCTGCTTTGGTCAGCGCCAGAAATACTTGCCTCCAACCATCGAAAACATACAGCGGAGAAACAGCATGTTGCGAAGTAATAACCAGCAGTTGATGATTTCAATACCTCTACCTCGTCTGGAAAAGCCAGACATTGAACGTAATCCTGACCACTGAGTGCAGACCAATACTTGCGATGGAGACTTGTCATGCGGATACCAGCCGTCTCAACCTCAAGATTCTCGGCAACAACAGAAATGAGTTTCGAATCTTCCGCAGCAGACATATAAAGAATCTCTGATGGAGCATAGATTTTGATCTTATGGCAGGTGCGAGCATACGTTTGAGTATCGGTGAACTGACAGAGAGTAGCTTCAGAAGTAGCGAGACTGACAAAGGAAAGACCAATAGTGGGAGAAATGCCTCGAGATTCGCTGATGGCACAGATAATTTCAGCGTCGCCGTAACCAGTTGAAGTCCCTACGGGTTTGGATTCCCACCAGCAGCCAGTCTGTGGCCTTGCCGTCGTATTCGACGTTCGTATGGCTGTGAAGTTAGTGGTCGTAGTCGACATTGTAGGGGACATTGTGGCTTGCTGCTCGCAGGCCAAGTTCTCATGCTCTTGTCGATAGGTGAGAACAAAGTGAGACGGAAGTGAAGACTGAGCCGTAATGGAGAAGCGTGAGAAGCAACGCCAGGAGGAAGGTCTGCCGGTTGGCTCCCCCGCACGAGGCTGCGAACCAACGTTCTCCCCAGATATTTTTTCTCGAGGCTGCAGCTTCTGAACCACTTGGTGCAGGCGAGGATAAGCGGACGATGGCGACCATAGTACCGCCGCCGAGTAAACGGCAGAAGACTGCTGCCGTGGAAAAGGCGGCAAGGGCAGCAGAAGAGTTGCGAATACCAGACGACCTAGGCAGTGTGCGGCTACAATTCATCGACCAGAGCACTGGAAAGATCACTGGGCCTGCCGTGGCAGTTCCTGTCAAGGATGCGACGGTCAAAAACCTTGAAACACTACTGAACACCATCCAAGGCCATGAGCCGGGCGAGCGCCTTCCCTATCGATTCTTCTTCCGCAACGATCGGCCCTCAGCAAAGGAAGAAGACTCCAACATCCTCGACGTACAAAATGACATATACAACTCTATCCTCAAACCCGGCTTCAAGACCACAGAAGACAACATCATCCTTCAATTCACTCCCCAAGCGGTTTTTCGCGTGCGCGCAGTCTCGAGATGTTCAGCCTCGATAGCAGGCCATGGGGAGGCTATCCTAGCGACAGCTTTCTCACCAGAGACATCCTCAAGAATGGCAACAGGAAGTGGAGATAATACTGCGAGAATTTGGGACTGCGATACAGGCACGCCGTTGCACACATTGAAGGGGCACACGAGCTGGGTGCTTGCAGTATCCTGGTCACCCGATGGCAAACTACTCGCAACAGGAAGCATGGACAACACCGTCCGCCTGTGGGATCCCAAAACCGGCGAACCACTCGGCGGTCCACTAAAGGGCCACACCAAATGGATAACGTCCCTTGCCTGGGAACCGTACCACACTCAAACGCAGGGGAAACCTCGCCTCGCGTCCGCCTCTAAGGACGGCACTGTCCGAATCTGGGACATTCCCCTCCGCCGCATAGAGCAGACCCTCTCCGGGCATAAAGGGTCGGTAACCTGCGTGCGCTGGGGTGGTCTCCACCGACTATTCACCTCGTCACAAGATAAAACCATCAAAATCTGGAATGACAGAACTTGGAATTGCCTGCACACGCTATCCGCCCATACTCACTGGGTGAACCACCTCGCTTTATCCACCGACTTCGCGCTGAAAACCGCGTATCACGACCACACGGGCAAACCCCCTTTGGCCACGGACGCGAAAACCGCGCAAGCGAAAGAGCGATTCGAGACGGCGGCGCGTCACGAAGGAAGGTTGGTTGAAAGGCTCATCTCCGCGAGTGACGACAACACGATTTTCCTCTGGGACCCGTCTTCGTTCGACGACAACTCCAGCGCCACTCCAAAGCCGGTGGCGCGATTACTCGGCCACCAAAAACAAGTCCTGCACGTGTCTTTCTCCCCGGACGGCCTGTACATCGCGAGCACCAGTTTCGACAATAGCGTCAAACTCTGGAGTGCGCGGGATGGAAAGTTCATAGCCACGTTGCGCGGGCACGTCGGCGCCGTGTACATGGCTTCTTGGTCCGCGGATAGCAGACTCCTCGCGAGTTGCAGTAAAGACACGACGGTGAAGGTGTGGGATGTGCGGACGGGGAAGCTAAAGATGGATCTGCCGGGACATAAGGATGAGGTGTTTGCGTTGGATTGGAGTGGAGATGGGACGGGGGTAGCGAGTGGCGGGAAGGATAAGGTCGTGAAGGTGTGGAGGCATTAAGAACGAAGCTTTTTGTTGCTCTATGAGTTGTACCAGAGTCTACTCTTCATGATAAAAGTGATACCCAGATATGAACGGACGACGAAAATGGGAAAGAATGTGAGGTTCAATGGGAAATATGTACGTTGTTCTTTCGATTGGATGAATTTTGCATGGTTCTTCGGTGGTACAAAACATCAACCCTTCCATCCGATTGATCTTCCACTGTTCGGACAATTGGTGCCCTCTAGTCCTCACGTAATAAACACGATCTTCCCCCCGCGCCTCTTTCTCTGTTATGCTTACCAACCTTGTCTGAAGCCGGGCTTTTGGGAAGGAGGGTTGTAAACGATCTTCCTCGTCTTGATAGGCGCCCACTTGTACCTCTTAACCCAACCGCTCAAAGCCAGTAAAGCCGTGCCGATGATCAACACCTTGATGCCCATCTTCTTGCGCTCATCCATCTCGGGTTCGGCGGCCCAGTTCAAAAATTCAACCACATCCTTGGCCATCTGCGACGAGGTGGCGGGTGTGCCGTCCTCGTATTCGACCAGACCATCGTAGAGCACACGAGCCATAGCGATACCGGTACCGGGGAAATAAGGGTTGAAGTTCAAACCAGACTGAACGGAGGCGCCGGCAGGAGGCTCCTCGGGGTAGCCAGTGAGCAAGCTGAAGATGTAGTTGCAACCACCATGTCGAGCTTTTACCATCAGTGATAGATCAGGTGGGAGAGCACCGTTGTTGGCGGCACGAGCGGCTTCATCGTTCTTGTATGGTGCTGGGATGTAATCTGAGAGTTTTCCCGGCCGTTTTTCGATCTCGCCTTCATCGTTGGGCTCGGTGTCGTATTCATTCTCTTCGGCCAGTGCTTTGGCTTCATCGACAGTCATCATTGTGCCGACCAGTGACCGGTAGGGGATTCGCTTCAGGGAGTGGCAGGCGGCGCAAACTTCGCGGTACACTTGGAAACCTCTTCGCAGGCTGCAGGAGGTCAGTTGGTCGTCTTCTTCTGCTCTCCAGGCAATTCTCACCTTGCGTGGTCGAAAGTCTTGATCCACTTTGTGTGCTCCCACGGGTACTGTGTCGGGTGTAGACTGAGCGCCTTTGTCAGCTTCATTTTCTCTCTGATCATCTTTCCACGCTCACCCTTCTTCTGCCGGAGTCATGGCATAGACATCCTGACCAAACAGATGATAATACCAGGCGACCGAGCCAATCGCAGCTACTGTCGCGGTCGAAGCACCAGCTGTGAGCCAGAATGGAGGTGACGCGGCTTCATTTGAGGTGGAGGATGCGGCACGCTAGAAAACCTGTCAGTACATGGCCCGATCATTGCAGCAGGCAGGCCAATTCGTGATCCATCTGAGGATGTGGACTGACAGTTGTGGTCTTCCGAACGATGGTTCGTGCAGCGGCCCTCAATGGGGTACTGCGGACGGCCGACGTGGCCAACATCTTGTCTTGAAACCGTATCACCCTCGATAGACGGCGGCAGAGGGGAGGGCAAGGTTCGTTTGCGCTGATTGTAAAGGGTGACAGGGTGACCGGATGGTGAGGTGTAGGCGCAGGAGGTTCTCAATCCAAAGCTTTGAAGCTACATTTTCGGGGTCATTAGCCGAGCCGTGATTGGCCAGACCAAGATCTATGCGTGATCGAATCAGTCAACGGCGGGAAGAGCCGAGATTTTGCACGTGATCATGACATCGACACTTGCAGACCCGACTCTCACCCTCTTCTTTGCTGGCAGTAGTTCTCTAAGTGAACTGGAACTACCAACCTCGCTCGCTCATGGTGACAATCGCTGTGACTCCTAATGTCAGTCAGGGATTCCAAGAACCCATCTTGGAATGACCAGTTTAAGAGCACAAACCAGCGCGACTTCAACCTTCAAGTTATCATTTCGGTTGTCTTTGGGCTGAGCGCATTCCTCTCGTTCTGCGTATGCACCCATCTCACTCCACGAAACCCTCGGTGGATGCTGACGTCTGCAGGTACTGCGCCCCAAATGGACGAGTCTGTATCATGCGCGCAAGAAACAATCGGGCGCGGCATCGCGTCTTCCCGAGTTACCAAAGTCGCTGTTCGGATGGATCCCCGTACTGCTGAGAATCAACGAAGCCGAAGTGCTTGCCTCTGCTGGCCTTGACGCCTATGCCTTCCTGTCCTTCTTCCGATACGCGGTCAAGTTTCTCTCCGTGACCCTCTTCTTTTCTCTCACCATCATTCTTCCTGTCAACTACAAGTTTACCGGCGAACTACCCTACCCTCCCATCAATGGCACCGCACCCTTCGTCGTCCCTACCTTCCTTTCTGAAGACGATACGAAAAGGCCAAAGAAGCCGAAGATTGAGAAGGATGACAGTTACCTATGGATGTACGTGGCCTTCGCCTACTTTTTCACCGGAGTGGCCATCTTCCTCCTGATCAGAGAGACAACGAACATCATTCGCATACGACAAGCCTACCTCGGCAGCCAGGCTACCATAACCGATCGAACCCTCCGTCTGTCGGGAATACCGAGTGAGATGAGGTCTGAGGAAGCAATCAAGCACTTCATTGAAGATTTGCAGATCGGGAAGGTTGATAGTGTTATGCTATGCAAAAACTGGAAGGCTCTGGATGAACTGATGGCCGAGCGCATGACGTGCCTCCGGAAACTGGAGGAGTCTTGGGCGTCGTATTTGGGCCATCACCATTCAATGCGCCATTCCCGACGCACCCACAGGCAGAGGTATGGTATTGACGGTGACGAAGAAAGTGGAGCTCTGCTTTCAAGATCGGAAATGGAACGGGCTCATGCAACACCCGCTGACAGACTGCGGCCTACTCACACTATTCGATACGGTCCGCTCAAGCTTTACGGCAGGAAAGTTGATGCTATCGACTACTACGAGGAAAAGCTGCGGGTCATGGACGAAAAGATACATGCATTGAGGTCGACCGAATTCAAACCGACTCCATTAGCCTTCGTCACCATGGAATCCACCGCAGCATGTCAAATGGCCGTGCAAGCCATTCTGAGTCCCAAGCCCGGAGAGCTCCTTGCCAGTCTAGCCCCTCCGCCAGCCGATGTTGTCTGGAAGAACACGTATCTCTCCCGCAACGTGCGCATGGCCAGGTCTTGGAGCATTATGATCTTCATTGGCTTCTTAACCATCCTATGGGCTGCCATTGTCGCCCCTTTGGCTGGTCTGCTCAGTATCGAAGTCATTGACAAAGTGCTGCCTGGTTTGGCTCAAGCACTAGAAGACCACGAGATCATTCGATCGTTGGTCCAAACGGGTCTTCCTACCTTGTTGTTCTCGCTCTTGGCCCTGGCCGTGCCATACTTGTACGACTGGCTTGCCAACCAGCAGGGGATGACGTCTCAGGGCGACGTGGAAATGTCGGTGATATCCAAGAACTTCTTCTTTATCTTTTTCAACCTGTTCATCGTCTTCACGATATGGGGCTCCGCCACCACATTCTACGACTTCTGGCAGGACTTGCGGGACATCTTCCGCGACACGGCCGGAATAGCATACGCGGTTGCTAAAGCTCTTGAACAGCTTTCGCCCTTCTATGTCAACCTCATTGTCCTCCAGGGCTTGGGACTCCTTCCATTCAGGTTACTCGAGTTTGGCTCAGTGGCGTTGTACCCTTTCTATCTCATCGCGGCGAAAACACCCCGGGACTATGCCGAATTGTCTCAACCGCCAATCTTCAGTTACGGCTTCTACTTGCCTCAGACCATGCTTATATTCATCATCTGCATTGTCTACAGTGTTCTTCCAGCCTCATGGATGATCACCCTGTTCGGCCTAGTGTACTTCCTCATCGGTGGTTTCATCTACAAGTACCAGCTGCTCTACGCCATGGAACATCGTCAGCACTCGACTGGCCGGGCCTGGCCCATGATTTGCAACCGCATCATCACCGGGCTGGTCCTCTTCCAGGTTGCCATGACCGGCATTCTCGCGCTACGAGGAGCCTTGACTGCGTCAGTGTTCTTGGCGCCGTTGCTGGCTGGTACCATTTGGTTTACTGTATATTTCCAACGCACGTATGTCCCTCTCATGCGTTTCATCGCTCTTAAGAGCATCGATCGTGCCAGGTCGCCCCAATTCCCTACACCACCGGAGTCTGCCTGGGATAGAGATACCGACTACGGCCAAGATGTCGACACAAGCCAGGACACCGGTCTCCGGTATATCAACCCTAACCTTGTCCGGCCGCTGGAGACTTTGTGGATACGGAAACCTGGCCACGGACGCCCTGAGCACAGTCAAACTTGATCAGCATTTCGTCTTCGAAGATTTTCTTGACGCATAGCAAGCGGGCGATTGATTAGTGTCGTTCTTCAGAGATACCCATGTACACAACTCTTAATAGCCCCAGTAACATGTGTGAGCTTGATGTAATTGATTCTCAGCAACTGACTATGCGAATATATCCTCGCTTTGACCATTTCGAAAGCCGGTGCCTGACCACTACATCGTGGTTGATCAGCTTCGTTGCGCCTCTTCCCACTGGAACATCCTCAGTCACGCCTGCCTCGCACCGTCATTGCGACCGAGACTTGTCATCAAAACACAGGCGTCGCAAACGAGGACGATATGGGAGTTGCGACCTGTCCGTTTCCCTGGCTAGATGATACCCTCTCGCACCTTTCTTCCTCCTTCTCCCCAATCCTATCCCTACTCATACTCTTATGCATTCTACCCAGCCCTCTTACAGTCCCATCATTAACTACACAGTCTAGCTGTTCGCCGACCTGGCTTACGAGATCCTCGTCTCTCGAGGAATTGCATCTGTCGACGAATACCAACTGAGAATGATCTATCCCGGCGATCACTACTTCCCGCTCAACCACCCACAGATGATCGCCGGTGTCACACACAAGCCTCCTTTCATTGGATATCAAGCTCGAATGGATGTTTGGCAACGGGAAAGTGCACAGCCGCGGTCGACACCTCTTCCAGAGAGTGTAAAGCAAGAGTCATACCTCCATCGGTGCGGCGTTGCCTGTTCCGAAATCAGTCCGCCATATTTGGAGCACAAAAGAAACTCGGAGGAGGTCAGTGGTTGTACACCTGAATGGCAAGATGGACAGCAGGTCGATGTTCCGACACGGGAGTCTGCCACTGCTGTTCATCCAGCTCCGACGTTCGACAATGCGAGCAGCATGCCATTCACCCAACAGAGTCAGCGATTGAACAGAACTTCCCTCATCTCGGTTTCATCCCAGTCTCCCTCTCATCCCAGCCTCACTGGGATCCCGCCTGGCGTCATTGTTGGCATCTGGCCATGCATTGCTAGTTCATCCACAAGATCATCCCTCCGCCTGTTCTACCAGCCAGAGCAGGTTCGCCCCAGCACTTTGTACAGCTTTGACGGTGCTCATGACGAGCCGGATGAAACACAGCCGGCAACAATTGGCCGGTCGGCCAGCGCTTCCGATCTTAAGGTCCCTTCCCTCCGGCCGCTTCGACCTTCGGTAGTCCACTTCTTGTCCGACGAACACCTGAATTGGAGAGAGGCGGCTCGTCGGAAAGAACGTGACGAGTTCACAAATCCGTTTGGCGTTGAAGATTCTCCCTCGAGAAAGACGTCCAGCGCTTCTGAAGCAACCATATACCTACGACCAAACGCGTTTGCGGGACACCGTGACACATTGGCACGACTTCACTATTTCGCCAGGTCTGATGAAGATGACCAGACCGCCACAGACAGCGATGACGAGTCTTATATGACTGCATGGACTCGTCAGCCATCGGTCTCTGCTCCCTCACGGAGATACAGCCTTGCTGGAGCGAACTTGGACATTTTCCTCCCTCAGCAGGTCGTCGAAACTGTGCTCAGCTACTTGTCATTCGACGACTACAAGAACTTGAGGTCAGTCTGCCGCCAATGGCACGCAACCCTGCCACCGCCCAATTTTCCCGGAGCCTACCGTGTCCCGAGAGAAGTTCTCAAACAAATATTCTCCTATCTGGCGCCCTGGGATTTTGATGCTGCTCGGCACACCTGCAAACCTTGGTTCTTAGCAGGCCTGGACTGCAAAGTTCTGGAGCCCATGCTCAGAGGCTGCGGCTGTCAATCTGCGCTGGCTGCGGATATCGGGCGGATGCAAGGCAACATCGTCGCGAAGAGACGCAGCTGGGACAGTCAGCTTGGTCCCATGGATCCTGACGCTAACAGAGTCATTGACAAGGAGTGGCTCTGCTCCAAAAGGCTGGCGACAGAATCTCGACTTTCGCCCTATTGGCGAGGTGATTCCTTATCAGAAGACCTTGATGCATCGCCGAGACTGTCGATCACTGAAACAATTGACTTTTCCAACATCTTGACTGCGGTTTCCTTACCCACGAACTCCAGATTCACGGTGTCAGCCTGTGGCAAGTTTGTTCTCGTTGTATCTGGTGGTGATATATCTGTCTACAGCTTGTCCGATCAAGATCATTCACTGGATCCGGTTGTCAGGCTGGCGACTGGTCTCGACGTCCTGAAAGTCAGTATGGACACCTGTTCCGAACGCTACTCGGTGGCAGCTCTTCTCGCTGGTCGAATCGGCATGCTCTGGGACCTGCGTGGCAGGCACATGCAGAAACGATACCGCAGCAACTCGGGCGAACCAATGAATCTGGGTATGCAGACGCTTGTTCAAAGTCCAGCCACCTTTCAGAATCTCAGCTCATACGCTATCAGCTTACCCGTACGATCTCCAGAGATCGTGGCTATTGAGTCGTCGGACTCTAGCCTCAGATCAGTCACAATGCCCAGCACCATTTCTCCTCCTGATGCTATGCCGAATACCCCATTCTTGTAGGACGAGCATGTCCGCAGTACGGAAAGTCCTGGAGAGATTGATGCAGAGATCAATGCAGGAGTGCAGGCTGAGCAAGTTAATCGCCGATTAGGTATACCCATTGAGGCACGGGCAACTGCCATTTACACCGATCTGGGGAGCATGGAAGACCAGCCAAGGAGTGTGGCAATCTGTCCCAACCGGAAATGTGTTGCCTACGGGTGCAGAATGGGGTTGGAGCTTTACTGGGTTGACGCCTTGACCGGAGGCAACCTGAACCGTTGGTTTCCACTTGCTGCGCCGAGCGATTATCTCTACTTCCTGCCTCCGCTCACAGGGGTTGACTCGAGAAGGAAGCTACGGCTGATTTCGAGTGCGGCTGGTCCGGTCGCTCCGCAGCTGGTGAGGAGTGACAGTACCCCAGCGAGGTGGAAGTATTGGCCCACGCCTGCGGCTTTCGGCCGACGGCAGAGCTTGACAAGACTGTTCTTTGGTAACCTACCATTTCCCACGCCAGCCGGTGATCCGGACCTATCTTCTGGCGCCGAGGATCCCTCGAGGACCGATGAGGTGCAAGGAGTCTTGCGCACTGTCGATTGTGATCACTTCTGTGCTATTCCCGTCAGCGACGGATTCCATTTGGTTTTCACTGACCCTGGCAGTGGACTAGTCTGCCTCGGGAGTGATGCACCGCTAGGAGGTCCGACCAAACTTGTCCGGAAGATCATGTTCATCCCACCCGAGCGAGAAGGAGGCGAACGAAAGCCTTCTCCTCTTCGATATGCCGTCGGCAAGGCACTCGACTGGGGCCTGAGGCTTGTCGTGGTATATGATAACGATCGAGTTGTTCTGTACAGCGTCCCATCGGATATTTTCAACCAACTCCGAGACCAAAAGGGCACTCCTGATGCGTGGGATGAGAACACTGGGGTTCTGGGACAGAGTGATCTGACTATGGACTCACCGATGGCCAGTCATGAGGATGACGCAGTCGGCGACACGTCTTCTGACGAAGAAACAGACCACGATGACGGAGTCGCTAATCAGCCCTTGCAACTGGATGGGTGTATCATCAGCAACGTCGCTGGTCAGATCGTTGACGATCTTGCAGTTCAGAGCGAGAATGGCACTCTTGCTGTATGGATTTTCTACAGAAGCGGAATGGCCGAGCTCTACAGCATCTATACGCCGCGTGGTCATCAAACTCGGAGACGGTACGTTGGAGACAATGGTCTCATCTACGACAAGGCAAGAGAAGTGCAAGGGCATGATGCGTCCAGTACCCCCACATCGAAGCACAAAGCGAAGGAGGAAGATGACAGACACGTCAAATGGGCAGGTCAGCAAAATCTAGATTGAACACGCGTCTGCCCGAGACTAGGATATGAATACTCCGGAAGTGGCTTCTGTCCCTGCTTAGCAAATAGGTCCTGAAGTGTTTTTGCGCAGAGCCAAAGACGGAGGAATAGCAGGCTCGACTGGTAGAGGTAGCTAGACGAACTATTCTTACTGTATTGATACTTATCACAGGATCAAAGATACAATCGTTGGATGGAAGGTAGACCTGTATCAAGATTCCTATCCGTGAGGTGAGGGCACAGGTTTTTATGTTTGGTCACCAACACATACTTGGTGCCGTCCGTGATCCCTGTACAGCTATCATGCTGTTACGGAGTAACTGATTTGCCAAGAATGCGCAGTGTACAGGTCTACCCAGTTCTACCACATTATGCGTCCGACTTAATCACCCTTTCTTCGTCTGGGCATTTCTAAATCCCGGACTTCAACCCTCCGTTCCATCTCCATCTAATACTCTTCTTACGCCCCGACTTCCATATCCAAACCCTTCAAAATCATCCTGCCCACCCTCCCAATCTGCTCCGCGCTCGTCGTCAGACTCGCCATGAAATAAATGACGTCGCCCAGCACGCGCGAGTGGATCCCGCACCCTTCCTCGTCCAGCAACGTCAAGAGCCGCTCTTGCAGCGCCGCGGCCGCCGTCGAGGTATACCCCCCTGTTGGAGAACCCTTCGGCGGGGCCATCTTCAGGACCAGGACCGTGCCGAGGGCGAAACAGCCCGAGAGACGGGGGTGGTGGGATAAGGTGTCGACGAGGGTGGGTGGGAAGAAGGAGTATATCGCCGGTGGCGGATCGTTCGTCAATGGGGACGGTAAGGACGATGTGGTTTGATCTGTGGATTGTGCAGATTGCGAGTGGGCCCAGGCTTGCTTGAAGGGTTGCCATGACGTCGAGGAGGTTGCGCTCGATGATGACGATGATGATGATAATGATGACGAGGTGGTCTCGTCGAGCCTGCGATACTCGGCTAGCGCTTTGGTCGCGACGCTGCAGCCTACGGGGTGGGCCGTGTAGCTGTGGCCGTGGAGCAGGGCGTCTGTCTTGTCCGCGGACAGGAACGTCTGGAAGATGGGGTCCGAGGCCGTGGTGATGGCCAAGGGGAGGAGTCCCGCCGTTAGGAGTTTGGCGTGCACGGAGATGTCGGGCGCGATGGCTACGTGGATGGACGGTTGTGAGGGCGGGCCACGATCTGTTTGGGTGTCGGCGCCCCGAGCGGCGGCGGGACCGTCAACGTGCTTAGAGAGGAAGGAGCTGGAACTCGCGCGCCCGAGGCGGTACAGGCCTGTGAAGACTTCGTCGGCGATGACGGGCACGCCGGACCAGTCGGTTGAAGACGAAGAGTCGTCGTCGTCGTCGCCGCCTGTCTCGGTGGGGTGGATCAATCCGGGATTTTCGCGGATGGTCTTTATCAACGACCGTTGGAATAGCGGGTCCACGAAGATCATGCCGCCCGCGCCCATGAGGAGAGGTTCGAGGACCAGGGCGCCGAAGCGGCGGTGTTGGTCACGCACCAGTGCTTGGAGGGTGCGCGTGATGTGGACTTTGTAGCGGGCTGCATCGTCTGCACGGGCGTCAAAGTCGAAGATGGAGTGTATTGAATCGAATGTTTGCGTCTCGGTCGTGGCTGAGGGTGACGTTTCAGCCGGGACTGTGAGTTCCCATTTTCCTCTCTTGAAGAGCAAGGATGGTGGATCGAACCAGTGGCCCCAGGGACGATGCCAGTCGACTTTCTCGTTGAAGACGGAGGGTTCGCTGCAGTTCATCACGCCAATCGTGTCGCCGTGGTAGCTGCCCTTAAGACCGAGAATCTCTACGGGCTTGTCGGCCACGTCGTCCTTGGTCCAGCCGTATCTTGCGCAGGAAGCGCGCAGGGCCATCTTGACCGCGACTTCCATGCCTGTGCTGCCGTTGTCTGTGAAGAAGATTCGGCTGAGACGGGGGTTCTGCAGGGTTTCGAGGAGACTGTACGAGATATCCAGGGCCGGCTGATGGACCGAGTGCGCAAACATGACATGGCCGTAACGACCCGCCGCGTGGGCGGCTGTCAATGCGATGTTGGGATTGCCGTGCCCTAGGCCCTGAGTCCACCACGAGGCCGATGCATCAAACAGAGGAGTGAGAAGAGATTGCGGTAGCTTGTTTTCGGCTTCAAGTGACTTTAAGCCTGGGACGAAGTCCTGCTCGGGTGTATCCTTGGCAATGTACGTCTGAAAGTGGTCGTCGTATGCAGAGTCAATGGCAGTGATGTTGTGCGCAATGCCATGCTGGCGGAATGGATGCCAGATAACCTGTTCGGCGTGGCTGGGCATTGATATCACCTGCGAGACGCGACGGTAGTGCTTGTTCCTGAGGTGGTCGAAGAGAGCGCTGATGGGGCGTCCATTGGCGGTATCAGCGTAGTAGCTGCGAAGCTGGTCTTTGTCTGCCACGGGACTCTCATGCTTGGGCGGGGGCTGGGGCAGAGCAAATGTCGGGATGTCGTGGCTGCGGAAATACTTCTCGAGGTATTCAAAGTTCCCCCAGTCCGGGTCGTTGAACAGGACGATCGAGTCCACATCATAGCCGCGGACGTGCAAGGACTCGAATGCGGATATTGTGGTCGCTATGCCCCCGAGCTTACTGTCTCCGACAAGGATCGTCGGCAGCCTCAACGGCCGATAGAGATCCGCTTGAACGGTGCCAGATGGACCTGGGGACAGGACGCCTCCTGCAGTTTCCACGAGCGCATATCTGCCTCCTGCTGTAGCGTGGTCGGTGAGGACAGACTTTACCCTTGACAGGATTGATGCATCTGATCTTGGGACCGAAGAATCCTTGTCTAATTCAGCAGCCAGATGAGGGCTTAGCGGCCGCGAGAACTGTGAGATGTTCTTGGACACAACGCCGGGCACAAAAGTACCAATATGTCTAGAGCACTCGCCAGTTGATTCAGCAAATGCATCTCGCCAGCGCTCTATAGACTTACCCGACATCGGCCTCGTTCTCAGGGCCTGTCGAGACGGGCTTCAAATAAAGCGTCGGCACACGACTCTCAGGACGGTTCTGTAGAGCCCGACACAACAACGTCGAGACGATGGTCTTGCCGACATTCGTGTTGGCGCCGAAGACCTGCCATGCCCGCAGATCGCGCCACAGCATCACGCGTGCTCACCGAAGGAATGAAGGGAGGGTGAAGCAAGCGGTGGAAAAGGTGGTGACTGGTTGCTCGCTCACCGAAGCGTTTTCGTGCCTGCCAAGACACCAAAGACCCGCTTTTGCACTTCCGAGAAATCGGCAGCTTGCGATTGGCTGCTCGCGCGCTTATTATCGCATCAGCTTCCTGATTGGATAATTCTTCTCGCTAGAGCGGCTTCGAGCTTCGAGCTTGAGGACCCAACACCAGATCTCACCCAACACTTTTCCCTTGAACCGCGGTTGTGCCATTACGCAGCCTTTTGACCGAAGTTGAAGCGCTTGGTAGAGTACCCCTGACTACGACTACGACTACCAATGCTCCTTGTTCGTGCTCAGTCCGGTGGATGAGTCGAGCTGTTGTGAGTGCGACATTCCAAGGTCGATGAGTGTCTATTGCCCATGTCGACCATGTCACCTTCACCACTGGAACGGCGTCTTTCTCGTCTCTTGGAAAAGCGCCGCGCTCAGTCAAAGCTGCGAAATTTGAAATCGAGTCCACCCGGGTCGGTTGACTTCTCTTCCAATGACTTCCTGTCGCTGTCGAGCAACAAGGAATTCCAGAATGACTACCTGGCTCTGTTGAGCAAAGGAAGAACGCCATTGGGATCAACCGGCTCGAGGCTTCTCGATGGCAACTCTGAATTCGCAGAGAGCCTCGAGCGCGAAATCGCGGCTTTCCATGGCGCTGACGCCGGGCTCCTGACGAACTCCGGGTTTGACGCCAACGTCAGCATTTTTGCCTTTCTCCCGCAGCAGGGCGATGTCATCATCTACGACGAGCTCATCCACGCCAGTGTGCATGACGGTATGAGGCAGTGTAGGGCTAAACAGCAGATCCCATTCAAGCACAACGATGTCGAGGACTTGAGTCGCATCCTGCAGCAATTTTCTTCCTCCAGGCCCGATCAGACGATCTTCGTGGCTCTAGAGACGGTCTACAGCATGGAGGGTGACCTTGCGCCCTTGACGGAAATCGTCGACTTGGTGGAAGCCATATTGCCTCACAACAACGCGCATCTCGTGGTCGACGAGGCACACGCGACGGGCATATATGGCCCAAACGGGTCTGGACGAGTTTGTGAACTCGGGCTGGAGAAGCGAGTCTCCATCCGATTGCATACGTTTGGCAAAGCTCTGGCGTCCAATGGCGGTGGGTGATCCGTGTCCTTGGTCTGTAGGGGATCCATTAACTGACGGACGATGTTCAAAGCAATCATCCTCAGCTCACCCGTCATTCGCCTCTACCTGATCAACTATGCCCGCCCACTAATCTACACGACATTCATGTCGCACCCGAATCTTCTGGCCATCAAAAACGCCTATGACTGGCTCCGAGTGGGGAAAGCCAACCTCGTAAGCAGGATTTAATTCTGTTATGACCTACATTTCTCAACTGACAATTGTCCTTCACAGCTTGCCGCCAATCTATACCATCTGATAGATCATCTCTACGCCCGCTTGCAGTCCCTGACGGCTCTGGCCTCGAGCGTTGCTGATCCGACGGGCAGGCCTGTCGTGACGCTGCCGACAACATGCCCGGAATCGCCCATCTTCGCCATTCTCAGTCCGCAGCCCCGCTCGCTGGCGTCGCACTGCCAGTCCGCCGGGTTCATCGTGCGCCCGGTCGTCGCGCCAACCGTCCCGGCTGGCACCGAGCGTGTCAGAGTCTGTCTGCACGCCGGGAACACGGTGGCGCAGATCGACAAATTCGTCGGCTGCCTCAAGCGGTGGATCACCAACCAGGGGGCCGGCGTCAACCAAGCCGGCACAGATTATCCAGCGGAGCAATACGGCCGTGCCGGGGAGGAGACCTCGGAGAGACGTCTTCTCGCCAAGATTTGACGCGGCTACTCCTTTGCGGCCACAGTATATAGTACTCCTCTGGTGACTCTATAGTGTCTCCATCGCTTGTATAATCATCATAAGACACAGACGGCATCACGCTTCCTCTGCCTCGACCAATAAGGGCATATTACAGAGTGACACTAGGTAGCTGCAGAGGCATAGAGGCTTGTAAGCACGCTGGGATCTCATATCGAGTCATCCTGTCCAGCTGCTTCCTTTCCAGCCCCTTGACTTGCCGTCCACGCCCTGCTATACACGTCCATCATCGCTATGGGGTCAATCGTTCCGCTTGCGGGTCCCGCTCAAGCAGGCAACTGGAAGAAGGGGTAGAAAGAACCGATCGCGTGGCACACGATTCGCGAACTAAATCGGATTGAAAGCGTGTGGGTTGCGTACCCTTGTGGCTCCTCGGTACGCCGGTCTTGTTGGGTACATAGACCACATTCGTTTTGTGACGTACGTCTCGGCTCTAGAAAAGAGAGCTGGTCCAAGACACGTGCAATATCACGTTCTCGTCCCATCTCATCTCACCTCATTGGGTACGGAAGGAAGGGGGAGCACACGAGGGAAGACGACATGATTCACTATTCCCAGACAGCTCCCAATCATGAGGACCGTTCTATTGATCAATTCATCCATTCATTCATTTGTCCGATATCGTCCATATCACGATCTCTCCCGCCTATTCCTCCAGCTCGGATGACCCATCGGGTCGCGGGCCATGCTCTCCCACCCCCTGACTTTCTCTATCCCTATCCCCTCGTCAACCGAGTACTTGAGTCGCGTAGCCTCGGCTGCCAACTTGGCGTACTTCATGGCTCCTCTCGTGCTGCCCACACTGTTGTACGCCAGCGCGGCGTACCCGTACGCGGTGTCCAGGAACCCATCCAGGCCCTCGGCTTTGTACAAGTCGACGAGCTGCTCGGCTTTCTTGACACTGCCGGGGGCGGTCCCCTGAGAAAGCTCCCACTGGAGCGTGGCGATGTCTTGGGTGGCTTTGTCGGACTCCTGCACTGTGCGTGAGCAGCGCGGGCAGGTACACGTGAACTGGAAGATCGACTGGAAGTGTTTTTGCCGGTCGGCGTGGAGACGCAGAGGCGGCGCGTACGAGATGGTGATTTCCTCGTCCTTTTGGATCAGACGTACGGCGTGCACGTAGTGGGTCAACATGCTGGCGGAAAGGAAGTATTGCGCGCTATCAACGCAGTGTTAGTTGTATGTAATTAGGTTAGAAGTTGAAATGCCGTTATACAGCAAACTCTATAGAACACGGAAGATAAGACATACTTTGGCGCGCAGGCATGGTTGTATCTGGAGGCCTCTGGGAACACGGCCGGATGCATCAAGTCGCCGAGTTTCATCTCAAATCCGTTCGCTTTCAGGATATCCTGCGCCATGACGTCTGGCTCGTCGTAGACCTTGGCCAGCGCGAGATAAGCATCCCTAGTTGCTGGCGGGAGTTGATCGATCGCTAGCCTGAGCATTTTCTCGCGATCGTCGGTAAAACGGAGGTCCCCGATATGTGTGACAAGGCAGGGCGTATACGCGGTAATCAGATCACCACGTTGGAGTGGCCGCGAGGCGAACATACCCATTCCTTTGCCTGGGACGGACGCCGTGTACCATGGCAGATCTTCTGTGTCATAATCGAGGTTGATACCATTTGAGGACAGTGCCGTAGAATCCTGGAACGGCGGCAGCGATGCAAACTTCTGCGCGATTGCTGGTCGCGTGAAGATGGAGATGCCACGTCCGTTGCTGAAGGATGCATTGGTGTAGACGCAGAACTGATCTCCGGTGTCATCGACGTCCTTTGTGCAGATTGGTTTGTGTGTCCACGGGAAATATGAATCCGAGTCCTCCTGCTCTTGTTCGGACGCTGGCTGAATACGATCGTGCCTGTGACCAGGATCGGCGAGGGTCTCGCTTGATTGGCGGAGTTCATCCTGCTGGAGCGAGGCAACAAGTGAAACACATAGAGAAAGAACACGTAACGAGATGGCGTCGAGCTTCATTTTACCAGAGTGTGAGAGAACGCAACTCTAAAAGCACCGAACAGCAACGATCGAAGGTGACACGAAAGACTGGCGTTGAAGTCCCTCTCAGATCCTGAAACACTGGAGCACCGATGCGAGTGTTTCACATTTTGAGTCCCCTTTTTCAAGGCGCGAGACCCTGATGAGAGAGCTGACATACGTGTTTAGTATGTAGAAAGCTATGTGAAGGACACATTCTGGGCTCGTATACGGCGTGCGGTGAGATCGAAGAGGCACGGAGAAATCAATGAACAGGAATCTCTCACTCATGCCTCACACAGACTTGACACGCAGTTGCAGCTTTACACAGATGCGCTGTGGGCGAAAGTATCCCAGCCAGGCAACTCAGCCGGAGGGTGCTGGGGTGGCAACTTAGCCGAGGAGAACCTTCGGCTCGCTGGGAATATTACCCACAGTACGGAGTACGGAGTACACATCAATGACTGGGACACTCGATCAACTAAGAGCTTGCACAGGCACAGGGCACGAACCGCCAACAGCCGCGCAGTGATCTATCTCTGCCGCCTATTCATGTACAATTGTACTATTGGCTACCGCCAGGCGCCTTTTTCCTGAACCGGGTATCATGCTGCGTCGCGTCATAACCTCATGCCTTGAATAGTAGTACAAGTTGGAATTGAAGCCAGGCCAAAGCCGCTCGTAATCTCAGCTGGTCGGAGTGGTCGCTTCACTAAAAGCTAGCCATTTCCAACCAAGTGCCCACGAACGCCAAGTTGCCCATGTCGGCACTGCTCTCCCACGTCTCCGGCTCCTTGTCCTCTTTCTCCTTGCTTTTGTCACCCAAGGCCTTGCCCACTTCACACTCCGGCACCATCTTGCGTCGAAACTCCGAGAAGCTGAGCTTGCCACCTCCACCGCGGCGATTCGCTTCGGCGTCAATTAGGTCGTGTTTCTGCCACAGATAGTACAAATTCCGTGCTTCGACGAGATTACCCGTGAACAGATGGGTTCGCACCGGTGGCTTTGCACATCGGGTTTGCGTTCGGGGCCGAGTTGGGATCGCTGGCCCCGGTCCATCATCTTGAGCTTCCCGGGGGCTTTTGACCGGAGTGAATGGAGACTCTTCCTTCGTTGAGCTCCGAGATGCAGTTACAAGTTCCGCTTCGTCGGGTCGAAACTGCGGGAGCGTTGGGTCGCGGTATAACTCCTCTGCTGCAACGTCATGTGTCGGAGGAGCCTCGGATAATGCTTCAGGCGGTTGATCGCGGAAGCCAGCTGTAAATTCTACAGATTCTTCAAGACCACCTTCTTCCGCCAAACTTTCCTCTGCCAGCATCATTGCAGTCGGGTTTCGAAGGTGATCTGTATTGCCAATAGCCATGTGCCGCGCTTCTTCCTTGTCATTTTTCCGCCTCATCGACTCAATCTCCGCCGCTAGTCGCGGATCGTCATGGTCGTTGTCGAGACTGAGGATTGTCGCAAACTCGCTTCTTTCCTTTCTCGCAAGACGACGAGTGTTGCGTGTCTCCTGTGCCGCCATGAAGTCGTCCTCCTTGTCCTTGAACAATGCATCCAGGAGCTGATTGAAGCCTTGTTGGACAGCCTGGTAAAGGATGTCCTTGCCGATATCTGCTTCAGCCTGGCTGAGCTCATATCCGCCCCATCTCTCATTCACTGGTATGCTGCGGGAGGAAGCGTTGGACCGGGTCTCATAGTCCGTGTCGATCGCACTATCGTCGAAACGGACTTTCGACGAAGACCGAGACGCCATGGAAGCTCTTCTCGGGCTTGCGCCATTCCGCGCGTGTTTCTTGGCTGGCGGTGGATTATCCTCTTCGTCCGAACTATCCGGCTCCGTGTATCCTGGTGGTTTGGTCATGCCTTCTTCGTCATCGAGATAAAATTGGCGGCGACGCCATCTTTCTTCGACCGCATGTGCACGTGTGGCTTCCTCGACGTGGTCTGCTGCAGCATCAAGACGCTGTGACTGGGCGTAGAGCACTCTTGTCCTGTCGACTGGGTCGGTGATGTCCTCCAGGGGCACTTGATGTCCCAGTGCATTGACAATATCATCGGGCGTAGGGGACAGAAGCGGGGGCCAAGGGTAGGTTTGAAGAGGCGCATCGGGACCAGTGATGTCTTCTTCGGGTACCTCATCCTGCTCCATGCCGGAGCCCGTGTAGTCACCGTAGTTCGGCACCATCATGACGGGTTCATCCTCAGGAGCTTCTCTTCTGAACGATCTGAAAGGGTGAGCTCGACTGCGATCACCAAGTGCGGCGTTTCCAATAGCCCGAGCACGATCTCCGCGCATATCGCTATCATTCTGCAGTACACCTGCAGACCCGTTGATGAGTTGGAGATCTCCGTTGGATCGACGTTGTTTATCCTGCCCTGTCCTTGATTCGTGGCCATACAGGTTACCTCCGCCGAAAACGGCGCTGATCGGTTGGCTGCCCTGAGCGACCTCCCGGAGCTCTTCTTCATTGAAGCCAAAATCACCTTGGCTATTGATCATTTCGCGGCTCAGCTCTTTGCTCAATGCGTAATATGCACGCAGCATGCGAAGAAAGTCTTTGCGGTCTACGTAGCCGTCTCCGTCCAGATCATAGCCTTCAAAGATGCGCTTCAATCGGGCGTATCGGCCCTTGTCTTGCAGGCGAGAGAGTCCGCGAATGTATTCGTCAAAGGTAATTAGGCCATCCCTGTTCGTATCGTAGAACGCAAATATCCTGTCGTAGATCAAATTCGCTGGAGAACCCCTGTCACCGTTCGAAGAGATAAAGTACGCGTCGAAGTCCTTGCGATCGATGGCGACTCCGAGGCCAGTGGGATCGGTCGTACAATAATGAGTTGCAACACATTTGAACTGCTCGTAGAGCGCATCCATCTCTGTGCGTTCCATGCCGGTCTCTTCCAACAGTGGCTTGGACGCGCTGGACGGCAACGACGTGGCAAATGCGTCCGGGTTTCCTGGATACCATTTCGGAGTGACCTGCTTCACATTTCCTCTCGAAGGAGCCGGGATCCGAATCTTGTAGAAGACGTGGCTTTTCACGTGCGAAGAGCTGGCCTCGCAGCTCTCGCAGAGGTCGAAGTCGAAGCAGTTTGCGCAGTGGTAACGAATTCCTGCAATGGGGTGGACTCCACAGCTATTGCACTCGACGCCACGGTGGATGTAGCCTTCGCGTCGTGCCTGCTCGCCGGCAATGTGGTAGAGAAGATCCAGCATGTTCTGGCTTCCTCCGGGATCCTCCTCATGGTTTCCAAACGAAATATCACTGTCAGAGTCGTTGTCGCTGTTCTCGTCGTTACTGTTGTCGTTTGCATCGGCCAAGGCCTGCAGAACATCACGAGCTGCTAAGTCGATGGTCTCCACGGCGCCATCGGTCTCGGTAGGGTTGACTCTGGGATTGTGCTCAGGAACGCTAAGCGGATTGTATTTCGTTTTGAAGGCAACTTGTGCTTGGTCAAAGGCTTTCGCCACGACGTAGACAATCTGCGGTTTGACTCCGAGGTTTTCCAGAGCCCTGGCCAATATGGAAGCATCCTCTCCGAAGACGAATCCTTCGGGGAACTCTTCCTTGACAAAATTCTGGACAAACATGGCATGGATGTGGAAGAGGAGGCATTCTTGCTGCATGTCCGACAGCGTCTGCCCGCAACACTCCACCAGGAAGCCGTATATGGAAATGAGGTTGCAAGGGATCAAGGTCAGATCGACGGGTTCAAGCGTGGGAAAGAACCAAGGATTGTTATATTGTCCGTAACCCTGCCTCGTTTCGTTTCGGTGATTTAGATGTTTGATGGCTTCATCGATAGGATCATAGTCGAGGATTGGCTGGTAGCCACTGCGCCAATTGCTTCTCCTTCTAGGACGGCGGATGGCATTGCTTCGGTGGAGGGAGGTGCCTGTCGGCTGGTTCGCATATTGCTGGTACGTGTAGAGGGCCGCAGTCAGCGCGACCGCTCCAGCTAGCGCAAGGAGAAGCGGCTTTTGATATGTCTGATCCAACATTCTCGCGGCAGATCCATCGCAATCTTCAGGAGAAGTCGCCGCACAAGGGTGGATTGCGGGTGTTGCCTGTCATGCAAGAACGAGAAACTTGATGTGAGCTCAAGTTCATCGCCAAACGAAACTGCGCATGCAAGCCCTGTACTTGGACGAAGATGTTGCCTAAACATACGGTGGAGTAAATGTCTCCAAAATCCCATATTTTCTATCATGGCGTGATCCTCCGACTACAAGGCCACGCTGCTGGACAGAGCCTGTTGAGACCGTGTCCGGCCTCGGCAGCAGCTTGTTGAAGGCTCTATGTCACCAGTCGGGTCGAGAACAGTGTTTCAGCCATCCTCTGTCGCTGGCCATCAACTCGGATGATGAAGTGCGGAACCCTAGCTGGTCTAGAAAGCATCATGGCTATCGAGACCGTCACCAGGGGAAGAAGTCAGGAGAAGTATGTTGTGATGGCGATCCAGTGGTATGTGCCAAGGGCCGAGATGCTATACAACGAGTTCATCCCACTCGAGGTGAAACAGTTGAAGCACAACATCATTCTCCCGCTCTCTAACCCCAGAACCTCGACTCAGAAACCACCGTTGCTCACCGTGTGCCCATGATAACTGCGCCCTGTTGCTGCATTACTCTTAGGGGATGCTATTTTCAATGACTACATCGTCAAGAACATGACCATGGCAAACCGCTGCATGCTGAAGGACACCTCCGGACGGAAGAAGAATACAGGTGGTCTCTTTCCGCCTCTCTCCCACTACCGAACCGGAGGTTTCTATCGGCGGTGGCGACGCTTTGACCCCTACCAAAGGGCCGCGCCTCGAGCTCTCATTCCTTCTGCTTCCCATCAAGATCTCCTTCCGCCTGATCATCGACCGTCTTTCTCGTCGTCGACACGGCATCCCACCCTGACACCACTGAACAAAGAACTCCCAACCCTTGCGCAGCAGTGCAGTTCCGTCATCTGCCTCAAATCTGTCTTAGCATTGTATACTGCACCTTGGCTGCCGACTTGCTTGAATGGAGCTTGAAGGGAGCTTGAAGGCTGCCTTGAGTGGCGGGAACCCAGATATCTTGACCCGAAAGATCAGCTGTTGCATTTCCTGCAGTTCAGACCACGGCACGTCAGCCTTCCGCAGAGTCTAACCAGACTCATTGCCTCGGCCTTTCTTCCCTCAGCAGCGACACGGGAAAGAGTCAACGTTGTTTTATCGAGATTCACAACACAGGCTGTCATGAAGAAGATCTCACACCGGTCCTTAACAAGCTTTTTTCCCGTATTTGACAGCTTCCATACTGAATCCCCTGGCAGGTGCGCGTACTCTCTCCCACCTGGTCTGTGCTGTTTCCGAACAAGCCGTATCCAGTGCTGGACTTTCCAAGGGGCATACTGACATTCCCGTCGTGGGAGGAGCCCAGGTCAAACGGCGAGAAGACATTTCAGGCCCCAATTCATGCCGATGTCAGACGCAGCAGCGTCGCCTATTCAGCCTCGCACCCGATCATCCAGTACGCCACGGAGTACAGGCGCGCCTGTGGGAGATTCTGTCCTATCTGCCACGCAAGCCCGATAAGACCCTCCGGTAGCCTGCCGATGCCAAGGTTCAGGCCAAGGCTTGGACGTCTTATGGGCGAATGCCACCACGGCCACCTGCACCTCGCTCCACCCTGTTCCACCCTTGATTGTGCCTCAGCCTCGTGGGAGCGGAACTTGCCCAGAGCTTGGAGCGGCTCCACAGATAAGGGAATCCTTCCTCGTCGACCCATCACGTTACAATTTTACCCTTCAATTGCTCAGCGGAATCGCCTGTCTACCCATTTGCGTAGCGAGTCGAAAGTCCAGCCCAGAAGAACGCGTGCGGATCTTGTCTGCCACGAGGTGGCTCTTCAAGCTAATGATAGAGATAAGTTAGTCCGCGACCATGGGCGGCAGCTTGTTGGTTGACTTGTCATCCGCCCCCGGCATGAATAGGGACCAGGAACTCTCGGCGTACTAACTAGCAACGTCCACCACCATCGTTCATCATGTCCCTTCACGCCACGCGACGGTCTATGATGCGCCGCTGATTCTAGCACCATGGCTATCCTGGTGTTACGCACTATGGTAGTCGCTCGACCTCCCACCTTCCCATCACGCCTTCAGGGTTTGGTTACCTCTCTTGGATTAACCCTCTGTCCATCACTTGGCACACGGTCCGACGTAATGGTACCCGACAAGGGAGAGGTAGGTACCTGCTGCATGTAAATAGACAGCAAGGGTTCCTGGCTATTTCTCCTTCGTTGTTTTTCTTTCTCTTGTGCTTCTTTCTTTGCTTGTTCCAGTCATTTGGTTTTGGGCACTGCTGCCTTTGTCACCAAAGGGACTCCTCCAGCAACAAGAGGATTGCTCGATAGTCCTACGCCTCGCCATGGCAGACGCGCCTGTCCCCGTCACAGAATGGCCCGACTACAGTGTCAACCCACAGGGGGGTAATCCCACCACGCAAGACCTCAACGCCCCATATGACAAGGTATGTGACGGCGAAGAGCGACAGCCGACATATTAGGTGTGTCTGCTTGCTAACTTTGTACTTCTCACGCATCCAGGGTGATTTGTGTTGGATCCTCGTCTGCACGATCCTATGCTGGCAGATCACGCCCGCCATGTAAGGCCGTCACCGTCGATCTGCAGCCGCAAAATTGTCTAACGTGCCATCCAGTGGCTACCTCTACGCAGGGATGCATCGCCGCAAAGCCGCCTTGACCATGATCTTCCAGTCTCTGTTCTGCGCCTGTGCCTGCGGCATTCAATTCTGGATCTACGGGTACTCGCTGTATCAATCGCACACAACCAACCCGATGCTCGGCAACGTGAGCCTCGCGGCTCTGCACAACGTGCTCGCCCAGCCGTCGCTCGCCAACTCGGACATTCCCGATATTCTATACGCGTGCTTCGGGTTCACCTTTGTCACCGCGACGGCGATGATCTTGGCGGGTGCCATGCTTGAGCGTGGTCGTCTCTGGCCTTCCATGCTTTTCCTTCTGTGCTGGACGACGTTTGTCTACTACGTTCTGGCGTACTTTGAGTGGAACCCCAATGGCTGGCTATATCAGCTTGGGATCTATGATTTTGCTGGATCGGGTCCCGTGCACATCGCCAGCGGATTCAGTGCTCTGGCGTGGAGCCTGATGCTCGGTCCTCGGCTCAGCGACCATTCTGCCGGAGAGAGGCAGAAGATCATCCATTTCAAGCCTCACAATCCGTTCCTCGTGGGCATTGGAACCTGTTTCATCTGGTTCGGCTGGTTTGCGTTCAACGGTCAGTTGTTTCCCGTCGACCCTGTCGGGCGGTTTCTGGACTACCGTTCAAGGGTACGAACCCACCAGATTACTGTACTGACGTTGACCGCTAGGCGCAAGCACCGCCAACCTGTCCATCCGGTCCATCTACGTCGTCGTCAACACCAATCTGGCCGCCTGTGGAGGCGGCATTGGCTGGACCCTCCTCGAATACTTCTACACCAAGAAGTTCAGCATCATCGGCTTCTGTTCTGGCATCATTTCTGGGCTAGTGGGCATAACTCCAGCGGCTGGGTTCGGTGAGTTCGACTTGCATGATGCATCGTGCAGCACGCCCATAGATATTGGATATTTTGAATATACCCATGACTAACACGCGCTCACACAGTGCCGGTCTACGTCGCCGCCCTCGTCGGCCTCCTCACGTCCATGTGCTGCTTCTACACCAACAAGTACAAATACCTGATCTCGATCGACGAAGGGCTCGACATCTTCGCGATCCACGGCGTCGGCGGCTTTGTAGGCGACATCCTCACGGGCTTCTTCGCCGCCAGCTGGGTCCCGGCCCTGGACGGCGTCTCTGGCGCGTCCTACGCCGGCGGCTGGTGGGAACACAACTGGGTCCAGCTCGGGTACCAGCTCGCCGGGGCGACGACGTGCGCGGCGTGGAGCTTTGTCGTCAGTTGCATCCTGCTGTTCGTCATCAACAAGATCCCGGGCTGCCATTTGCGCGTCAAGGAGGAGGACGAACAGAGGGGCCTGGACTTCAAGTACCTGAGCGATGTGCACTGGGAGGAATTGGAGCGCGGTAGTTTCAGCGGGTTCGTGCCCCACGGCGTGCATCAGGGCGTGCCATTCTCGGGCTCCGGCCCGGGCAGCGAGAGTGGGAGTGCAAGTCCCGAGCGGGAGGGCGTTGCGCCCAAGAAGCAGGAGTAATAGTTCTTTACGTGAGCGTACTTGCTCTCTCGCCTTTTTCTTATAGTTGGTGATTACTTATGGCCTCTGAGGGGGCGAGACTGCAGCCAGTTGTTTAGATTCTAGATGCGACACTAGATACCTACTGTAGGTACTTCGATGTTTACCCGGGCAGGAGCCATGGTTGATTAATTAGTGGTCGTTCAGTTACATACTGAGTGATGATTAGTTGGACATTCTCCTGACCGAGATACGATCGATGTGCATTTGGGGCAAGCCAGGTTTGATCTGTGCCCATGGAATAATTACTTACTTTCCAACTGGTAACGGTCTTGGCAAGAATGTACGTACTACGTTCTAGAGCTGCTCCTCATACTGCGCCGCATCTTCGACCCGGCAGCGACGCATCCTGGACGGCCGCTTCTGCGCGGATCATCTCCGCAACCCGGCCGCTTCGGGGCGTGATGCTGCAAGCGAAGTGGAGGGGTGTGATGACTGGGAACCCGCCGACTAGAATGCACGCACGCACGCGCACAGGCGCGCACATCAAAGTCAGTCCATGATTACCGCGTATTTTGCCCGCGCGCCCACGCACGACCCTCAGAAAGGACTATTTTCCAACTTACCGACCTCGTCACTGGGAGCCGGGTGCGGGCCCTGCTTGACATCGAACGCCCACAGCATGCGGCTGATGATGATGAACAGCGAGGCATCGGCGACGTGCTTGCCCGGGTATTCTCTCCTCCCGACGCCGAATCCGTAGTGGACGGGCGCGTGTGCCATGTCGTCGCAGCTGCTCTTGCGTTCAGCTGGGCTGGATTAGCGCGAGGTAGCGAAGAAGGATCTGCGATCGTGAATAGGATATTTGGCACCGATTCCGACCGATCCTGGAATGAGACAAGGCTCCGCGAGGCTGAAGAAACAACGTTACCGGATTGGTCAGATCGTGCTTACTCCACGTACAGGCGTTGATTGGAGAGGGTATAATTTTAGCGCGTGGCCTCGTACTGTGTACGAAGTACTCCGTACTGTAATTAAGTCAGAGTATCTCCTTCCTCCAATCTCACTCGGCGATAAAATTCACCGCTTCCGAGAAGGAGCATCAATATTATGATACATAGATATACTCGTTCAAACGCCTGACTAAGCCCAGGCAGGTAGTTAAGTAGGCAGGCGAGGGGTTAGACAGTACCGGACACCTCTGAAATACAGTCTCTCGTAGAGACTTCAACTCCATCGAACTGGTAGCACACCATATCAGGCCGCACTACGTCCCTATCCACACCCACACCACAACACCTACACGCATATCCACGTCCATGTCATCTTCCACGCCCACATCTCCTCGGCCAACAGCCCCCACCGACCCCGCAGCACTCAGCTTCACCTCCCAGACCCACGACACGAGCTACCCGTTCATCGACCCCCTCCGCAGCCCGCCCACCGGCCTCAAAGTCCTAGTGACAGGCGCATCCAAAGGCATAGGCCGCCAGACCGCGCTCTCGTTCGCAAGGTCCGGCGCCTCGGCCATCGCGCTGCTCGCCCGCTCGGACCTCGACGGCGTGGCGAGCGAAGTGGCCCACGCGGCGCGCCAAGCAGGCCACGCGGGCCCGGGGCCCAAGATCCTCAAGCTCCAGACCAGCACGACTGATGCGGCGGGCGTGGAACGTGCGATTGCCACGGTCGAGCGCGAGTTCGGGTCTCTCGACGTGGTCGTCAACAATGCGTCGAGGATGGAGGTGTGGCGGTCCTTGGCGGACGCGGACGTCCACGACTGGTGGGACACGTGGGAAGTCAATCTCAAGGGCACCTTTCTCGTGAGCCGCGCGACGTTGCCTTTGGTCTTGAAGAGCGAGAAGGGCGTGAAGACCATGGTGGTGATTACGAGTGCCGGCGGGTTCAGTGCTGCGTGAGTCTACTTTCTACTTGTTCTCGTCGCTTTTGTTTCTACCGTACCCTTCACATTCATCATTCATGGGGACGAATGAGACTGACACTGACGCTGACACTGACGTGCTTGCATATACCATGACTAGCCCCGGCTGCAGTGCGTATCAGGGCAGCAAGACCGCGCAGATCAGATTCAACGACTTCTTGATGAGAGAGTACGGCGAACAAGGGTTGATTGCGTATGCTGTCCACCCCGGCGGCGTCAAGACCGACGTCGCGAGCGTCATGCCCGAGTGGATGCATCATGTGCTGACGGCGGAGGCGGACTTGCCGGCCGATACACTGGTGTGGCTCACGAGGGAGAGGAGAGAATGGTAAGTTCGCGTGCGAGGTCTAGAACGAGAACTGAGCGAGCGAATGGCTCTCGCGCGCTAGTCAATTGAGCGTCTAACTGACTGTGAGTACTGTAGGCTCGCTGGCAGATACGTCAATGCTCCCTGGGATATGCAAGAGCTGGAGTCAAGGAAGGACGAGATTGTGGAAAAGGATCTGCTAAAGCTGAAGTTGATTGTGTGACATTGAGCGGGTTGGCATGAATACGTCAAAGGCCATATCAAGCATACTCACGGCTTCCAAGGAGGATGATCGTGGAGCATCTCGACCCCATGACATCGGTACATAGATAGATTCCAGGTTTGCATCGAAACTAGAAGCATACACCTTCTTCCGCCGCTCGGATGCGAATACCTCGCGAAACCCCCCTCTCTACCTTGGGATGGGTCTTATCCCACAGCTCGGGCAGAAGCGTGCCTTTTCGTTCCTGGATCAATTTATGGCCCCAACGGCTCGGCATCCACGTCACCAGCCTCCTGTGCCTGTCTCTAGTCCGATGTCAAGGTTGGGCTGCGCCCAAGCGTCGAACATCGTGCTATCGTGCTTGAGTGTGAGAGTTTCAGGGGCAGAATGCATGGCATAGGCGCAAGGTCATTGATGGACAACCCCCATATCGTCTAGTTGAGGTGAGACCAGAATGCCCTTTTGACCCGAGAGGCCACGGAGAGGTCCTAACCTAGCTACCCGTCAAGCTATATGGCTATTCATGAATAGTAACAGGAGCTGACACTAACTGAGGACATGGCGGCGAATTTCGCCCACTCCACTCAAGCCACCCACCATTGATGGCATTGCCAGAAGGGAAGTATTAGAGACGACGACGGCTGCTGCGCTTCCACGTGTTTACATGACCGTCTTAGTCTGCAAGACTGAGGAGCAGCCGCAAACAGCATGGGTCGAGCTCGAGGGCATCTTGGACTCCGGCAAAGTTGGCGCGATAGGAGTATCAAACTTTACAAAACAACACATTGTCACGATCTTGAAAATCGCCAGGATCAAGCCGGCTTGCACCCAAATCGAGTTAAATCCATACCTTCAACGCTTAGATTTGCAACAATTGCATCGGGAACAAGGAGTTTCGACCTTTGCCTTCTCACCTCTCTCGCCCGTTGTGAGAGCCGGACCCGGCCCGCTGAACGATGTCTTAGAGACAATAGCACAGAAGCATGGCATAAGTACCGCTGTCGTGCTGATACGACGGGCTTTGCAGCAAGGAATCGCCGTTGTAACGACATCCAGACAACATGAGCGTATGAGAGATCATCTGCTCGCATTGAGCGTGACTTTGCCAGAGGATGATGCAGCATTGCTCAGCGAGTTTGGATCAGCAAAACACTTCAGAGGGAGGTGGAATGATATATTTGCCGCAGACAGCAGAAGTTGACCACAAAGCAGGAGGTCCAAGTATCAACCCGGTCATTGCAGTCGGCTAGGTGGCTCAGGGAATCCTGTCAGCCAGGTGATCATCTCGCTCGGCTCGCTTGGCTGCCGCCGGAAAGAGGTTCCAGGTATTCTTCGCAATAGTGCCTGGAGCAAGGCCCTGTTTCTTCTCAAAAGTCTCAACATCCAATTTGTTCTCATTCATAGTGTTTGCAGTTGAGCAAGGCACACCGCAATCTGAGCCGTACACGCAATGACTGATGCCCAACATGTTAGCCGCAGGAGCCAAGCCTGTCTTCGCAGTTGCGGCTGTGTCAACATATAGGCTGGATAGCTGCTTCTCAATCTCGTCACGAGTTAGATTCAATGGATTCGGAACCCATGATTCCGTGCCCAGAAGACTGATCCGTCCAGAAAGAGCGGGAAGCGCTCCTCCGCAATGGCCAAAGATGAAGTTGATTTTTGCAAACCGTCGAAAGACGCCCTTGTAGAGCATGTCAGTGGCAATTCTTGCCGTATCAAATGCGACTTCTATGAGTGGACTGGGTCTGCCATGTGTCCCCGGCGCATATGCATTTGGATGGACATGTACCACGGCTTGCTCCTGATCGAGAAGCTCCCAGACCTTGTCAAGCCTCGAATCGCTGAGAGGCACCCCGTTGTACACGGTGCTTGTGGAGTAGCCATCGGGTCTTAGGTCCCAATGTGCAGCCCTGCTGATCTCTTCGGAGCAAGCATCCTCATCGTCGGTAGGAAGAGAAAGCAGCTGTCCAAAGCGATCAGGATATTTCTTCACAATCTCATGACCCAGGTCGTTTGCTGCTCGGATCTTTTCGTGCTGGGTCGGAATGTAACTGAGCAGGGACATTTGCACTCCAGCACTGTTGTTATATTCAATGACTTTCTCTGCTGACCAATGTAGCGACGCTGCCGTAACCATAAAGTTCCCCTCCTGCAGATTTTGAGCCAGATCTTCAGCCTGCTCATCCGTCATAGGTGGAAAGAAGTGCGTGTGAACGTCGAGCCAGCCCGTTGGTGCCATGTTGCTGCAGGAGATTGTCGAAGGGTGCTGGCCATGAACAAGGGTGAAGTAATCTAAAAAGTGCTAAGTATTGGTCGTCCTCAAGACATCTTATGATGATGTGTTAGATGCTTCGTTGGCCCTCGCTTAACGCCGAACAGCTTGCGTCATAGGAAGCCTGGAGCGGACAGTATTCCGTCAGTGGAGTCAGAAAGTGATCCAGGCTGCGCTGAGGGAAGTGTAGCATGGCAATATCGTTCGTTGTTTGGTTGCAAGTGAACAGGCCAATCAATCTGACTGACGAGCACCACGGCCAGTCTAGAGAAGAACCTGGAGACACAGCTGCCAGGCCTGTTCCTGCCGGATCTGGATTACAGCGACCGTTCCAGGGCCTTGGAATCGGTGTAGCATGAAACCCTCGAGCTAACGGCTCCAATGTGCCTGAGAACGGCAGTAAGGCGCGACAATCGAAGTAGCAACTGGTCGGAGGTTGACCTCGATGGTGAGAGACTGAAGCCTTCCCAACAACCTCAGGCTTAGTTGTGGATCACAGGTAACACCATGAAGGTGACTTCGAGAAGAGGCTGCTGCGTAGTCCTCTGACGAGAAATCCTGGGTCGTGGATTTTTCGATGAGACCTTGCATAAATGAGATTTGCTCACGCGCTAGTTCACCGTTGAGAACATCAAGGGCTGTCCTTGAGATATCAGAGCTGGCAATCCAGTAGTACTTGTTGCAGCAGCAACAGGATCTTTGGCTCTTCAAGTCTTCAGCGCTTTTAACTCAGGCTTCGTCTCCAGGGTCTGAGAGATGAACCCTCTCAGAGCGGCCCACCTCTCACTCGTCGATGGAATAGCAGCTGGCTTCGAAGAAACACTCCCGTCATCTTCCATGTCTCCTTTCCCGGCAGCCGCATCGGACGAAGCAGAAGCCAGCTGCGCCATGTTCTTGGCAAACCTATCTCTCTCACCTCTGTCGACATTCTCTCGTCGCTTCATTGCTCCAGGCCGAGATTTGATGCTCTTCCGCTTGATGATGTTGACTTGGTCTTGCGGTCTTTTCCCCGCGGTCACAATCTTGGTCTCAGTCAGGTCATCGCCAGTTTCTTCACTGTGTGGCAAGGCGTCCGCCAATGCATCGAGCGTTGTAACCAGTTTCTTGTTCGGCCTTCTTCGCTTGGGTTTTCTTTCACTGGATTTGGTAACCTTGTGGATGAGTTGGGCATGTTTGATTCGACGCTTGTCCTTCTTCGAGGAGGGGAAGAGCGAGCCAGATGTGGCTGCAGCATTCTGCGAGCTGTGGTTTGAGGGATTCTTGAGAATTGATTTTGTGGGTTGGGCGTTACGCGATGATGGCTGGCGTAGAGGTGCCTGGGAGAGTCAGCCGTTTCTCGTGCTATTAGGATTCACAGATGACAAACCATTTGGTGTCGTAAATAATCAGGATATCTCTCGAATTGCTTGTGAGAAGCGCCTGGAGGGGTGTCTTCAATCCTCTACTACTGTCGTCGAGAATCCGTCGAGAATCTTTGAATTCCTTATCGATAAGGACCGCCACAGCAGCCACAGCAGCCACAGCATGGAAGATCACTGCGAGGGGACGCCGCTTTTACGGTCCATACTGGTAACATCCCGCCTAACCACCCCTCGTAGTCTTGCTTCTTAAAGCAACCGTTCTCGACCACCCTGTAAACAAATGGGACTCTCGCTCGCCCGTAGTCGTCACATCGACTGGCAAGGTAGTTGCAAAGTAAGGCAGAGGTCGGCTCTCTACTCGAGTACAAGGGTAACCTCGGTCGTCCTTTTCTCTACACCGATACATACTATGCCAAGGCAAAGACCGGTGTCAGAGGGCTTATTTCGAGACACGGCGTGATTTCCCGACGAGAGGACGTCAAGTGTCTCCTCGCATCTTTGAGAAGGAACATCTAGATTGGACAGCAAGACGGATCAGGTCCCCCGACTCACGTCTTGTCAAAAGCGGCACACCTCCTGATTCGACACCCTGGAGTCAGCTCATCCACTCCCGGCATGATACGATGGCGAAAGGGCGAGCGACACGGTGCCAACTCGTTACTCTGCACACCGTATCCTTGACTACCTCGGTGCGTGAAATGCCACTGTACGTTGAGTGGTCGTTCAGCCTGCCCTCAGGCAGCCCCTCGTCCGGGGGTTTCTTCCTGCCCCGCACATCCCGATGCTGGCCAGATGAGGGGGATATAAAGATCGGGCCTCCATGCGGCGCCCGCCGCTGGATGGGTGTAAGTAGATTGATCCCTTCTAAAGAGACATTGCCATCAAGACCCCAAACCCCTCCTCTTCGCTCAGTGATTACAAGAAAGAATCCTGCCCCGAGTCCAGTGTCCACATCTTCGCCCACTACGATCATATCAACATGCCTTTCCACGCAACAGTCCTCTACCCCAACGACGACGATGCCACCTTCGACATGGGCTACTACCTCAAGACACACATGCCCTTGGTGATGGAGAGATTTGGCAAGCACGGCCTCAAGAGATGGGAAGTGCTCCAGTACAAGGAAGCGGACGGCCAGAAGCCCAAATTCAGTGTTGGCGCCACCCTGATTTTCGACACCCCCGATCAATTGCGCGCAGCCTTGGGCTCCGAGGACGCGGGCCCTGTCTTTGACGATGTCAAGAACTTCAGCAACAAGGGCCCAATCTTCCTCCCGGGAGATCTTGTCGCGACGTCTTGAATTGGCCGTCACCATGTCGTGGCGTGAAGGTTACAGGTCAAGAGAGGGGCGGAGGTTGGGTGCCCATGAGGGGCCGACCCGTACAGAAAACTAGTTCATAGACACGCCGATTGTGCACAGGCAAAATATATGTGTCGACCCAATTCCATGACCACATTCCCTCGTGGGTGCCCCGCTGGCGTGTCATCGTCTTCCTTTACATACACTTTCGTTAGGAATGGACCTCAGGAATTTCAGGCGAGTCCGTCCTTAACCGGCTGGGCGTAATGACCCTCCAGTATTATGATGAGTACTGCGTTGTCCCACTTGTCTTTGGCTGTCTGTTCCAAGCGCTAGGACGATAGGAACATCATACCGACATAGAGCAGCAGATCGGGAAGCCCTCCCTAGCGTGGTTGTCGATCATTGGCATTTGACCTCCGCCACCGACATACTAGCCGGAGAAGAGCGATAGTGCCCAACCGGTGAGGCAGGGTATAGATCCTAGCTGCTGCTTTTCAAAGAATGACCGCCGTGACGTTGTTCAGAGTTATGTGTTGAGCTTGCAAGCAAGCTTCCAGGTCAGAGTATATCTGACTGATTAATCCGATCTTAACCCTGGATCAGACAACATGGCTCCTATCGCATTGAACAGCACAGTCTACGAGGCGAAACTGAACAAATCCAAAGCAGCCCAGCCAGTCACCGAAGAAACAGGAGAAAGCATTCGCCTTGCAGCTCGCTCAGGCATCTTCACAGGGCAAACTTCCGGATGCGCACCGGGGTATGTGCAAGCGAACCTCATCGCCCTGCCAGCCCGATACGCCCGCGACTTTCGCCTTCTCTGCCAAAGAAATCCCGTGCCCTGCCCATTACTTGCCGAATCCGGAGATATTGGGAGCTGGAGCGCGATCAAGTCACACATAGCCGGCGTGACGGGTAGACAGATCGCCGAGAACGTGGACCTTCGCCAGGATTTCCCAAAATACATGGTGTACGAGAATGGCGTTCTCACGAAATCCCATTGCTTGAGCGTGGAGGCGGAATGGACAGAAGAGCACGTCGGCTTCTTGATCGGTTGCTCGTTCAGTTTCGAAACCGCACTCGCAGCAGCGGGACTGGTTCCTCCACATATGGCTCACGGACGAAACGTTCCGATGTATCGAACGAGCCTCCCGCTATGCCCGGCTGGCGTTTTCAGGAATTCGACCTATGTGGTCTCCATGAGGGTGTACCGGAGAGAAGACATTGAGCGGATAAGGGACGTCACTCGTCCCTACGTCGCCACGCATGGAGAGCCCATCGATTGGGGCTGGGATGCCGTGACTCGTCTCGGCATCAAGGATATCACTCAGCCGGAATTTGGTGATAGCCCTGTGCTGTCAGACGGTACACTCCTTTCAGAAGAGGTCCCCACCGACGCAGGGGATGTGATCCCTGTGTTCTGGGGTTGTGGCGTGACTCCGCAGGAAGCAGTTCGGCAAGCAGCATTGGAGGGCACTGTTCTAGGCCACGCTCCGGGACATATGATCGTGTTAGATATCAGAGATTGGGATATTCTGCCTGAGAACTCGCTGTGATGGTGTAATGCCTAGATGACTTGAGGCGCTTCGAGTAATCGAGGGTTGACCCTCGAGGCTAGCCTCTATTGATCCTCCTATGCGAGCCGTCATACCTACTCGATCGTCCCTTGACCTTGTTGTGCTTCATTCCGCAGAGCATTCTCGATCCAGCCGGTCTCCATATCAATGTCTATATCTCCGTAAATTTCCTCCCAGAACTTCGGATCATCATCGACCTCGAAATCTAGCGAGACGTCCTGGAACGGATAAAAGTTATTGGTCAAGTCCATGAAGTTGTCTTGCAGCGGTAAGGGCGCCACGTAAGGCATGTTTTGTGATAGATTGAAGTCATGAGCTTCTGGAGCTTGGTCATTTAGGATCGTCTCCATTTCAGTCTGATGTGGCTGCATCACTGGTGATCTCCGTCCAATGGTTGCGCGAAGGTTCGTCAGAAGCGACAGTCTTCTTTGGATATATTCGTTTCCCTTCTCCGCCATACCACGGAGGACAGAAAGTGCTGTTTCCATCGCCTTCGCATCTCTCCTGTTGTAAGGAAATGCGACATTGACCATGACCAGCGTAAGCGAGGCTGAGAACGCATGCTCTCCATCCATGAAGCCGTATGTTGCTGCAACTGATTAGGCGTGTGGACCCCGCCAAAGATCGTGGCACTTACCATACAAGCCCTGCTTGGCTGCCGCAGCCATAATCATAGTACTAGCACAGGCTGCAGAAATCGCTGAGTCAATCACCGAAACCACGTTCGGTGAAAGTCCATCTCTCCAGTCAGAAGGAGCCGTCCCAGTAACGAGTGCTTGCAGCCTTCGCTGAGTAACAGAGAGAAGTAAAGGTCTAGCCGTCATGTTGATGCACTGATAGTAGTGAAGAAACGTGGAGACGGCCTCGCGCGATATCGGTTGGTCTAAAGCCGAGAAATCGATTCTCAGCTCCGCCGGGACGCTTTTGAGCCAATTGGCCAAATCATTCATGATGCTTTGGATAGAAGCAAGCAGGCCGGAACCAGACTTCAGCTTCTTTCGGTAGATTTCGCTCCCGATCCGTCCCAGGATCCTTGACATTTGCGTATAATGAGCCAGCACCCTGGGTGGGGAGAGATCTGGGTCAACGCCTGGTATGGGACTCGGCAAGGCTACGTCGATGTCTTCATCGTGGATGGATATAGGGTTGCCGGATTTGACGGAGATGATCCTGTCCATGCTGTACACAGACCACCATACTCTCCTTCGGTGTTCCCTCTCAACCAGATCCATAGCAGAGTCGTCCACTTCTTGGTGAAGGCCTAGGGAGATTGCCATGCGCAAGGCCAAGCCGATGTACTGGAACGCGGCGTCCTTGCGATTCACGTTCTGCATGTATGGTGCCAGCAGGCCCAGGACCTCGACAAACATGACCGAGCCTTCCTGATAGAGGTCGGGAAGAAGCCATAGAGCATGCTTGAAGAACGTGAATCCAGGCGGTCCGTCACTTCCTGACCATTGATTGACCGAGTACATCTGTCCATAAGCGAAAATGAGCAGTACCTGGCAGAAAGCAAGACAATCGTCTTGTTTGGCGAGATCCAGGGTGTTGCTATAGACCTTTTGAAGTCGTGATTCGAAGACGTGCGGTTGCAGAAAGGAGAAGATAGTGCCGATATAGATGTGCTGAGCAAAGAAAAGTCGCCTGGCGAACTCGTAAGGTGGAAGTTGTGGCAAGGTTAGAGAGGCTGGCCGCTTCAGAGACGACTTGTACATGGGGTTCACATCCCAAGCAAGGCTCGTTTCGGGCGTTGAGCTGAGCTTCTGAGCCAAGTACGTGGCAGCCGCTTTGCCAACGTATCGCCGCTCTCCTGAGCGGGTCAAAAGGAGCGTATCCATGCCCTTGTACCACCAGTCATCGTCATCTTTCGCGGGTTCTTCTTCGAGGATGCTAGGCGTTGCAAGACTTGTATTGCTTGATTTCACTGCCGAGGACGTCAACACCTTCATCCCGATCGCGGCGCCCACAGGAGTGAAAGTAAGCAACGACAGGAAGACGTACACTCATCGGCAGCTCGAGCCCGAGCTTGGAGGTCCTGCAAATAACTGTTGCCGTCAATACAGGCCTCAAGCTGGTCAGACTAGGCTTACCTCTCCGGAACAGAGACTCTTCTTTCAGACTCAGTGTAGACACACTCTGCCCCAGCGTCCTTACACGTCGGGCATGGATCGGGCGGGGAGCCAGAGCACTTTGTCTTGCGTCCTCTGCACCGGTTACACGCCAAAGCCGACCGTCTGGATGAGTCGTATGAGGGTGGCCTGGCATTATAGGACGCCGCGTCCGCAGATTGCATTCTGTCGTCAAGTCAGGGAGCAGAGCCGAAAGTTTGGTATAGAGAGAACCGAAAGTAGAGCGCCTCCAACTGGATTTCCTGTTTGTGCTTAAGATGTCTTGTTGTGCTGTAGAACCATTTGAAGGGCTCCTGGTTGCCTGGCTTTTGACGCTGTTTACCTGCGCCTTTATACCACAGTGTCAGTCAGCGCCTAACCGGCGCCTACATTCTCTGTGGCGTCTATCAGCGGGGTTTCGGCATGAACGACCCTGTAGTTCGAACTGTCCATATGCAATCTCACCGGTCGGCTGTGCTCCCTACTTACCGCTGTGGTATGGACAAGTGCGATCGGAGACCCAGTCCGCTCACGGGTCACGGGTTACTGTTGATGCAGGCTAGGGCGCACCAGCCTGACCAGATGTCCGGCCGCACTCCTGTGTATGAAGCGCAGCCACAAGGTCTCTGTACGCCAATCGATGAGGCTGTATGGACGCGGTCAGATGGACGTCCAAAGGCAATCAGGATCCTGCGTAGCCGACACCTCGAGATAGGCATGTGGACAGGCATCGGACAGAGAGTTCCGACGACGAAGGTGAGGCTGCCGTGGCTCTTGGCTTATCTCGGGCTCTCGCAGCCGATGAAGCGTGTGGTGGCTGCGCAGGGCAAAGCAGGCGATGCAGAGTAAGCAGGTTCATTGAGATATCGCCTACCGTAGTCTTGGCTACGGCGGAGTATTGTTCAAAGGATGCACACCTTCAAGTGTCACGTTCACGTCAGAATTCCAGCCCTCTCTGAACTCTCACATCTCCGTTTGACTCGACATCGCTGACTTCTTTGATATCAACTGGCCGAGGCTGAGTCGACCCCGAGTCGACGCCGATGCATCCTCCGGTTGCGTGCCGATTTACCCAAATAATGGCTTTGCCAATGCTCTCCTGCTCCACAGGTGGCTTCGACGTCGGGTGCAATTTAGGCTAAATACTTCTGCCCCCAAGCCTTGCAGAAGTTGGAGAAAACGTGCAAGACAGTGTGCTGATGGCAGGCGCCGTGTCAGACAGGTGTCCGAGTCCTCCGAACTCTATCATCGAACGTTACTAGCAACCTTGAGAGTGCAAGTGAGCACAGAGGACACTCGGTGAAATCAGTCAAAGATGGCGACAGGTATACTGAAGGTCAAAGGGACCCAGGTCGTCGGCAACGATGACAAGCCGGTTATCCTGCGAGGCTGCGCAATAGGGGGATGGCTCAAGTAATATGATTCTCTGACCTGAACACGCGCGTATACTTACGTTGAACAGCATGGAGAACTTCATCGTCGGTTACCCAGGCCATGAGTCGAGCATTCGCGCTGCGATGCTGGAGGTCATGGGCCAGGAGAAATATGACTTTTTCTTCGATCGGTGGCTTTACTACTTCTTCACGGAAACTGATGCCAAGTTCTTCAAGTCGTTAGGCCTGAATTGCATTCGCATCCCTTTCAACTACCGGCATTTTGAGGATGACATGAATCCGCGAGTGCTCAAGGAAAGCGGTTTCAAGCATCTGGACCGTGTAATTGACCTTTGCGCCAAGGAAGGCATTTACACCATCTTGGATATGCACACCGTCCCCGGAGGCCAGAGCCCAGGATGGCATTCTGATAACACGACGAGTTACGCCGCGTTTTGGGACTATAAAGACCATCAGGATCGCACCGTCTGGCTTTGGGAGCAGCTCGCACAACGTTACAAGGCCAACCCCTGGATCGCCGGATACAATCCGATCAACGAGCCCTGCGACCCGAAACATGTCCGTCTGCCTGCCTTCTACGCCCGACTGGAGAAGGCAATCAGGGCGATCGATCCGGACCATATCCTGTGGCTGGATGGCAACACGTTTGCAGCAGAATGGAAAGGTTTCGATACTGTCCTCCCGAATTGCGTCTACGCCCTTCATGACTACAGTATGATGGGCTTTCCGACTGGCCAGCCGTACGAAGGCACCGCGGAGCAAAAGGAGAGACTCGAACGGCAATTCCTGCGTAAGTCGGAGTTCCAGAGGACGCATAACACTGCCATTTGGAATGGCGAGTTTGGTCCGGTTTATGCCAACCCTAAATGGGACGAGAACGCGGAGGAAGTGAATCAAAAGCGCTATAACATGTTAGGCGAGCAGCTTCGGATCTACGATAAATTCCAGATCCCCTGGTCTATCTGGCTGTGGAAGGATGTCGGTCTACAGGGAATGGTCTACACTTCTCCCGACTCGGCCTGGAACAAGCTGATCGAGCCAATCCTGGAGAAGAAGAAGCGCCTGCAGCTTGATGCATGGGGAAAGTACCCGTCCAAAGAAGTGGAAGACCTGCTCCAGCCGCTTGTCCGATGGATAGATTCCGTCTCGCCTACGGCGAAGGACGTCTACCCGTCCACGTGGAACACTGCAAGGCATATTGACCGTCAGGTCCTGCAGACATTCCTTGCGGAGACGTTCTGTCAAGAATTTGCCGAACTGTTTCGCGCCAAGGACCAAGCCGCCTTGGAGGAATTGGCAAAGAGCTTCAGCTTCGACAACTGCGTCCAGCGGGACGGCCTGAACAAGATCATGTCCGACTATGCCGCGATCGCTACGAGCTCCGGCGGAAAATAGATTTAGCAATACAATATCAGCCAGCAGTGGCAATTCTCGTGATGCTCGTATCCACGCCGAGGCTTGCAACACAAGACGCTCCTTTCCACTACGAGTATGAGGTGGGCTGGCAATCACCGTGTCGACGGCCAGTCTCCGCCTTGGATCGCTTCCCTTTCTGCCTCAATCAGTTTTCTCGCCTAAATTCATTTCTGGGTACCCGGTGGACACCAAACTCCAATCATTCGGAGTATACCGGGGGGTTTGTGCGGGGGAATGCCGGGCGTGCAAGGCTGCGATACTGCCACATGGTAATGGGCCTTCGGGCTCGGCAGATGATGACAGGGATGGGACCAATTTCGTGGATTTCTACATAAAGGCCTCTGCAGCTCCGGTGCATATATATCCTGGTCGTTCCACCTGCAACTCCTGCGAAGACCTCCACCACAAGTCCTCAGGTCTCTCGATCAACTCCAGCAAACATGTCGAAGGCTATCGCGGCTCATGATGTCGCCGCCACAGATGTCGCAAAGGTGTCTGAGATCGCCCACCTGATTGCACAAGATACAGTTCCATGGTACAGGAAGAAGAACCTCCGAAGACTCTATTTGTGCCTTGTGCCTGCGGCGTAAGTCTATGTTCCCCTCGGTGCCTCCTGTCTCGAATAGGATCACCAGATTCGAGCCTACTTTTGAATTCTGAGGAAAGATCTGACAATGTCTGGGTTAGGCTCGGTGTTGAGATGACTTCAGGCTACGATGGTAGCGTTCTCAACGGCCTCCAAGCCGTCCAACCCTGGCAAGACTGTAAGTTGGAGAAAGCATTCGGGTAATGCAGCTCGCTGACCGCTCGCAGTCTTCGGCAGTCCCAACGGTGCTCTTCTTGGTGTCATGACGGCAGCCTTTTCCATTGGCGCGGCGTGTGCAGTCCCACTGGTGCCGTATGTCAACGACCGATTCGGTCGCAGGATTTGCATCATCGTCGGCAGTGTGATCATCTCGATTGGAGCAATCTTGCAAACTGCAGCAGTCAACAGTATGTACGCCTTGTTCAGGAGAAGTTCCCTCCATATGCTGACATCCCATTAGTCGCCATGTTCATTATTGCGAGAATCATTCTCGGAATGGGCATTGTGTACGCAATCAGCGGAGCATCCCAGCTGATTGCCGAACTGGCATATCCCAAAGAACGATCTGTCATTGTCGGCCTCTTCAACGAAAGTTGGTATGCAGGTGCAATCCTGGCTGCGGGTATCACTCTGGGGACGTTCTCCTGGGACAGCAATTGGTCGTGGCGCTTGCCCTCACTCCTACAGCTCTTGCCTTCGACGTTACAGCTCACCTTCATCTGGTAGGCGGATTTGTTTTCCCGCAGGTCGCATTGTCTGACAGGCACAGGTTCATTCCCGAGTCCCCCCGTTTCTTGGTATCGAGGGATCGCCATGAGGAGGCGCTGGAGATCCTGATCAAGTACCACGCTGAAGGTGATCGGTCGGATGCATTCGTCGCGGCGGAATACCAGCAGATCCGCGAGACCATCCGCATGGAGATCGAGGGAACCAAAACTCCGTGGAAGGAGCTCGTCACTACTTCCGTCAACCGACGACGTGTTTTCATCGCGGCCTGCGTGGGCTTGTTCTCCCAATGGTCTGGAAATGGCCTTGTCAGCTACTATCTCAGCCGAGTTCTGGCGACCGTCGGCATCACCGCGAAGCGAACTCAGAACGAGATCAACCTCGGTCTGTCGTGCTGGAACCTTCTGACGGGTGTCACGGGCGCACTCCTTGCTCACATCCTCCCGCGACGACGCCAGTATCTCGCGTCCTACGTCGGCATGACGGTCATGTTCGCGTGCTGGACGGCAGCCTCAGCCACCTATTCGAAGGACCATACCAACCACTCGGCCGCAATTGCGGTTGTCGCATTGATCTTCATCTATTACGGTTTCTATAATCTCATGATGCCGCTGACATACATCTTCATCACCGAGGTCTTCCCCTTCATCCACCGAAGCAAGGGCGTGGCCATCACGCAATTCTTCTCTCGTGGCGGCAGCTCATTCAACCAATTCGTCAACCCGATCGGCCTCGACGACATCGAGTGGAAGTATTACCTCGTGTATGTGGTATGGCTCGCGATCGAGACAACAACAATCTTCTTCGTCTACCCGGAGACGAAAGGACCCAGTTTGGAGGAGGTTGCTGTTGTCATGGAGGGCGACAAGGCCAAGGTGGAGGTGATCGAGGTCGGAGCCTCCTCAGGGAAAGGCGGGCTCGGCGTGCATGAGGTTGAAAAGGCTTGAACATGCTGCCCCTGACCAATCCGAACCTTGTACAGCCCCCTCCCAGAGATGACATTGTATTCACTCTACTGAGTAGAGCTACCTGCCATGCTTTATTGTCGCGCCTGCTAGAAATGGATAATCTACTGTACTTCCCACTATGGTGCAGTATACAATCTCAAGTCCGTACTCCATTCGCGAAGCATCTGCCCAAAAGTTTGATCCTAGACCCCCCCACTCACGGGTGGCCTTGGACGACGACAAGCCAACGCGGGTGTGGGGAGCTGTTTCGCCATGCGTTTCGGTGCGTCATGATAGACGGTTCGTGCCTGGAACAGCCGTTGATTAGCCTATCACCGTGTCCTTCAGGCATCCCCCCAGCGCTGGACCGGACTGCATCTTGCGCCCTGAATCAGCGGAGCCAAGCAAGGCCTGAGTGCGCCTCCTGATCGTCCATGGTAACGGCTACTGCAAACTCAAATCGCTTCTTCCCAGTTCCCCTCGACTCCGACATAGACCGAGTCGTGTTTGCTTGTAACAGTGAACTTCTTGTGCAAATTCTACTTTTGTGCCGTCGGACAAGCAGATGATTATCTGCCTCCAAGTTTCAAAAACCATGACATTTCTACACGTTCGATGAGAGGACCTCAGGCTTGACACAATTGTCGACGACCCATTCCCACCGGGCGACAATGTCCGCAAGGAGCCACGTCAAGCGGCTGATCGTGTGCATTGACGCGGAAGAGTACAGGCCTGAAGACGGGACATTAGGTAACGATAACAGCAGCACCATCTTCCGCATCAAGAGCATCATACGGGGTGGCTTCTGCTACGATGCTCAGGTCCGTGCGATCGAGCAAGTTGTCCGGTACTACCGCGCCGCTGCAGATGGGCCGAGCCGGATGGAGAGGCTGAAAAGCAGATCCGGCACGACCGTGTACCACGACGAGCAGATCAAATCGATCTGCAAGGAAGTGTGCGAGACGCTGGACGAGCCGCAGGACGAGCTGTTCCTGTACGGGTTCGGACGGGGCGCGTTCCTGGTGCGGGCTGTGGCCGGCCTCCTGACGACCATGTACCTGCCCAAGAGCACGTCGCTGAGGTACTTTGACCGGCTGTACCAGAGCGCGCTGGACGTGTACAAGGCGCGCAGGGAGGACGACAACAGGAACGGGCCGAAAATCATCGAGTTTCTCAGGTCGCACACGACCCGTCCGCCGCGCATCCAGTTTGTCGGCGTCATCAACACGGTGAAATATGGCGTGGAAGAGACCGTGCACGATATCTCGTTTGTCTCGTCGATCCAGAACTTGCGGCACGCCTTGGCCATCAACGAGATGAGGGCACAGCTGGGCGCCGAGGTCTTCGAGACGCCGTCCGCAAAGGATATGCAAGGCCGGAGTTTCGTCCAAGCGTGGTTTGTGGGATCACACCACGATCTCGGCGGCGGTGCCTTTGAGGATGGCCTCTCCTTGTATCCTCTCCAGTGGTTACTTATAGAGAGTATACGAGCCGGGCTGGTGTTGCAGCCGCAAGATGAGCCGGTGCAGCCGCGGTCAAGAGCGAGTGTCCTGTCCCTCGCATTTCCACAGTACGCCGGCGGGCTTCCGAGACTGGATGACAGCGAGAAGATTGAGTGGCAGGTGTCGTATTCCAATGGCATCCAAGTCAGCTTCTACGACCTTCAGAGCTTGCACGGCACGTCGTCCGACACGGATCAGGCGCACAGCGTCCAGATCAACACGTCAAATCCGCTGTATAACAATCCTCCCAAGGTTTTTAATTCCAAAGGACTGATAGGGTGGGCCGACGATGGTGAGAATTCCCCAACCAAGCAATCTGAAGTGACATTTGGGACTTACGCTTCTTGCCAGGGAGCTACGGCACGATCGTCCACCCGTCCGTGTTCTGCCTGCTCGACAGAACTCCGCGCTTTTACGAACAATATCGCTTTAAATCAATGAAGAAAGAGCTTGCTGATTATCGGGATCGATGCCTCGAGGAAGGCGACGGCGCAATCCCCCCGTGGCTGGAAGGACTCGAGCTCCAGGCCAGTGGAGTCAAGGCTTTCAGGATATTGGTATGTGGCAAGACGGGGGTCGGGAAGAGCACTTTGATCAACAAGGTCTTTGGGGTCGAAATGGTAGGACGCTTCCCAAACCTGAGCCTGGTGGTTCGCAAGCTGATACCTGCCGCCCAGACCGAAGAGTCCGACAGCTATAAACAGGGCGATCACGACATCAACCAAGCCTTCGAGTCCACCAACCATCCCGGCCTCCTGATTCACGACTCGAGAGGCTGGCAAGCAGGGAGCGACAAGGAACTGGACTTGATCGCCAAGTTCCTGCGGCATAGAGCATATCAAAAGAACCCTGCAGAAGCGCTGCACGTCATTTGGTAAGAAGAAGAAGAAGAAGAAGAGGACGCATCTTTCCCACACCCTGGGTTATCAAAATATATCGTCGTCGCTCACATGTGTGTTTCTCAGGTTCTGCGTCGATTCCGACGTCAGCCGGATCGAGGCGGCCGACAAACGGACCTTCGAAACCATTGCACAGTTCTCGAACCACGTCCCTGTTTTTGTCGTGGGCACCAAAAAGGACAAACTGATCGCCTACCGCAAGATTCAGCTACTAGAGAAATACATGGAGCAGACGGGGAACTATCCCGAGTCGCAACGTCTCGCGAACGAGGAAGCCGATAAATTGGCGGACGAGCAATTCATGTCGCTTCGCGAGGAGCTCTCCCGGATCAAGCACTACAAGGCTGACGGGTATTGCTGTCTTTCCAAAGGTGAGAGATGCAGAAGCACCCGATCGGTGCCCTCAGGTTGCGGGCGGAGTTCCGACGTGCTGACGTGCTCTTTTTCGTGGCAGACGACGACCAAGGCGTCAAGAAGCTTCTCGCGCAGACTCTCGAGCTCATTACCGATGACAGAGTTCGTCTCTTCGCGGTGGCGGCGCAAGTCGTCGATGTCGAACAGAAAATTGACTCGGCGATCACAGAATGCATGCGTCTCGGCACGCACGCCGTTCGCACCGCGATGGTCCCCTTACCCTTCTCGAGCGCGATCGGGACGCCCACCGTAGCACGCATCCTCTGCCAGAACGTCCTCCAGTGTTTCGGGTTCCCCAAAGCGCTACCCGAGCAGGTCGAGGAGATCATGACGCGCGTCGTGCTGGGCCATCTGAAGAAGTTCATGGTCGTGACGCTCACCGAGTTCCTGGCCGTAGGGGTCACCACTGCAGGGCTGGTTGCTGGAACGGTACGTGCCACGCGCCCTCGAATTCAAGCCGTTGTCCGCGCCATTATTGGTCATGTATACATCTCGTAGGTGGCCTATCGATGCTAACCTGGCTAAAACGACAGATGGGTGCTGCCGGCGTGGTGGCGTTCGCATCGTGTGCCTTGGCCGTGCCTCCGACAGCGAGGATGTTGTTCAAGTGTGCTTGCGACATGATTCTCATCCTCGAGCGGTCGTTCCGGTACCAGGGGAAATATGTCTCTGTCAAGCAGATCGAGGACGCCGCCGTCTACTACACCACCGCCATGACCACGACCTTCGCGGGGAAAGAGCTGCTTCTTCAAAAGCACGTCCACGACGAAGTCGACCGGCTCGTTCCCTTGACGAAATTCACCGCCGCTATCAAGTTCAGCAAGCTTCGGCCGGGGCTCGAGGACATCATCTACAAGAACCGATTCCTGAAAACGGAGCCGGACAAGAGTGCCGCGTCTCGACCCATGGTCCCGGAAATAGGGGGCACGCAAATTGCCGAGCTCGAGGGAGTCCAGAGTCCAGTGGAATTGCCTGGCGTCAAGAGGCAGCCCACCGAGCTACCGGCCGAAGACGTCAAGCTCCCATTGTCGATTCCAGAGAAGGGGGTTTCATCGTCAGGATATGGATCCACCAGTGGCACGAATACGAATACCACGGCCGACGATCTCCTCAGCCTGGAGGAGAGGACGACAATATCGCCGACTCGGAGCGACCAGGGCCTAGTGGCCACACGGCAGTCGACGGTCTCGCCGATGTCAGAGTCGGAGACTGGGTTCGAGGGGACCAAGAGCGACAACTTGTTCTCGCGCAGCACTCGGAAATGGTCGTCGAGGCTGGGCTTGCGCAAGACCAAGACACTGCAAGAATAGCAAAATATAGGGGGTATGTGTGAGAGAATGTGAGCTGCAAACACAGAATCAACACCCACCTGATTGATGCTGCCTGATTGATCCTTCCTGCTTGACAAGTCGACGAAGATGCAAACACAGAGGCATCAACACCCGCCTGATTGATGCTACCTGCTCGACGACTCGACGGCCGGGATCCGCCACGGCATCGTACATGCTCGTACATCAGCCCTTGGCAATGCATCAAGATTTTGGCCTTGGCCTCGGTAGCCACCGTCACGGCCTCGTCATGCGATAAGGGCGTGTCCAATCAGGACTGGCAGCCTTGCCTGCAATGCTTGACCTGGTTGATAGGTGGCCGCCGATGGCGATCCCGCAATGTACGAGGCTGTCGTGTAAGGGCCGTACTGCAAGTGAGAGGCACACACCCACACCCGTATGTCAGAAGCTTGACAAGGTGCGAATATAAAGAAGGCTCGGTCTCTTCCCAGGATAACTTTGAGATCACCTAAGATCCAGACACGTTCAAACTCAGCCAATTCATCCATCCGCTTTTTGAGTACGGACGAAATCAGAACCCGCAATGTCAGCGATCACCGTCTCTCCCGTCAACCCTGCCAAACCCGACCTCGGGGCCGTGGTCGACAACATCGACTTGGACAACCTCAGCGACGCGGACTTTGACGCCCTTCGCACCGCCCTCTACACCTACAATGTCGTCTGCATCCGCGACCAATCCAAATGCACGCCCAAGGCACAAGCCGCACTGACGCGCCGGTTCGACCCCGAGGCCCTGTCGTACGGGCACGGCAAGACCATCGACGCCAAGCGGTCGATCCTCCACCCGGACCTCAAGACGGTGCCGCACCAGCCCGAGGTGCAGGTCATCGGCAACGGCTTCGTCGCCTCATACGAGGGCCTGAAGAACATCACGCTCAAGCACCCTCACCACCGCACGTTCCACCAGACGGTCATCCCCGAGGCGCAGGACCTGGACTTCACGCGCTTCTACCGCTGGCACATCGACGCCGCGCTGTACGGGGACCTACACCCCCCGCTGGTGACGTCGCTGCTCGCGGTGCAGGTCCCCTCGGGCCGCACGCAGACGGTGCTCTACGACGACGGCACTGACGACAGGCTCGACGTCCCGCTGGGCACCACGGCCTTCGTCTCCGGCTACACCATGTTCGACAACCTGAGCGCCGAGCAGAAGAGCTTCGCGATGACGTCCCGCGTCGAGTACGCGCCGCACCCGTACGTGTGGATCTCGACGGCCAAGTCACGGCCCGACGGCCTGGGCATGGTCTCCGAGGGCAAGGAGGTGCCTCTGCACGAACTGCCGCCCGTGGACCGCGCCACGGACATCCAGATCCTGCCCATGGTGTGGCGCAACCCCGTGACGGGGCGGTTCGCGCTGCAGATCCACCCGTCGGTCGTGCGCAAGATCCACCTCGGCGACGGCCGCGTGATCGACGACCTCGCCGAGGTGAGGGACATCGTGCACGGCTTGCAGAGGCCCGGCATCGCGCCGGAGCTGGTCTACGCGCATGATTGGCACGAGGGCGATCTGGTGCTGTTCAACAACCACGGCGTTCTGCATAGCGTCGTCGGGGCTTTTGACAAGGATGAGGTCCGGCTGTTCAGGCAGTGCAATCTGGCGGCGAGCAGGCCGCCTCTGGGACCGGAGACGGCGGTGGCCTCAGTGCCAGTGTCGGTTGCGTGATGGAGTTGCACGGTAGAGATATGGAGTATCAGGTCAGGTCAGGTCAGCCAGCGGCGCCTATTGTAGATTGTAGGAGTACTGGGGAGAATTCACACTTAGCGTTCATGTTTGAGAATTGTCTGTTCACGACACTCAGCTCCGTTTCATCCTCACTGCTCACTTTGTCCTTACATCTTGATCTACATCGCTTCAAACGCTCGCGGGTTTGGACCTCGAACCGGTGGATCCGTATCCGTAGCTGGACCACTGACCGTGAGCATGCTGGCTGCCGACAAACAAGGCGAGCCTTATTACCGGCGAGCTGAGTTATCGGCGAGGTCGACTGGCGCTCACCAGCCAGCGTTATTTTCCAATACCGCTCACCTCCCACTCATGTTGACTCTCCCTTCGCTCGGCTATACTCACTCTTCGATTACCCTCGACTTAACCTCGACTAACCCTTAGCCCTCCCTCCCCCTCTCCTTCTCTAGCCCCCTCCACGATGATACTCGGTTCTCTGCAGAGGATTTAGGGTCGACCTACTGTTCAAGGAGCAGCCTCATGAACTCTTCCTTTCTTCTAGCCGAAGCTTGCTGCAGCACACTGACGTTGGCTATTCTGTGGGCTTTGGTGTCGATGGCCTCCTCGAGCAGAACCCTGTGGGGCCTCTCTGTGATTTTGACGAAGCCACCTGCAATGACTTAATAAAGAGTCCGCCCTGGGCGGTGACGTGAGCCCCACTGCGTGTAGCTAGCCAGCAAACTGAAGTGTATTGCATCCGCGGCGAACGACCTTGAGATGCGAAATGAGATATATCAGGCTGGTCGGGTTCCGCTGCTGCTCGAGAACCTGCTTCACGACAAGACAGTTTGCCGTCCAGAAATATCCGACTCTTTCATACGTGCATAGATCATTCAATTTCGACCTTACCACGAGATCATGTACTTGCATGGCGCTCCCAACTGGATGGACCTTGGCGTTGTTGAAGGCCAGGACAGGTAAGTAGAATAGTCTGGTAGAGGCAGTCGGCAAAATGACGTCGTGGATGATATTGACTTGAAGCGATGTGGAAGCGTGGAGGTGCCCTTGCACTGAAAGTCGCGCGCTGAGCACCAAGTCGCTCCTCTGTTCCATGACTTCCATTTCTCCTTCAGATATGAGGGGTGTGATTTCCTGCCATGTGCTTTGGAAGCGAAAGGGTGGCGGTGTACGATTCGATCCTTCCGATTGCTCCGTTGACTCCGGGACTTGAAGGCGATGAGAGATCCGGCCATTTACGGATCCCCACGACCAGCTAGGGATGTCTCGAAGGGCCCTCTCTTCCGGGGAACTTGATACCACCCACAGAAGGTTGAAGGCCAGCATCCCTTTCCACAGCCCGGCTGCATATCGGAACGTCGTGTTGTTCTGAATAAAAGAAGCTATTCCACTCATGGCTTTCAGTGTGTCAGACTCTCGTGTGAGCTTACGTGTCGAGTATTGCTCCACGATTTCGTACCAGCTCTGGTGAAATTCGACCTATTCGGCGTTTTCTGTACCCTTGAATCGTCACAAGAGTTCATAGGCGCCGCGCATGCTACTTCGAGCGGACATATCGAGCACTGCTCCAGCTGGGCAGTATACTGAGGGTTCTCCCGGGGCCGCTGTCTGAAAGCCTTCCCGAAACGGCCACGTCCTGTCGGTCTCTGCGCCATGCTGAACCGCCCAACAAGCTGAAGTAAGGCTTCGCAATCGCCTGGAGGATAGAGAGTCCCATCAGAACGAACACCACCTCCTCGAGGATATTTTTCGCTGGAATAGCGGACGCCGTTTCTAACAATCCAGTCGTTGCATTCGAAGAATACAACTCCTTCACAGAAATGTAAAACCCGACGAACAAGGTATCTCTCTTGGAATGCCCATGCTCGTGTAGACAGCGCTGTATTTTCCGCTCGATCCTTGAACAGTTTTTAGTGATGCCGCAAAGGATTTATCGTCAGAAGCCTTGACCTCGATTGATCGCAATGAAGATTTGCGCAATGTGCAGTCACTGCGGGAAAGATCCTGGGGCGTAAAACGACCCCCGTTGGAATCTCTTGACGCCGACGCAGATTACACACAATGCGTTGGCATATACCAAACCCATATCTGCTGATTGAGCTTCCCACTCTCCATCGTCATCTTGGACGATACACAAGGAGTCTATCCAAAGATACCTCACCTTCATGGCTCGCGTAATCCGAACGGCATGTTGGAAGTTTTTGGTCAAGCTCTTTACTTGAAAGTTTGCCATATTGTCGACGCTGGACTTTGTAAGAGTCAGATTTACTGCTTCTCCCCAGCAATGGCTAAGAGCAATGTAACGCTGGGGGATCATTTCCTCAAGCTGCGAGCTGAACTTTAGGCCGATTGTTTCACCTTCATGATCTCCAAGGTCCAAGAGCCTCAAAGGCAGGTAATTCTGGGAAGGCTCGAGGATAAACTTGTTGTCACAACCCTTGTGGTGCGACTGGCACTGACGTATCCAATCGGTTGCCCAATCGGAGATACCTGGACTATCTGTTTGTATAGAACGATAGCACAGATGTCTCCAGCCTTGTGCAAGAGTTAGCAAGTGTCTCAAAGACAACAAGCTCTGTCCCAACAGATAGAGAAGGAATTTCCCGACACTTACTGATACCCCACCCATTCCTGTCGACACAAAGTCGTCGCGGCTTGCTGATGGTATGATCAGAAAGCTCTAGTGTCATGAACTGTGGCTCTAAGTCCATAAAAAGCATATAGGTTAGAAGATCTAAATATCCATCATAAAGTGCTCGGATATTGAGTCTTTTTGGGCGATACCCAGAGGCTGTGGACCTCTCTTTGACATCCGGTTGCAATTGTGCATCAACGTTGGCATATCTTCTCTCCTGTATAAGCAGAACAAGCCCGCAATTGGTCGTTGTTTTTCCTTCTCCGACAACTCGCGGAATTTCTCCACAGAGTTCAGGAGTAAGACGTACAAGTGACAATGTCTGGCGGACTTTTCGAGCTCTTCCTTCGTGTGGAAAGCATGGCGTTCGTTGGACCGAGTGAAAAGCCAGCGAGCCCCAATCAAGATTGGAGATTGCCCGATTATATTCTGACACCTCTCACAAAGCTGGCAGCATTCTCTCGAAATGTTGGGGCCTCGAAAGGATGAAGCATTGAAAACCACCCTTGACGAGAGCAGAAAGCAAAGGTATCGAAACGTACAAACTGCTGTAACAATAACGACGACAAAAGGCGCCGATACTATCGCTAAGGCAATCCAGCAATTTCCCAGGATTATGAGCAAGGGGGTGGTCATACATAGCACCGCCGCGACGAAGCCATAGCCTAGCCGGAGGCGCGGAGGTGCCTTTTCAAGGTCTGGACCCGAAGATCACCAATAAACATATCCGCCCCAGGCTCCAAGCAGCGTTGTGGACGCGAGGATGTCTCTCAATATGACCAAATAGACATTGTCGTTTGCCATGCCAGGCGCATGGATCGCTTCCGTCAAGGAACGATACGTGCGTGCGGCGAGATAGCGGATTGCTATCCTTCAGCAATCAATTCAGGTGAATCGGAATGTCGCAACGTGTGAAGCAATCGTAAGAATATAGATAGGTTTTCGGAGACGGAGACGGAGACGGAGACGGCTAAGTAGATCGGTCTGGTTGAGAAACAAGGACCGGTTCAAGGCAGAGGGGATCTTGTCGGCTGCTAGTATCACTTTGAACTTATGATGCAAGAGGGGTCTTCAGGCGCGTAACGAGGCTCTAAACTCCTAGAGCCCGTCTGAGAAGCGGAAAGTGGCCATAAAAGCCCACACAGGCAGAGTAGAAACACGAGGTTGTGGTAATGTCCAACGATCTGGCTCGCCGGTAGGGATCGAGGAGGGAGGAAAGAGATATATCAGAGTGAGAGGTGTGAAGATCCTTGAGGCTGCGAGATGCCACGGATGGGAAATATGCCTATATGCATATGTGGGACACGTAATGAGAAAGGTGGCTGAGCTGTCTGTTCCAGCGAGATAGGTCAGCCTTTTGACGCCAGCCATGGTCGGCTGTGGTCTGCCATGTGTGACAGACACGAGCTAGTGGGAACATGGCAAGATCAGGAGGGTGATTTAGAAAAATAATAAGGGGGAAACTGGAATTGAGGGTTTGGTAAGGATCAGTTGACAAGCTTGTTTTCAGTTGAGTCGTCCGGCCAGATTTGATCGAGAAGCTGCGTCCCGGTTCAGTTAGCTCGCACGTGATCCATCACGTGACATTTCGGGGACTTTGTACGACTAGGAAGGTTACCCGAGGTGTCCTTTGGATTGAGTCAGATCTAATTAATTACTCCGTACTCCGTACTCCGTACATAATCTTGAGCCGCTAAGTTCTTCGCTGTTCACACTGCACCGCCGCATTACGCAGGTGGTGGCTGTGCTTCCTCTGCATCGATGTGGGACCTGACGGAGCCACCACACAATACACGTACAGATCACCGAGGAGGGTAACGAGGGTAGCACAGTACAGTGAACGCCTTACTGTGCGCGATACACCGTACCCTCTTGCAATTGGCCTTTGCAACGACGGAGGCGCGAGGGCGAGGAAGCCAGGAAGGCTCGCTATGAACATACTGTGTGCTGTGTACTCACATACAGCACCGCTATCTGAGCGTGCTGGTGTTGGACGTTTCAGCCATTGCCCGCTCCTCGACGCGGTGGTTGGGACCAGGGGAGATCGTGACCACCGTACGGAGTATTGGCTACAGTGCGCAGTAACCATTACGCAGTGCACAGCGCAGCCTGTAGAACCAGCATGCACGTTATGTACGGATGTAGTCAACTTACACGACACTCGCACCTCGCATTTTGTCCTCTTCCGTATTCCATCCTACCTTCGACGTCCCAACGGCCGCTAGTCCCGCTAGACTGGGCTCCTTCGCTCGCTTCCTCCCCACAAGCCCCGCACGTCTGACCGGTGGGGGCGGGACATATACTACTGTTAGGTATGCAGTAGGTAGGCAATGTTCACAGACACAGCAGGTACGGAGTACACGGGTACGGAAATGAAGGCGTAGCTCGTACTGTACTGTATCTGTCTGGCCTGACTTGCGGTGCACGACCTATCAACCAGGGTGTAGGCTGTAGGCTGTAGAAAGCGTATGCGACCGCTCGGTTCGAGTCAGCATAAGCGCTCATTCCACGATGCAAGGCATAAATATTTGTCCTAGTAAACTATGTGCGGTGGTCCTTCACGGGACTCATACGTCGTACTGTAGTAAACCCTGGTTGGTAATTTCGGAGGGCTCGGGCGTTCAGGCGATGTCGGACTTGGAGACGAGGGGCCTTGGACACAGCTACTGTGTGCATACATACATGATCCCTGGCGGCCTGGGTGGCTGACTGGCTGGTCCGCTGAGCTGATTCTTGACGATCACGCCTTCTTTGCATTGCTCGTTTGTGGGTCGGGATCGAAGGATCTTCAGAAACAGACACATACACGTATATATCTACACATCCCTCAAGACCGTGCGCGGGTCAAGACAGTTTGGACACCCTCATCCTCATCCCCATCGCCATCCTCGTAGTGAGATCTTGACATACGTATCCCGTTCTGGCACTGTATCCGTGGTCGACACAACACACTGCATTACACTGCACAACGCCCAGCGATCATGGCTCCACCCAAATATGAACTCTACTACAACCCCTTCTCGATCTGCTCGCTCATGGTCCTGTACACGCTGCGTCTGAAAGGCGAGCCGAAATCACCCGCCGACGCGGTCGAACCAGAAGAAGTGTTCATCGACATTTACACGGGCGAACAGATGATGGAGAGTTATCTAGAGAAACACCCGAAGGGCACGGTAAGTATTCGTGCCTGGCCATGTTTGTAGCGGACAGGTTTCGGCCTCGAACGGTTCTTTCGTTGTTACCTCCATTGCGTCCGCTCGCTGCCAACCGTCTGATCGTCCTTACAGGTCCCCGCAATGTTGGCGCCCGAGCTGGGCGTCAAGTTGATCGACAGCACAGATATCACGTCGTACCTCATGGATAGGTACCCTTCGCTGCGTCCCGACGCGCACAGACAGACCATCGACTCGCTGCTCCAGGAACTGCATGAGATCTCGTACGTCACGCTGTCGTTCAAGCCCGAGGAGCGAAGGGTCGAGGGCGTCATGGATGCGGTGCGCAAAATCATGGAGCGACCCGACACGAGCGACAAATATCGCAAGTTGCTGCAGGGGAAGTTTGACAAGTGAGTCTGACAGTCGAACATAATTTCGCTGTAGTGCTATATCCTACCAGCATGACTGACCCGCGTGTTTCGTCCCAGCCACGCGGCCGCGCTCCAGAAATTCGCAGCCAACAAGCAATCCGTTGAGAGTGTCGACGCCGACTCGGTCCGCTATCTGGAGAAGATAAGCGAGCTCCTGGCGCGACAAGGGGGTGGCCAAGCATCCTGGCTCTTCGGCGACGACGTCGGTCCCACGGCCCTGGATGCACACACCGTGGTATTTATTGCGAGGTTGCTGGATGCGAAGCGCGAACCTTTGATCCCTGCGGATGTGCTGGCGTATGGAAGGCCAAAGCTCCAGGCTAAGGAATGGCTGGGCATCACGAACGGGAATCCGACGCTGCATAGCTTGTACGTCAAGGGGGAGAAGGGCGGACATTGAGCACGATGGAGATCGGATGTACGGTGTTTGAGTGGGATGGTGGCAGATTGCGTTCAGCCACGTCCGGTTGGACAACGACATTGACAGTGGTGATTACTTGCGCTGGTTGCCAGGATATGAGGAACGAGGCGAGGAGGTGGAGAAGTCTGCAGTGAAAGGGACCTTACGGAGGGCAGATCGTGGTGTCCTCGCGTTGATGAAGGGACCTTACGAGAGACAGATCGTGGTGTTCTCAAGTCGTCCATTCACGAAGTCTCAGGGCTGCTGACCATTGCATCTTGACTCCAGTATGCCAAATCTGAGAATAGAGATGTCGAGCAATGCGATAGCAGTTTTGACTGTGTACTTGGGAGGGTATGTTAGGTATGTTTGGGATTGTGAGAACAGGACTGTGCAAGCCATGACAACTGTACGGGCGAGCTGAGCTGGTCTGAGTTGAATCGCTTTGAAATAAGTGGGTTGAGCGAGGTGCAGTTGCCCATCAGGTCAAATTGGACGAGTCGTCGGGAGCTACTTGTATATTCAGTTGCCTCGAATTCCGAGATCAAGCCCAAAGAACCAAGACCAGGAGAAGTTCTATACGAGGTACTCTATACTCTGTACAGTCGCCTATAAAAAACCAAAAATTTTGGCAACATTACCGAGTGCGCGCACCACCACAGATGTTGTACAGCGCATTTAGCCGTATGACCTCGCTGTCGCCACTAGGCTATTGTTAGGGACAGCCTAAGGCGATAGGCAGAGGGCAAGAATTAAGGGTCTCAATAGTATTAGGTATCCCTAGACCTCTAGGTCATACAGGACTCGAAGCATGGGAGGAGGATGGAACTCTCATGCGAGAGGCGCGAGAGTTGTATGCGTCCTCTTGGCAGGCTTAGTAAGCTCTAGTAGCTGTTCCTAATATAAAGTTATCTCGTGAACTACTCCTCCGTCGATAGATAAGCAGCTTTCCTAGGCGAGCGGAGCGACCACCGCTACATCGAATATTTTCAGAGTATCGACCAATTTTCGGAACCGGGTCTCCCCCACGAACTGCCCGCTCGTGTCGAAGATGGGTTGAGTCGTGACCCAGGTCTTTATAAGACATAAGGTATTAGCGAGAGGTATACCTTAGGGTTAGAGTCAAGGTAAGGTCGGGGAGATACATATCACGTAGATTCCTACATAGACGCAAGAGTCGTGAACAGCCCATCGAATGCTCCATCTTCCCACTGTGGTTCGAAGCTGTCCACAACTTCAACCGTGTGCGGTATCTGCCCACTAAAGTCGACGTTGCTCAGAAGCGTGCCATGAACCTCGTCACCAACATGAGGAGGCAACCACTCAGGCTCCTGTGCTGCCTCATCTGACCAATCTGTTGCATTCTCATATAACTGCGGCTCCTGTGACAGAGTCGCCACGTCGAAAATCTCGGTATGTGGGAGAGGCGGACGGGAGGAAGGCTGGTAGAGGTTGCCACAGCCTTGTATCACCTGCAGTCCGTTGGCCAGACCCTCAAGATGCATTATTCTCCGATAAAGTCGCCTTGATACGGGTGACGTAGCCGCCAAATTGCCTATGATTTCCTTGGCCAGTCCAATACCCTCCTTGTTAGCAGAGGCAAAATGGTAGGGTGCATGTGCCAGAGCGAGAAACAGAACGGCAACTGACGACTCCAGGAAATGGTTGAAGCAAACTTGAAGCTTTTCATAAAGACCAGACATCTTGTGTAGATGCCAGAGAACCCTGATAGAGTCTGTGGCAGTCGATACCACCATCTTCGCCGTAGCCAGACGTGGTCGTAGCAAGTTGGGCGAGAAGAGAAGAGGACGATACAGCAGGATGCGCATCTCGTTGGAACGGAGATAGAGTTGCGCCCGTAGACTCTGTAGCCGCCGGGGCTGCTCAACCTCGCGGTCATCTGGCATGGCCCGGCCCTTTGGATTTTGAAAGGTCAGGGAGAGGGGTAGTGACCTGTGCCACGCAAGAAATTGTCCTTGCAGATAGTCCAACATGCGCTGGTTCGGTGGTGGTTCGGAGTTCACTTCCCTCTGGCCATTCATTTTGCTTGTACCACCAGAGATGAAACTCCATGCTCGCCCTGTCAGTTGGTACAGATCGGCCATGGCTCTGAGGTACCCAGCTCCCTCGTCCTGAGAGATTTTGGTTAGAACAACCACAGATGCTATGCGGTAGAATTGGACTTACAGGTTTTGGGAGGGACATGTCGATATCGGAATCTTTTATCGTGAATGGGAGTCCTGTACCTAGACTCCACCTTCGATCGAGTATATAGATAGACCAAAATAGCCGGATGATTCTTACCCCTTCGTCGCCCGCGCGAGTTGTCGTTAATATAGTTCCAAGTCGGTGGAGATCAATCTCTTGACTCAGCCGGGCAGCCAAGCCGACGGTGCGCCAAGCAAGAATTTCCTCGTCCTGGCAAAAGTAGGATATACTCTTATATGCAATATGCTGTTAATGAGGTTCAAGGGTATGATGGATGGGGGCACGTACCGAGAGAAGTAGAAACAGTATATGTTGAGTCCTGACCTCGGCCGCAGATGTCAGCCTTTCCATCGAACCTCTGACCACGTCAAACAGCCGGAGACCCAGCTTGCTCTGGCTATGCTCTTGCAAAAACAAGCCATTCGCCAAGACCACCAGCAATATGTCAATCTCAACCTCCTCCACCCCAGAGAGTTTGTAGTCCAGGGGCTCGTCTCTTCGAGTCTGGCGCGCCAGTTGGATGAGGTTGTGGAGGAGGTCGGCACTCTGATGCACAGCAACTATATCCAAGACCGGGTATACGTGGCCGACTTCATCATCAAAGACGTCGATTAAATGATGGGTCTGGTCTCTTGACATCTCACGCAGAGGGTCAGGAGGAAGTTGAGTGTGGCTAACGGTTGACGATCTGGATGGCTGAGGTCCCGAAGAGGTCCTCGAGCCTGGGATTGCCTCATAAACGTCGGTCGAGAGCCCCAAACTCATGAGTTCGAGCGATTGCTGGGCCAGCGCAAAGCTGAATGAAGGGTTGCTCAAGCCGCGATACCTCGAAGAAACACTGAGAGTTTGTGATTGGCCTGTATCGGCAGCAAACGATGGATCGTCTCCTGTGAGAGCGCGAGTCTCAGCCAACAGCTGGGCAAAGTTCTGGTGTGGTCCCTGGGCCATCCCATGCCTGACTGGCTGGGGGCAGATGGGCCGTGGAGCCGAGAGTCGGTCTACCTGCGTCTGAAGCCTCGACAACCAGCTTTTCAGGCCAACAAGTTCCCTATTCCGAGCTTCAGTCTGGTTGCAATAGGTGGATTCCACACGGCGGCGGGAACTTACCGGTCTCCCGGATCCTGGCCTTTTTGTCGGTACTGGCATTCGAGCCCGAGTCGATCGCAGCGGCGGCAGGATGTCAAGCCGTTGCATTTGATTTTGCGTCTTTTGCAGCCTTCACTGTGGCGGCGTTAGAAGGGATTCATGTACTGGGGCCTCTGTTCAATGGACAAGGATGCCAACGAGCATGAGAATTGTAACATACCAAGCTCTCGCAGTCCTGCCTCCTTGCGGCATTTTGCGCGGCAGTATTCTATCCGAATTGTCTTGAGCACTTCCCTATCTCTGATTGAGGCTGTACAATTGGCGTGTGTGCCCTGCACAAAACCTCGCAGGTTGGGCGATACCGCCCGTTAATGTATGAACCGGGTGTGGAATCATTGAAGCGCGATGTTCGACCGGCACGGGCACCTCCAAATAGGAAAGATGCCGATTTGACCTTAGCGTTTGGTCGGCTTGTGAAGCTGAACACTCGGAAGCGTGTGAGGGACCGAGATCAACGGCATCAAGCAAGACAGGGAGCATGGATCTTTCTAAATACTACGGGCGGAATTGCTCCGCCAATCGCGCGGAAAGCGTGGAGGTATTGATCGAGAAAGTTACATCCGCAGGCGCTTAAACGAATGCTGCAACTACCTGAAGTTATCTAAGCTTCGCTGCCCAGTCGTTCCTTGATTTCTAACAAGCTATCCACCGAAGCATGCACAATCTCCTTTAGTGGCCGAAAGTCTATTCCTAGCTCCTTCTTGATCTTTTCATTACTGGCCACATACATAGGCGGCAGAGGTTCTCCCGGCTTCCCTTCGGGTACCTTGTCCCGGAGCTGAGGATAGTCAGCACGAACAATATCTGCGATCTGCTGGAACGTGAAGGCTGCGCTGGCCACGATGTATCGTTGTCCAGCAGCCTCGGGATAGGTCAGAGCGCGAACATGGGCCTCCGCAAGGTCACGGACATCGACGCATGCTGGGAAGCCCGTCGGCGGCACCTCGCTTTGCGAGCCATTGATAAGATTCCATATAGTGGCCGAAGAAGTGTTCAGGCCTTTGAGACTGTCGACAAAATGTCCATTGGGACCATAGACCATCGGCGGGCAGAGGGTTGCAATTGTGAAAGTTGGCTTTTCCTTTTCCACGAAGTCCCAAGCGGCGCGTTCGGCGAATTCCTTGCTTGCACAGTATGCAACGCCGCCTGCAGATGTCTTGGCCTCTTCCCAGCCGATGGGATTCCAATCCTTCTCGGTGTAAGTGTAGCCGGGTCGAAAGCCAGCGTTAACATCGAGGACGGCAGCGAACGAGGATGTGATGACGACGCGTTTCACGCTCGGTCCACTTTTCTTCACCGCTTCTAGGATGCGGAGCGTGCCATTGACGGCTGGGTGGAAGAGATCCCGTTCGTTGTCGTCAACTGGATAATGGAAAGGCGAGGCTGTATGAATGACGCCTGTGATGTCCGATTTTGCAACTGCTTCGTCGAAGGCGCCAGCAGCTTCGATGTCGGGAACAATAGCCAAGGACAGGCGATCTCCATATCTAGCACGGATATTCAATTTCATTCTCAAGACGTAGACCATGAACATCAGACGACTTACTTGCCATGACTTCTGCGGACTTTGTCTGCTGCTGTTGTGCTGCGCACTGTACCCACGACATTATAGCCGACCTCGAACAAACGGTGCAGGATTTGGGCGGCGACAAAGCTGTTGGCGCCCGTGACGAGAACTGTCTTGTTGGCCATTGCGAACGTGCCCGGGAGAGCCAAATATACCGACTTTGCGTCAAGGGGTTGAAGAGATGGCTCGTAGTATTTCTAGGCGCCAGAAACTTGGCTGAGCAAATTTCTAGCCGTCCTGAGCCTGGAGAAGCGTGCCTTTATATCATTTTCTGGTCTTTTTCAAGGGGCACGGCCAATTTTGGCAAGTAACCGATTAAGCTAGATGAAGCCGTGCCACGTCAACCTTGAAATCATAACGGCCAATTCTCTGATCCGGTGATCAAGTAACGATTGCTGTAACCGTCAACTGTGACCCGAAAGAATTGACGCATGCGAAGCCAAAGCAATATCATGGAGTCGTAACGGATATGTGGAGATGCAAGCCAAAGCTTCCTTCCCCTAGCAACATAGTGTGGACCTCCGAGGTGGTTAGTTTCGAGGCAAGAAAAGGTGAAGCGGCCCAGAAGGCGTAGCAATCGTAGCCACATGGCGGCAGATGGCGGCAGATGGCGGCAAATCGCGGCGGTCGCTCCGCCCTCCACGCCCTCCGCTCCGAAAGCACGTCGTCAATATGTTGACCCCGATGGGAAGCAATGAATGGTTGACATGCCCTCCAGAAGTTCGGAGGCATTAGAAATCACAAGCCTGGACCTCATTATTAATGACTGTGGATCAAGTTGTCAACATGTATGCATACCATGTATATAATCTGGATGTGGATGGCCTCGGACTTTGGAGATATTGAGGTTCCCAAGCCTAATCACATCTATTCAGACCATTGTTGCGGATCCGAGCTCAGTGCCATGATTGGTAAGGTGTCAGAATGGCTCAGTTACCTTCAGATTTCTTTCTCAACCTCCAAGCCTTCAGTGCAAAATCTTATCGCGACTCTTACCCGGCCATTGACCCAGAGCTACCAGAGCATAGCTTGGTCGGGAAAGTTGTCATCCTGACTGGAGGGAGTGACGGCCTTGGGAAGAGTGTACGTGGCAGCACCGGCCAGAGACAAACTCCGCCCCAACACAAAAGCATGTTCTTGGCTGACTGCCGCACCGTGATATCTTTCTTGCACAGGCATTCGGTCCAGCAATAGCCAGAGCCAAAGCTAGCGCCCTCGTCCTTGTCGCCCGCAGCCAGTCCGCCCTCCTCGAGGCCAAAGCCGAAGCAGAAAAGGCCAATCCATCAATCAAAGTGTCGACGATTTCGGCCGACGTTACCGACGAGAAAGCTGTCAGCGATGCCTTTGAGCAGATCAGCAAAGAATTCGGCCCTCCGGATGTGCTCATTAACAATGCGGGAACTTTCTTCGGAAAGAGTCCTATTGCAGACATGTCCTTTGAGGACTTCGAAACGGACATCGTAGGTCCCCCCAGAATGCTGTAGGCACTTGGCGCACCTTGACTGACAAGTTACCGGTCCCGCCTCAGGATGTAAACGTGAATGGCACCTTCCTAGCTACACGAGCCTTCCTCAAGCTCATCGGAACCAAGCAAGCAACAATCCTGAACGTTTCATCGGCCGCAGGACTTTGGCCAGGGCCCTGCATGTCCAGTTATTCACTGAGCAAATTGGTTGTCGCTCGCATGGCTGAGCTGGTTGCGCTGGAGAGGCCCAACGTAACGGCTATTGCGTTCCATCCTGGCATGCTCATGACCCGACTGGCCACCGACGACTTTGCGCCGTTCGCCTTGGACAAGCCCACCTTGCCTGGTGGGTTCGCCGTATGGCTCCTTTCACCGAAGGCAAAGTTTTTGAATGGGAGATACGTGCATGCAAACTGGGATGTTGAGGAGATGATGCAACGAGAGAAGGAGATTGTGGATAAGAACTTGCTCCGTGTCAAGCTCTCGGGCGATTTTGGAAAGAAGTGAACAAACAGCACGGACCGTGTCGGGCGTAAGAGATGTCGGTGGCAGATTGGCGTGCGATGTCTATGAACAGGCGAGACTGTTCCATACTCTCGTGGAGGCGGAAGTGCCATTTACTTCTCTCCAGCACGGTCATACCTACAGAAGGGGCTTCCCTAAATTCTCAAAAGCTATAGACGCCACCCAGGGGGTGTCAGAATTACCCGGCCACCCGAAATTTAGCCGGCCTAAGCCACTCGTCCTTACAGCCACTCGTCCTTACAGCTACCTACTAGACGTAACCGAAATCGAGGCCAACATAGGATTGATCCGCCTCTAATGTATTCCTTGTACAGTACGGAGTACTCCGTACACACTGACTTTTTAAACAGTCGACTGGTCTGGCAGTTCTGGCTAACCGCGCGACTCACTCACTCTCTCCCTCTCCCTCTCTCGTTACGAGTACCGAGTACAGAGTACCTACTGGCGACTCCGTACTCCGGACCTTCTGTGTTGCCTACCCACTACGTACCTCGTCCTCCGTACTTCGTATACTGGGATACTGTCCTGCTCCGCCCCCCTGCCCGACCACCTGTTTCAGCCTTACTCCAGCATCCAGCAGCCAGACTCGAAACTCCAGCCTCTACGGTAGACTCACCGGGCTCGAGTGGCGATTAGCTCGCCTTTCGGGGTACCTCGGACTGTGACAGCCTCACATTGGGATTCGCCTTGCAGGCATCATTGCACATCTGCGCCACTGCATTATTGCATCGCTGCATCGCTGCATCGCTTTATCACTCGATGTGTGATTGCATCACCGCCGGAGAAGCTGCAAACAAGGGCAACCACGTCCTTACCTACTTACCTATTTACCTAGGTCCCTAGGTCCCTACGTAAGCAAGCGGGTTCTGCTCGATCTATCGCCTTTCCGACTCCCTTTCTGTCAGGGTAGGGCGGCTAATCGAGGAAGAGGAAGAGGAAGAGGAAGAGGAAGAGGAAGAGGAAGAGGAAGAGGAAGAGGAAGAGGAAGAGGAAGAGGAAGAGGAAGAGGAAGA